CTTAACTTATCTTTGCCCATGCACCAGCGTCGTGAGAAACATGAGCCCACTTTACTAAACTTTATCGTCATATTGAGAAACAGCACTTATCTTTTGTTTAATAAATCGATAGAATTCAACTAATACTTTCAGCCTTCCAATCGTGAAATAAATAAAACACAAAACTCTTAAATATAGAATAAGTATATTGAATAATTAAATAATGTTATTTTAAATATTTCGCCAAAAAGACTTATGTGATATCGTAAAATTAATAATAAAAATTATCTAGAAGTCAAAACATTTTGAGTTAAAGATGAAACATACGATACAGTGGGAAATAGGAAAAACCACGTTGTGGGCCGGCATGCAACCGCGTGTACTTGCCATCTCGAAGCATTGCACGCTCGCATGGAGGCGACAACGCGCAGTGTACGGCCGCAATCTCAAATCGTGGGCGACTATCGCCTATCCACTAATAACTTTAATATAGTTACAACCATTTGCGATATAAGAAATAGTTAATACAAAGTTCCTGGGCACTTAAGGAAGTCACAAAGTATAGAAGCTGGCTCGCATCCTACATCCGCGAAGCTGTCTCGTTACTATAGGAACCGAACAAAGAAATATGGCCGTCAATAGTCAAGTAATTTGGTCAAGCAAAGAAATTCTCGCGTTGATATAAATTACTTGCCTATATCGAACCGAAACAACCATTTTGCAATCTAATAATATCTAAGACTCACGAACCGGTCCGATACGAAACAGTCGCTTGTGACATTTCATTTATATTTGTAACAAATTAATCTAAGATTAAATGTAAGCATGAATGTCATTTATATAACGCAATAATACGTTGGGATATTACTTGCTTGAAATTGAACATCCATGAATCGTTTCATTCAATTTAATGTGATCGATTAATGACATTGAAAACTCTTTAGATGTTCGATTTCCTTCAAGCCGATCGACCTTGTTAATAGAGACTTGCTTTACGATAGAGATCGTTTACGTTCAATTTCGGCAATCGTGTCGCATGCCCTGTTACTTCCAATAGCGATCCTTAGGGTGCGTCCACATCTGGCGAATATGCCGCGAATGTGCAGATCGCGAGCAGTTTGCGAGCTGCGCACGTGCATTTTTGTTCGTGCGCCGCTCCTGCGCCGCCCGCGCGTAGTTTGCTCGCAACCTAAGTGCCGTACTCGAACAGCGCGCGGGCGGCGCGCTAGCGGCTGGCGTCTTCCTTCCTCCCACGCCAGTAAACAGAACTGTAAGCGCGCACGCCTTATACGAGCCTTGCATGAGTTGCGCGAAAGAGGCGCACCAAACCATTACCGTGACTGCACGCGCGCAGCTCGCAAACGGCTCGCGTGCTGCACATTTGCCAGATGTGGACGCACCCTAACGCTTTTTGTATGCAATCTATATAGTTCTCTCAATATTCTGTCGCAACCTTGAGACCCTGCTTTAAAAACTCAATATTAAAGTTAACGCCGCCCCTATTGGCACAGATACAGGTCTCTATAAACAAAGCCCACTAAATTAAACTACTTGAATATATATGAACGAATCTCCTTATCGAAATAGTTCAAACTGTAACTGTTACATATTTTAATAGGCGGAGACACCACACTTACAAAGTGTACAATTAAACTACTGTGTATAAAATAAATTATGCATCGTTCCAGGGCCAACTTCAGTGACGTCGTTGTGATGATATTTGCAATACGAATTGGATATAAATCCATTACCAAAGAGTTTATAAAATACATAGAATGTCAACCATATTTAAATACTTCATGTCTTCAACAATGCAATGAAAACAATTTTACAATGCGCAATAGATATTATGTTGAATTTTATAATATTATCTGTGAACAAACCATTGACACGATACTGCATTAAAACTACGACATGCATTAAACGACTATTTATAAAATATGTTTCATTCTAACGTCTTAAAATTACGAAACTAACGATATATATTTTTTTACTTTTTTTTAATATAATTTAAGTGTAAAAATAGTTCTTTGAGACAAAATGTCAAAGCACTTTACGCTAATGAATGGAGGACATTGTTCCAAAATTAATAATATAGACCGGGAATGTATCCAATTATATTGCATTAGTTATGTAAATATGTATTAGGGATACCTGACCGTACTGCAACGAAACTACATTATTCGCAAAATAATTATGGACGGCAAGTGAATTATGAAATTTAATTTTATTGGCAATTATGTGATTGAACTGAATTTGACGTCCGGAACTATTTAAGTTCAGTGCATTAATATTGAAAAGCTTTTGCGAAAGCTACGAGATTTCATTTGGGCGCAAAGTACATTTTACATTTAACGCGTATAGTGGGATTTAATTAAGTAATTAACAATCTAAAACCTTAGACCCAAACGAACCTCCATACAAATTCATCCAAAAAATATGCAGCCGCTATTAACATCAAAATTGAAATTTTAAATATTTAAAAATATCGATTAACGCTGAACTATAAATGAAGTTAAATATACGGCAAAACTTTGTTAAATTCATATAAAGAACGAACACCAAATAAAGTTTTCCCATAGATTTCCATACAAACTTCAATTTACGCTAACTAGCATTCTAGAAATTTACTAACTACTGAACGTCGAAAACATCCACACGTCAATGTTTGCACGTCTACTTAAAGATTGAACTAACCCTAACGACACACGTCCGGCAACTCTCGTCATTCCGATATCTTAACATACCCACAACCGGTAAGGAATCTAGCGAATAATTCTTCTAATCATACAACAGCAAATTACGACTAAACCGGCGCATTTAATTCATCGATCGAACTTTGAGCGGTCCAAACTGTATTTAGCTCAGTCTTTACAAGCCGTAGCAGGACTTGACGTCACGGCTTAAGTACAAAAATTGTCACCTGCATGACATATGTTTTATTGCTTCGTTACAGGAGAATGTACTTACTATTTTAATACTAACAATATTTTAAATTCAATGCAGTTTCAAGGCCAAATAGTCGGTATCGATATAGTAGTGAATCCGAAATCGGAATGAGTCGTTGCCAGTTCCTATCCTACATTATAATATTTCAAAGTCTCTCAAGAAGCTACATCTCGTTATAATATTAACTTGTAAATAAACTTACTATAGTTAATAAAACGCTCGTAATACCCCGCAAAAACCTCGTTACGGAAACACTCATGAATTGCAAATTTCGACAAGAGAATATCAAAAATAGTGTACCGACGGTTCTCAGCTACGATCTGTCTTATACTATACAAGGACGATACACAAGAAAGGAAAATGGGAAATTTCAACTACCCAAAAGTCGGAACGGACCAATTGGGTTTAGATCTATATCTTTATTTATAGAGTAAGTTGATAATCGCACTTGAAGCTAGTAATCGTAGGAGTATGCCAATAATCGCCTTATATTTTTAATTTATTCTTGAACCAATTTACTTATTCCCCTTATACTAGCATTTTATCAAACCGAATTACAACACGCATTGAAAAGACAATACAAAGCGAGTGCACATCTAACTACAATCATTAAAACTGCAAGACGGATCCTAAACACGAAATACAATTGTTTCTTATCGTTTTAAATGTCTGGCGATAGACATCTCACAGTCCGACTACGAGGCGTCAACGCTCGGCTGATGCTAATCAAACGACCTCACCCTTATGAAACAACATTTAATTGCCGATAAACGCTGACATCCGACTCCCAACTTGCCAAATTACTTCAACTCAAAACAACAGTTCTACTACGCAATATTGACCAACTTAGGTCAACAATAACTAGCAATGAGCAATTAACGCTTAATTAAGCGACACGGAGATCTTTAATAATTCACTAATGGACGCGGATGAGTATTGTTTGATGAATAACGGCAAAAATCTTAAACAAAATTAATGATAACGTAACAAACTAATATAAAATACCGTTTCCACGATCGCACATATCTGTGTTCAATCGTTTTTATGAATAAAATAATCGAGATCTACGTAGAAAGTATGCAAATGAGTTCTTAAACTAAAAATGAAAACTAAATGAGCTATAGTCGTGAAGCTTCACTGGTGTCCAATGATGTCCAAAACCATTGACTAGGTAAAGAGTGGATGAGTTTAGTTGACTATATAATAAGACAAGCCATTCAGTCCAAAACAGACCAATTTCCCTAGATACTTATTATTTGCTCGAAGAAAAAACCATCACACCGTACTAATTTGTCGAAATAAATGTATCATTGACACTTAACTAGTTGTTTTTACGTATGCTGATAGAAATATTTTGTGCAAAAAAGACGAAGAATTTGTTCGATTTAATATCAAAATGATAGATGTTAAGAGGAGTAAAGTTGTTTAAACCAACTTTAAACTTCAGTACTAAATCTTGTAGATTATTTTTAGTATATATTTGATACGATACAATTCTCAAAGATATAAAAAAATAGTCAAACATTTTTAAATTAAATTAATTTTTGAAAATACGCACAAATTAGTCACATTAAAGAATTCGCAAGCTACTAGATGAGATCAACACAGTGCGTAGTCCCTTTAATGAACTTATACACAAAATATAATTTGAGCAGAGAAAACGAGAACATACATGATCTGCTCAGTAAAATTTTAGCATAACGACATTTCAACAGCTTTCCGAGATCACTTCCAGTCACTGTTAGCTACTTATAGTTAAACATTTAAAGTATGAAATACAATTTATCTAGCCTAGAGGCGCTTTATTAACTCCGATAAAGGTATTTGACCACAAACGTTTGCCGTGTTGGAGTAAAAAACATTTCATCTAATTTTATCGTGAAGCAAGAGTAGTTAACAGTGAGAGCAAAGCGATTAAACTGTACAATTCGTGTGAGTGCGTACGTGCGTGCGTCCAACGTACGCGTGCACGTTCAAAGTGTGTGTGTGTGATGGCGGATGTGCCGACATCGTCGCGGGTGTGACAGTTTGCGCGCCGATCCCCGCGCCACACAAACTATCGCCTGCCGACGTCATTTGCCGTTCGTCTGAAGCGCGGCGTTCAGCTGCGTCCACAAGTCCTTCTTGCACGATTTCGATCTGTCCCCAACGGTTATAGTCATTTGGGAATGCACACAATCATTCCACGTCCTTCACATAGATTATTGCAAAACGGAACGGAGGTGGAATGACTATGGAACACACCGAACACGACAAATATTGAACAACTTTCGTGCCATAACGTCTACATCAGATGACATTTTAATTTGAATACATTAAAGCGTGTACGTATAAAACAGCTTACCCTATAGTACTCGCTTCCAGCAAATTCGAAAGAAAATTTTATAATTATAATGCTTGTGTAAAATCATCTAAAACTTCAAAAATAAACATTCAGAAAAAAATTTAAAAGTTTTAGTAGTACATATACATAGTATTTAGAATAATTATGATCACTACAGATCGCATTCTGTATAGCGTTGTGGCTTAATTCAAAGATTTAATAAATGCCAATATTACAAATACGAATAAAACCAAATAAATTACGTCAGTCCGTAGACCATACCTGCGTAGTGAAGCGAGCCATTCCTTAAACTGGGTGTTTCCTTCAGGTGTGAGCTGAAAAGCCGTACGCGCTGATAACACGATACCAACAAACTCCTCGTACTCGACTGCTGTTAAGTGGTATAGCTTCTGATGGATGCATTGAATGTACCTAAAAACAAAACATGTAAATTAAGTATACTTTAATGTTTCAGAATATATAGATAAAATATCTAAATTTTTAAGATTTAATAGGCATACATATTTTCTTTTAAATAATTATTATATTGACGCCTAAAGAGTGGTCTGAAGGTTGACTGCAATGCACTAAAAGTACATAATTGAGCTTATTCAATATAAAGAATGGCTGTCGATACAACTGTTGTTTTTGTATATAAAAATATTTTGGTTTGGGCATTAATTCTAATAATAGAACAAGGGGCAAACGGGCAGAAGGCTCACCTGATGTTAAGTGAGCCGCCCATGGACAGTCTCAATGCCATAAAGCTCGCGAATGCGTTGCCGGCCTATTAAGAATTGGTACGCTCTTTTTTACGGACCCTAAGTAGAATTGATTCGGAAATACTTCAATAGGCAGCTGGTTCCAACTTCCACATAGTGGTGGTACGCGGCAAAAACTGCCATAAAAACGCTCAGTTCCACAGTTACTCAGTTCCAGCAAAATAATGTAATTTAGAATACTTACATCTGCTGACACTTGTGCACGAGTGGCGCTAGTGTGCCCCGTAGATGCTGCATCACGAGGTGATGAGGGCCTCCCCTAGCCAGCCAATGGGCTGACTCAACGCATAACTCGTATAGCACGAACGGTGAAACCACAGAGTTAACTGCGCAAACGCAGAACTGGTGTAAGTATTGCGCACCTAGACGTTTCGAAATACGCAGAAGCCATTTCACATGATCGCCGTATGGGGGATTCCTGAAGGTTTAAAACATATAAATACGTGTGTATAAACAATTTTTTTTATAATTTTCAAGTATTTGCTTTTACTCATTTAGTTTAAGATTTATTTGTATTAAATGAATCAATTTACAACTAATGTTTGGTATCGTGTTAAACTAAGGTGTCATGAGAGAGAGAGAGAGAGAGAGAGATATGAGAGAACGAGAAGAGAGGGGAGAGAGGGGAGGAAGAGAGGGAGGGGAGGGAGAGAGGGAGAGGTAGAGAGAGAGGAAGACGATTTAAGATATTTTGCAAAGGTTTCAGAGATAAATCTAAGTGCGAACCAAGTCTCCTATCAAAAAGATTTTGTCATGACACCGATACCAATATTCCTTTTTTCCTTACCTTCCGAACTTATTCTGCGGCCTATCATCGTGGACCCTCCTGGCCTGGGTTTCCAGTGCAAGCATTCCAACTCTATAAGCAGCGAGTAATCTCCTCAACTGCGCTTGCGGTAAGGCGGGTGGACCAGCGCCAGGTACTTGTGGGACACTGCCCATGGGCGGACCGTTATTCACGTGTGCAGTACTGACTGGCACAACTCCCACGGCACCCACTGGTTGATGGGCGACAGGCAAAGGCGGCGGTATCGGAGCGGGGTGCTAAAGAAAGTTTGTTTTGTAATGTAAATTCCGGAAATAGCGAAAATAAACTTGAAGAAAACTTTATTTTTAGATATAAACAAAACGGTATGTAATAAGTATTAAAACATTTTTATGAATCTTTTCATCAGTCTGATTATTTTTTAAAGAAGTGGGTTAAAAGTTAAGTAAAGACCTTTCATATTAAGGATTTACATTACATATTTCATCTGAAAGTAAAAAATTTAGTCCCATAGAATTTTTATTAAAAATTATTTTCTTAAATTCAAATGGAAGGGAAATACGTAAAAATCATTAAGTGTGATTTTTTATAATTTAAATAAATTTTATGTATTTTTTTCTGATTCTGAGAAAGCCAACTATCCAGATATAATCTCACAAAACGCATAAAAATTATGCTAACCATTTTATATTTGGATTCTACAAAGGCTTTGATACATATTTTGGCTAAATACTTTGTGGTTCCAAAAACTAACACAGACACAGCCCACGCCAATAACAACTTTCAAATACAAAGTGTATTTGTATTAGTAAAGTGTATTATACGCACTCACACATTCACGCATACACTAATCTTACATGACTTTTCACAATATTTCTGTCATGAATAAAGTATTATTATTTATTATTATTGTAAATGAAAAGAGCAGTGTTGGCCTAGTGGCTTCAGCGTGCGACTCTCATGTCTGAGGTCGACGGTTCGATCCCCGGCTGTACACCAATGGACTTTCTTTCTATGTGCGCATTTAACATTTGCTCGAACGCTGAAAGAAAACATCGTGAGGAAACCGACGTCTTAGACCTAAAAAGTCGACGGCGTGTGTCAGGCACTGGAGGCTGATCACCTACTTGCCTGTTAGATTTAAAAATGATCATGAAACAGATTCAGAAATTTGGGACCAAGACCTAAAGAGGTTGTAGCGCCACTGATTTATAATGACAAAAAAAAGTGATCAACAATGACGAAAAAATAACAAAAGACAAATAAAAAAATTACAATAAACCTTACATACGTTCAAGTGCTGACATAATGCCCTTTCTACAATCAGACACTACATCTACGTTCTTTAACTTACAGTCACATTGACGGGTATAGGCTGGTGAGGAGGCGCGTGGGGCTGCATTGGGACGTGCTGGGCCACCTGCGCCACTTGAGCCATCTGCGGGTGCTGCTGCGGGTGTGGTGCGTGAGGCGGCACAATCCCGCGCACGAAGTACTGCGGAATCGCGAACTGGGCGCCCGGGTGAGCCGGACCTGCGCCACCGTACTGAGGGCACTCGAACTATACAAGGTGTATGTAGTTGAATTTAAATTCTCAACTAGAGTCTGGCTAATGAAAGAAGATAATTAAATTATTTGAAAACTTTTGGATGGCAACACAGAATGTCATTGAATTTCTTAGGTTAGTATGATTGTCTTGATACTTCATGCGATTACTCATTTTTATTTCTATTATATATTTTTTCTGAATAGTTAACAGGTATAATAGCCTACCTAATTATGTTTGGATTACTGATTTTGATTATTCCGAATAAAGTTGTGTTTTATAATAAATATAGTTTTAGTTTTCCATGCAATGCTAGTCATTTTAAGTATCAATAGTAAAATACTAAATACGTATAGTATTTAATTTCATAGGAATAGAGTTACTATCAATGTATATAAAATAAAATCAAGTATCCAGTAAGTTTAATCCACAAAATATACAAAACTTTTAGGGATACCATACTGTTTTTTTTAATTTGCCGCGCTTTTTCGTTATCATCTTTCATTAGCAAGACTCTATAGCTAAGAGTTTGAATAAACTATCCAAGCAAAGGTAATATAAAAAAAAGGAACAAATTCTTTTAAACTCTGAATTTAAAACGTGATCAACGAATTTTAAATACTCATTAGAACTAGTTAGTCACTATAATTAACTTTATCAGTTTATAATGGTTCATATCTATTACGAAGTATACGCCAAATTCTTTTTTTAAGCATATTTACTTGCAATTAGTATTATAAATTTAATTTGAAACTAATCTAAAATAAATATCCAATTTTTACCAACACATACGATGCCTTTCAATGGAATCGCACCCAACTCAAATCAACCTCAGAAAATATCTGATTATGGCTGATAGCCGTTTGCAGATGAAAAAAATAACACAAAAAAACACTTATTGTTATTAAAAGCTATGGATTATTCTTTGAATAAACTTAAAACGCACGGGTGTAAAAGATTACAATATTGCGTGATAACATATTCGCTCACCTGGAGACGGTAGATGTGTGGCGGATAGGGGTGGTAGGTGAAGGGATATGGCAGCGGGTAGGGCAGAGGCACGGCGAGCGGGGGTGGAGCCCTATAGGCCTCCTCGGGCTCCTCCTCGTTGGCTTGGCGCAGGTAAAGCTCGTGCCAGTAACGGGCCACTGTGTACAGCACCTCGGGGTAAACCCCGCCACCTGCGCAGGCGCCTTCATCGCTCATTACACATGAATTTAAGATTTCTTGTAGGCTTTGATACATATTCGATGTCAATTTCCAATATTTTTTGATAATAGTCTTATTTCGTTTTGTAAATAATAGTGATTGGTTTTTGAACAATAATATTTCAGCAAATTATGTATATTTTTTCTATGTACTGTCGAAATTTACTAAAAACTTAAGGACGCCGGTACTGATTTAAAATTATTTTATACGTTGTTGTGAAGTAAATAATATTGTTTGAATTTTATTTTTAAGCTACAAAACAATAAAACAGTAAAAACAATTTTTACCAATATATTATTGATTTTTATCAATAGAATCTCACTGTTTTAAATAAAGTATCTCTTTTTCTATCTAAAGTATTTTAACTGTGTATCATATAAAAGTACCCAATATAGGATATTACAAATGGCGCGAAGTGCGAAGATACTCATATATACTCCATATCTCCAAAACCTCTGAAGCAATTGTAATAAGACTTGGACTGTTCTCAAGATCACGATTTTTTACTTTTTTGTATAATGATGCACTTACTACTACAGTATACTATATATACTTTAGAACCCTAAAAATATCTTCGACCTATCGACTTATGGTTCTTCAAGAAAAGAGCTTTCTGGCAATGTGACTGTCCATAAGCGGCGGTATCACTTAACATCAGGCGAGCCTCCTGCCCGTTTGCCTCCTACTACATTATAAAAACTATGTACACGTACACGGTCAAATCGATACACGTATACGTAGACGTACGTCTTCAGCTAACACCAGGGTGCGGTGGCGGTATATAATATACTAATAATTGGGTACTAAGCGTCGTTAAGATATAAATAGCATAATAAGCAACCTTTAGCAGCGGCTTCGACGATGAGACAAGCCCGTTCCAACATGGCGTCGCTCTGTTCCTTGCACTGCAGTACTGCGCGTTGTATCTCGTTGTAGTTGAGGGCGTGTGCGTGCGGTAGTACCGATAAGGCCAGCTCAGCCGCCGCCCGAACAGTTTGGACGTCGCGACCCGATGAGGCCTGTTAAATAACACAATAAAGATATTTCAATAATGTAAAACCCAACTTTTAACACGTGAAGTGTTAAATTTAATCGCTAAAATTTGTAATTTGTATTACCATACCACCTCGCTCACATGTTACCCCCTATTTGAACAACTTAAACTTTCTAACAATGAAAGGTCGACAAAAATATTTGGCATGTTTGTTATTTGATATACATATATACTAAACAACCTGAATATTTGTACAAAAAGGTCCTCTGGCGTAGTAATGCCAACAAGCACCAAGTCAGGAGTTGTACTCAGGAGCTGGCCATTCCCCAGCATCGGACGGCTTCATTTCGTGGGAGTTTTAAATATAGCGCGACGAAGTGCTGGAATAATATCCCTCCTCCGCTGAAGAGTCTTCAATTAAAGTCAAATTTTAGTCGCAGTTATAAGACACATCTACTTACTCAACAAAAGTCCCACGAAATTTAGTTTTTATCCATCCAAAAAAACAAAAACAAAAAATATCTACTTATTTACAATTATTCTTATTTTTAACTTTTAATTTAATTTAATTTACTATATACCCTTACACACGATTTTCATTACTCACACTGCTAACTTTAATATTATTATTTTCTACTTAGTATTATTATTATTCTTTTTAATATTTTTCTTTGCTACTGAGGCGCAAACTAGCTGCTATGGCAGAATGACCAGCGCTGTGGAACTTTTTGCTCCTCAGCATAATGCTGAGCCAGGGCCAATTACAACCACAGTACACACACATTGCACACTGGAAGCGAACCGAATGGCAAAAGAGAATTTTTAATTTTAATTTTTATTGTTTTTGATATGTCATGTTATTTTTTTTTAAGTATTGTTATTTTGTGTGTTTATGTGTGTGTGTTTTCGTTTGTAATAAATGTCATGTCATGTCTTATGTCTAAAATGTTAAAATATACATTTTTAGACCATAAGTTAAAATAACCTATGGGGCCGTTCATAAAATACGTTCGCATACAAGGGGAGAGGGGTCTGGCTGAGTGTGACAAGATGTGACAAGGGGGGACGGGGGTATACGGCAACGTGACGTTCGCCGTTTATCATTATTAGAAAATCCTTGGACTTCTGAATAATAGAAATATTATTTATATGTTCGTTATGAAAGATATAGAATTTGTGTACTATCATATTTTAGAATTTATCATACTCAGCAGGGGGGGGGGCCTTCTTGGTTTTTGTGACGAAATATTTCTAGGGGGGGGGTCACAGAAAGTGAAGTGTGACAATAGGGGGGAAGAGTGTCCAAAAAAGGCGATTTTAGTGTGACGTATTTTATGAACGGCCCCTATGGTCCATAGAAATGGGGACTGTAACAATTTAATTTAAGCCATCTAAGATCTTGCGTTCCCTCCCGTCTCCCGATAACGTATTTGAAAGATTTAAAAAAAGTATAAAATATATAATTAGTTTTTTTTAATCATCTTCGAAGTGTTCTTCACCTTGCCTAACTGCGGTTTACAGAACTTCTAATCAACACAGCTATTAGGGTTAACTCCACAAAGCAACGAACGATTTAAATTACCTTATCAGCTATTCCAGCTGCTTCAGGCGGTGTCAAATGACCTTCCCAAGCATCGATCAAGAATAGAATTGCGGGTGCACCAATATCCATGGCTTGACCTTAAAAAATACTTAAATATAAAAAGGAAGTCTATATATGCTTTACATTATCAAAATAAATTTAATATAACACGTTAAACGACAATTGTAACAAATTCTGTAATATTCGTTTCTCCAATAAACCTTTAAATTAAAAAGTAAGGAAACCATTATTATAATTTAATAATTATTATTTGTTTAATAAGAAGCAATGGACATGTGTCCACATTAATAATACTTTCAGTAACAAATGAAATCGTCCAAATGCTTTAAAGCTTGCTTTCAAGAGTGAGTTTAAAAAACAATGTATTTAATTTTAACACAAATATATGTAGGTCTACGAAATTCACCGGGTCATATAATTAATAATAAAATCAAAATTGACAAACTGAACAAAACAAAATTCAGTGTGTCGGTTTTTTTGACGGTGCGCGCGCGCATCGTAAAATTTACTTTCATAATTTTTCCCTAACGCGCCAAAGGAAGTATAACTTAAAAAACTATGTTTATTTATTTATAACGATAACAGATAATGTGGCGACTGCCTCTGTCAAATTACGTTTTACCCTCCACCAAAAAAAAACGTATTACGAATCGGGGATGAACTTCTGAATATGCTAACCTAGAATTATCTTTTAATAATCTCACCTGTTATCCAGCTCACATGTGAAGAATACGTACGACTGAGCCAATTGGCGCTAACACAGTTATGTAGGCCGAGCGCGTAAAGGCCCAGTTGGAAAGCCGCCATATGTAAACCTCTGAAAGAACAATATTTTATGATACTTAATGAGCACTATCTCACAATATGCATATTTAAAACATGTATTTAAAAGGATATTCTCATACAATTAGTATGAAACCATTGCAACCAAAACTGCGTATCTACTTTTCAACCTCGTTCTACAAGAACGGACGTGGTTTGCGAACTTGAAGTGAATATGAATTTAGTCATTTAGGTTTTCTTGATGTTCCTATGATAATATGATTGCCTACATAAATTTTACAGGTTGTCCTAAGTCAACGTCAAGGTAAAGTAATTTAATAATTTTCTTGTAAGTACAAACATAATTTTTTTTTCTTAATTTTCTGTGGTTATCCAATATTCTTTTTCGGTTTGACTTTGATTTTGAGAATACTTGTATCAATAGATCTTATATAAAGAAACCCGGGAAGATGAAAAAAAGAGATAGAGTGGAAATATTGAAAAATTTGCGCACGTTTGTATTAATGTAACCATAGCAGTCTTGTTTAAGAACGTGACAAATGCATATAGTAGTTTTTCAATTTAGTTTTTATGTTGGTTAACGTTAAGCTACCTAATAACTCACTGGGTAGTACATTTATTAGCCGCGGTAGGAAATACCTTAACGTTCTATCGCCATATACGTTGTTTGCTATGTACAGAGCCGAACTTGCGTTGCCGCTCGGGTCTGTACGTCATATTCAACTCGATTTTTTATGTCATCTCGAAAAAAGCGCGACTATACTCAGATTTTTAATTTTGTAGAATTCTGACATTTCATAAATGTTGCTACTAAAAAAGTTCTCCACCGAAAAAGGGACAAATTTGACACATTTTAGGGCAATAAAATAAAATGCTACGTATTGTTTATGTTTTACCTACAAAAAGGTAAATCTTAATATTTACTTACTCAAGTGACCTAATACAAAAATAACAAATATTTCAATATCACGAACAATATATCGAATTAACTTTAATTACTTTATTTTATTCTTTAGCTAGCATCACTGCCTACTAATTCCAGGTTTAGTAAACATTTAAAAAAAATGTTATCTACGTAATTACTAACAAACTAAATGTTTGTATAGAGTCAGATGTTGACTCGTATTGAAATTGAAAAATGTGCCCGGCCAAAAAGGTTTGTAATCTCTGAAATGTGAAAAAATGATGGCTGTCAGAATTCTACGGAATTAAAAATCAGAGTATAGAAGACATTTATTTACTTTTTCTGTTATGAACAGTATTTTAGTGTTTAAAAAAATTTCTTTTCATAATTTTTATATGAAATAACAAAAACTGTATATCTGTAAAACGGTCGTCTCGTTCAGAAGTACAACGATGGCGGCTGATTGTTGGTCTCCGAGTGAATGCTCCAGTCTCTTGTCTATCGTCTGTATACTCGGGATACAGCAGATTGACTCAAGTGAAGCTGGGAAGCGACTACTCGCTGACTGAGTCCTTGTTGCAATAAGGCAAAAACTTGAGCGGCTTCTTGAGGTGTGGTATCCATGGTTTCTTGAAAACAATGAATGCAGGTTGCGGAGATGTGTATCGGTCAACTGTTGATAAGCGACTGATAAAGGTTGAAGGGTAACGGGGGTTTTATGGGTAGAGGGTAGCGCAACTGGCTGGTAGCGTAGTGAGTAATTTGTCCCATACGCCCTCATTGCGCAAATTAACATGTTGGTAGTCGTTTTATTTAGTCGCGATGTTTTTTTAAAGCTTAGGTTTCAAGCTTTCAAATGACATATCATTTTTATTAAAATGTTGTATACTTTCACTTAAAACAATCTTTGAATGCAGAGGTAGCGCTTGAGTCGACTTGTTTGCTCGCGAGTGTATTACCTGGTATAGATTCAAGAGACAAGACAATTATTATGTTGTTTACCTGTGAGGTCCATGATGTTCTCTGGCACACGAGGTCTGAGTGAAGAGGCTGGTACTTGACGATCCTCCAGCCTTGAACAGCACTGACTTGGCCAATTCGAACATAAAGTGAGACGACGCCTCCGAAGGCTGATTTGGCACTGAGGGATATTGTCGCTTTCCTTTGTATCTGTAAAGTATTTTAATACAATCTAAAATTTGTTCATGTTTTTACACTAATCTTTTAAACTTTTGATGTTTCGACAAGTAATTTAAACTTTTTTGAAACGTTATTGAAATTTCGCTGTAGAATGATAACCTCGTATGTCCAGAGAACCAAACATTACAGGAAACGAAAAAAATGTTTCATTTCGTCAATGTTCGTTGAAATATTTTTGTGTTTTTGTCCATAGTTTTCGATATTTATTAATAACATAAATAAGTTCTTACTTCATGATTATACCCATTTAATGACACAAGAGTCTAAGAATAAAAAATAAATGGTCTTTTGACATACGAGGTTATATTCTACAGCAACGATAAAATAAATAAAATAAAATATGTTTATTATGGAACATAAGATACAGGTATCACTTATTCCACGTCATGAAATTTGAATCTGTAGGCATCCCTACTCATCTGCAAAGAAGACAGAGGGTTTAGTCCGAGAGAAAAAGCAGGCGTAAAAAACTCTCGGTACTCTTTTAAAATAGCAAATCATCAAACAACACTTATTTTAAAACAAAATTCGCAAATAACTTGCGCAAATCTGTCTACCACTAGTCCCAGGCCCTTTTATCAACTAGATAATCGTTGACTTTATAGTAACCCTTTTTACACAGCTTTTCTTTAATACATTTCTTAAATTTATTAAAAGGCAGAGATAAAAGAGCCTCTGGGATTTTATTAAAGAAGAGTATCCCTTTTCTTTCCCTTGAATTTATCTCTCAGAGATTCCCTACATTTTAAATTATTGATTGCACGAATAGCTCTCTTCAAAACGATAGTCCATGCTTTTATTATAAAGCCAATGAACTTGATACAAAATATTAATTAAACGAAATTGTTAGAAAAGCTCATAAAACCATAATATTTTCGAAGTTTGATACCTGGTATCCTTAAGCCTAGGCAAGGTATGTGTAGTATGCGTCTGATGTGAATGGGGGACTGTGGGGGGCGAGCCATTCCCTTCTCCCACTGTGAGACGTTCCATCTCACCAGAGAGGTTACACGATGGACCCTGTACAATATAACCTTTGGTATAATAAAATCTTACCTTTAAAAATATTCTAACGGAGACGAAAATAGAAGGAACGGAAAATTCTTAATTCTTGTTCACATTTTTAAAAAAAATCAGCGGCGCTACAACCTCTTTAGGCCTTGGCCTCAGATTTCTGAATCTGTTTCATGATCACTTTTAAATATAATAGGCAAGTAGGTGATCAGCCTCCAGTGCCTGACACACGCCGTCGACTTTTTGGGTCTAAGACGTCGGTTTCCTCACGATGTTTTCCTTTACCGTTCGAGCAAATGTTAAATGCGCACATAGATAGAAAGTCCATTGGTGCATAGCCGGGGATCGAACCTACACGATCTCAGGTCGCACGCTGAAGCCACTAGGCTAACACTGTATAAAAATCCTCGCTCTTATCTGCATAAATACCAAGAACATTGAATAAAATTCGCTTCACTATGAGAAGTTCAAAGTGTGCAATAAATAAAGTAGTAAAAATATTTACCGTAATAAAAAAAACAATTAGCTATTTGACAGCTATGTACAGAAAAGTTATATCTGTATTTTTATACAGATCCTCTCAATAAAACTTTATTTTTTAAACTGCATAATAATCCCCGTCTAATACTAATACAGTATTGGAATTTAATTTCGTGTAAGACTGATTTCGATCGAAACATAATAGAGATAATATGTGTAAATTAATAATGATATTAACCACATAAAGAACGTGACGTTTGTTTTTGTGTTTAGTCATGAAACATTACCATCTACCCTAACTTAAGACTAATTAGTAATTTAATTCTAACCTAATTTACTAAAAGGATTTTCAACATAAAAAAGTGTCTAATAACACTACTTACAGTCTCTATTAAAGGGAAGACACTCTGTTCTATTACCAAAGACAATAATTAAAAAGAATAAATTCAATTAATTAAATCCTTCATGATTATAAAACAACGGGAAGTATAAAAAGTAGAAAGTGCTAAAATAAGATGAATCTTACGGCCACAGGCATATTAGCTGGAGGGTGATGGTGGTGATGCTCGCTGCGAGTATTGAAGCGAGGGTTCGTGGAGTAATACATGCTGACCATTGGACCCTTTGTCAGCTGGTGGATATCGCGGTCAAGGAGCTGTAAGATAGTTATTTATTATTATAGAAAACATCGTGACACAATCGGAAAACAATTTATATTTTCCAGTACTTTTTTAAGAATAAAAGCTAAAGAAAACTAATCCAAGTTCAGTCATACTAAATTCTATAAAATTAAGGAACAAATTTCATATCATTGAAGAAACATTATTGTTACACCGTAATTAATTAATAGACTATATCGTTTGATATTGGATCGCAATTAATTTGATCTTCCTTGTAGCGACCATTTAGCTAAAGCGTCCCTTGAATTTAAAGCATTATTTAGTACATAATGCAGATGACTATACCAAGTTTGAATGTAACGCAGAGTTCGAGTATGGCGACTGTTTGATGACTCATTTATATATAAAGAATTTGAATCATTTCCTAAAATCTCATGCGAATATTGCGACCAGAATCGATTTCAGACACATTCTTATATTTTGTTTACAACCACAGTGGTCGGAAAATGTGGAGACTTAACATTTTATAGATATTGGTTAAATTAGTATATTTCCGAGTACTAATTTAACCAATAATAGTGGTGTGTCTCTAGTCAAAATATGTGGCTGTAAGGTAAAGAGACCTTTGCCGATCACATAAGATTGGTTTATTGTCGTTATACCCGAAATCTACTATATTATTATTATATTTAAGAATAAAGAATAAAATAGTAAATATGTACTCGATATACTTGTTAGTTGTAGGCACCTTCATATTTTCCATTCACTTTAGTAACAAATACGTCTACAGAGCAGTTTTATCTCTCCATAAAAAAAATACCAATTCTACCTGTCTGTGCAGTAAAAGAACCAACATGGCGGCGATGCGAACAAATATAATTCTCATTTTCTACGCGTCATTAATTCGTAAAATGTATAAAATTTCTAATTTCTCATATAAGTATCAAGATTACTGTCGCACTATAATGACGTAGCAGCTTTGTAAAAACTACATAAATCACGCTAAATTCCAACCTTATTCATAATCCGGGCGAGTTTAACGGGATCGTCCTTGTAGAAAGACAGCAGGGTCACGGCTAGGTCACCGCGTTGTCGTCTCGTGCCTTCACATAGTAAGGGATGATCTGCTTCCGACACGTTCGCTTTGAGGCCTAGGGCTGCCACTGCCGCTTCGAAGCCTAGTAATTCGTCTGTTAGCAGTCTTGCCTGGAAAAAGTAAAAACTTGCCTGAATACGTGTCTAAAGCATATTCCCTTTTAACGTGGATTAAATAGAAATTTTCGAATGTGTCAAAGTATTTAAAAGCAAGTCTATACCAGTACATAACAATACGACAATTAAATGAACAATCAAAGAAATCTTGTTAGATCCGGTCTAATAACGTAAGCGAGGGTAAAGAAAAGGGTCTTATTAGGTAAAGTTTAAGATGTGCACTCATTGCAATAGAATCTGAGATGTAAGGTAAGAAAACAATTCAAATCTATGAAAAAATAATTATTGAGTAGAGTAACTCGTTGTGATAGAGATCCAAATTAGGCCTTAACAGAATTTATGTTATGTACCTAATAGTACCTCTGGCTTGCGGTTTACGCGCTAATTCGATCATAGCATGATATTAGCCTTTTTTCAATAGATTATCCAGTAAAAAATATTTTAATGGAATCTGTACTTCCCGACACGGAACGACGGTCGGAAAGCCGTGTTCTACACAAATTAAGCACCCCTTTTAAAAAAAAAAGAATAGATTTCCAGAATATTTTTCAATTTGTTTTTAATTTTTCCCGTATATATCTTTTTTGCTGATAATGAAGAAAAAGGGTAACAGGGAGACAATTTTTAAAATCGATTCGGTAGTTTAAGAATGTATCCACTAAAACATTATCTTAAATATCTGAAGGAGGCAAACAGAAACGAAAGAACGGGTCTCGCTAGCAATTAGGACCCGGCTCGTCGATGAATATTGTAAATTATAATATTACCGATGTAGCCGGGGCGTGTCTCGAGAGACGAAGTATGTTTTTGAAGTTATACTGCTTTAGGCGCGTTATGAAAAATTTATGACAGTGAAATTTTACAATGCGCGCGCACCGTGACACAAAATTATCAGTATGGGCGCCGAGCGTGCGCGAGCGAGATGGGAATAAGACAATCTACAAGTAAAAAGAAATAGAATATGCGTGACGTTAGCTATGCCAAGAATTTTGAATGACCATAATGACATTTGTAGTACCTTTTAAACAAATAAAGGAGTTTTAATTTTTTTTTCAAAGAAATTTAGCAATGCTTTTTCACAAAGACCTATTGTTACTTAGTTAAAAGGTTATGAAACATACCTAGTTATTAAATTGAATTAATAATATAATAAAATAATAAATAATAATAATTATTATTATTAATATTAATTAATAATTGAATAATATACTAAATATTAAATATTGTTAAATTATTAACGCTAAATATTTATTATTAATTATTTAATATTTAAAAAAAATAAAGAAAGCCAAATAAGTATAACTTCTTACGCGCGTACATAAGTACACGCACCTTTTTTTTAAATTTTAATTTTAGCTCTGTGTGTATCCTTTTAATAACAATAATATATAGAAAAAAATCCCTGGACACAATGGCAGTGGAGTAGATCGAGGGGAAAAAAAGAAACTAATTATCTTTGTAATATTAGAGTTAATTTATAATTAGTGGTATTTTGTGACTTACTGGATGTTTGTTTTCAGACGCTGACAGCACAAGAACTTCAAACAAGAAACTGGCCAATGATATCGGCAACAATGCTGGACCTCTGCTTCTGAAATTAAAATAAATAAATATGAGAAAGGCTTCAGTATTTTTTTTTTAATTAAAATACCGTTTAATAACTGTTTTTCGACAGGCTTGCCTATATGATAAAAAGGACCTTGCTATTAAATTATTAACTATTATTATTTAGAATCAAAATATTGCAAAAGCGATTTATTACACGTATGAAATATTCTTATTTGTTGTTGAGGCCTGCTAAAAAGAATTATATCATAGAATCGTCAACATTTAACGAAATTTTCATTAACATTTAGGCAAATCGTACATGTTAGATATAAATTGTCATTATAAAGTTATGTAGTTTTTTAAAACTAAATATACATATAAAATCGAAAACTAAATCATATTTTGTTAGAGATATACAGTAAACCCCATTATAACACGGTAGTCTTATAACGCATTTTTATATAACGCGATTACGTGAAGATTGGACACATTATATTTCTGTACTGTGACATTTATAAAGATTAGTACGCACATATTTCGTTCATAACATAAGTTCTCTTAATATTCGATATAACGAAAAAAATTATAGTGAATCATTTGTACATAACGCGTAACATGGACTCATACAAGCGCGTTATGCAAAAATACGCCGACTACACGAAACCAATTTACCGTGTTATAAGAGGGATTACTGTACTTACAATTGTGTCCCATAAACCATTTTAGCAACGAAAATATCCAAAGAAATTTATTAGAACAAACGTAAGTGTTCAACATTGTGTTTCAATTCTTATATTTACTGAAAATACTTTATTTTTTAAGAATTAAATATATCTGATCTGTATATTTTATTCAATATTACCTTAGCAATCCATCTCTCAGTTGTTCCGCCTTCTCCCTAGCCAGATCCAGTTGCTCTGCACCAGTCGGCAGTTTCTTCAGCAAGGCGACCAGCTCGGACTCCTGATTGTTCAGTTTCACTTCCAGAGCTTTTGTACTGGCTGGAGGACGAGCCATTTCCAACGCGAAAAGACCCACACGGAATGCTAATTCGTGTTGTTCGCTGAATTCCGCCAGAACCTATTCACATATGTAATTGTTAAATAAGCACATATAACATTTTTATGGATGAAAATTTATTACTTTTAAGTCAGACAGAACTGCATTTTTGTTTGAAGTGATTGTGCTTGTGATATATATATATGTGTGTGCTTTAATCAAATAAATGCTTTTTCGTTCTTTCTTTCAAATAAGCAAACCGTGTAAACACCACACAAAAAAAACACGTCGAATTGACAACCTTTTTTTAAAGTCGGCTATAAATGCATAAACACACAAAAACTCATATATTATTATTTATTAGCGTTGTGGATAAAAGCGACTCGTAGCAGTTACCATTAGTATCAATATATGAACCGAGCATTAATACAGCAACAAACTTTACGGCAACGGTCAGAAGGCGCATCACAATCACTCACAATGCTAGAAGAATTGATACGGTCTTTTCTAGAACAATTCAAATAGATTCGCGTGGAAAAAAAACTCACAGTGCAAAGGAAAGCGCATTTAGCAAGCGTGGTCGAAGCGAGATTCGAGGTGCGATGGCTGGCTGCGCAGAGACGCGGGGACGGTGCGTGACGTCTACGAGCACGTCGCAACTCCGCTGCACTGCTGCTGTAGCCTGTACCTATAAGCGTAACATACGTATGTAAAAAAATCATGTGTGTGTACTTATGTACACGCGTTAGAAGTTATACTTCTTTGGCTTAACAAGATAAACATCTTTCGCCTTATTCTATGTTTGTGGAAAAAACGACACTAACAATAGAAAAATAGTAGTTTATGCAACTGTCGTATAATAGAGGGTATTAAAACATGAGTGTTTTAATACCTAATTATATGCAGTTGCAAACCCTTCTTTATTTAATCTCATGGCTATAGGTAGCTACATTTAATAAAATGCAATATAAAAGAAACAAAAGTCTGTTATTGGTATATTGGCTCGAAACCAGCGCCTTGCGCTCACCACAGATAATGTATACGTAAATTGAATTGAAACCTCCTTGGTCGGGACATATTGTTCTTTAATAATTTAAAAAATGTTTTAAAGCATTGTTTTGTTAGGAGAATAATGCTTTAATTTAATTTTTTAATTTTCTTAAAGAAGTAGGTAAATAAAATATTTTTATTTATTTGAAAGTTTTATTATAACGCATTATCTAGATAAAGTTTATTTAAATATCACAATTTTTTTATTACATATTTTAAAATGTTGACTATGCTAACTTGAGAGTGTCGGTTTTTGTGACGGTGTGCGGGTGTCGGTTTTTTTGTGACGGTTTGCGCGCGAACCGCAAAAATTTACTCTGATCATTCGCGATTATAACGGATTAAACAGTACTTATCCGGAGCTGCTTATACTCGGGTAGTGGGCTGATCCGTTTTAAAGAAAGCATTGTTAGGTGCCTATCTCGAACCCAATCCGATGTTTTGCTGGTTTTTTTTGTGCTTAACAAAAAATTCTGGTAGTTTTATTGCATTTTTAAATTTTTTTAGTAAAATTTATGTTTACCTAAATTGTGATAAATTTTAGATAAGAGTTTGTAACATATACCGTAGATTAAATACTATGTATGATGTAGTAAACTTTTAATAAATAAATAAAATAGATTGAAAAATATGCTTGGGACGAGAATCAACAACAATAGTCCGTCCACTAACGCTTCAATAAATTCCAAAAGAAATAGTTCACCATAGTTACCTAGCAAGGCTGGTGGTCTAGCCAATAGCTCTCTGGCAAGACTGGCGCCAAGTGCGCAGGCCTCTCTGGCATGTCCGTGCGCGTGTAAGCCTTCAGCTCGCGCGAACTGAACTTCCCAACCGCACTGCCAACTAGCGCCGCTGCTACTGGCTCCACCCACACTGTTGGCCTAAAATAACATTGATACAATGTTTTAGTAAAAATTTAAAAGGTCACCTGATATTCATAAAATAAATAAGAATATTTTTTTTTCTCCCATTTAACATTTGAAACAAACAATACGATTACAGTTAAGAAGGTATTGGGAGACCGGTTTCTAAGCTAGGTTAGAACCTGTGATATGGATAACCAGGGTTCCATTCCATACATGAGGAGGCAAACAAATTGAAAGTTTAAAAAAAAGAAAAAAACAAAACAGTCAACTAGAAGTGAGGTAAGGTAAGTAAAGTTACATATTAATATTTTTTGGATTTGTGTGCATATATGTGTGTGTTGAGAGGTTGTGTATGCGTGTATGCGAGTGTGTGTATGTGTGAATTAATTAAACGGTATCTGTTTAATCAATTAGTGTTTGATTAAATCTCTAATCGAAATAACATTGGTTTTTTTTAAATGTTCTCACTACACTAATAATACTTCACTAATTACACTTTAGTGCTTTCCATTAAAATAAAATATATCAACAAAAAAGTATACAAAATATGCTCGGTAAATAATAATAATAACAACCCAGTTCTAGAAATTTCCAGTTACCCCGTTTATTGCGCTTGATCCGTCAGCTGCCACTCTTCTAGCAGCTGTAGCATCATAGAAGTACAGTTGACATTCATCATCAGAGACGGAGTCATCCCTGGGTGGAATTGCATCATCAGACGAAATCGGTGGAGATGAATCCTGAGAGTCGGTATCACCACCATCTGCACCGCTTACTTGCATTTCTTCTTCATTTTCACAAAAACCTTTAAATTATCAAAAATATAAAAATTAGTTCTAAACGTTCAGAAATAAAAATTTGAACACGATTTTAAAGCGTTAACACGATTTGAAACATGAAATTATGTTCATAAAATAATAAATTGGTGTTTAAAATAAATAAATCAGTGGCGCTACAACCTCTATAGGTCTTGGCCTCAGATTTCTAAATCTGTCTCATGATCATTTTTAAATCTAACAGGCAAGTAGGTGATCAGCCTCCAGTGTCTGACACAACGCCGTCGACTTTTTGGATCTAAGGCATGTCGGTTTCCTCACGATGTTTTCCTTCACCGTTCAAGCAAATGTTAAATGCGCACATAGAAATAAAGTCCATTGGTGCACAGCCGGGGATCGAACCTACGACCTCAGGTATGAGAGTCGCACGCTGAAGCCACAAGGCCAACACTGCCCTTTCTCAAATTGGCGTTTAGTTACAGTTATATTTACTTGTGTAGTATTCGGATAAAATTAATACAAGTCTGACATCTGACTGAAAGTGATTTGCCTTAGGCCTTATATTATTTTTTGAGAGAAGAATTTAAAAAATACAATTATTACCTTCAGATGAGACACTCGAATGATTCCCGTCACTTGGTCCGGGATCACGAGCTGCTTCCTGGCCAGAACCACAAGCCTGGAAATATATGTTATTAGCATAAAAGATATAACAAAGTGCTCAGGGTAATAGTAAAAGCTTCTAGTACTTTAGCAATAACGATCTCTATTGGGACGTTAATGTGGAGGACGTCGACATAATAATTAAAAAGACTGTAGAAGCCCACGAAGGCTCCACAATCACGTGGAGGTCGAGGCTATTATACTTGACAACACTTCTTGTCAAAACCATTCGAATTAGTGAATTAGTGTGAGAGCACGTCAGTGCTAAGCCCGTGCGCGATTTACGAATTCTCCCTTTGTGACTTATAAATAATCTATTCTTGTCTTAACGCTTTCTTTTCTCTTATTGTGCTACAACTCATATAATTTATTAACTTTGTTCCTTCTGTATACGTTGTAATAATTATATATACTTTAGACGTGAAGAAGTTATCTTTGTCTTCCCACTGCCTAGCCTAGAAACTTATTATATGGTGTTCGCCTCTCGCGCACCTATACAGTGGTAAATGGATAAAAAATAGTACACAAGAACAGAGTGTCTTCCCTGTATTAGAGACCGTAGGTAGTGTTATTGGACACTTTCTTATCTTAAATAACCTTATTAGTAAATTAGGTTAGACCTAAATTACTTATTAGTCTTAAGTTAGGCTAGATCGTGTTACACGATATCTCAGTGAAGAGAGGTGTATTAAAAATATAGTAGTTGTAGGGCAAGGAAGATACCGTTAGTCTAAGCACCGGTCACTAAAAGTATAATTGATTGACCTGCTATTTGAAAAGTAGTCAAATATATCGATCACGTGACTAAAGTTGGTTGACAGTTATCTATGTTAGTTAGGTACGTCGAAAATGTATTGACTTTTTCGCGAGCTGTTCGCGCTAAGTCTCGTTTATGAATCTCACTCTAAGAGTCCACTTCATGAAGAAAATAAAAGTGTTCTAAATATCAGTAGAAAAAAAGGCTTCAGACTGCGAAGTTCCCGGTCTAGTTTACAATATGGCAAACCCCAACTAGATATATTAGTAATTGAATTATTAGTACCTAAATGAAAAAATTGTTATTGATGAACACGAAAAGTAAAAAAACTAACCTGGTTCGAAGGACCAGCAATCGCTAAATCAACAGTTATTCTACTGTTTCTGTGAACCAGAGTGCGATGTCCTTGCATTGAGGGATCAGGATTCGTCAGCCTATAGCTGAGAGACATCTCGTTGTTAAGTACTGCCTTTGATGAATTTACCTATAGACGTCCACGTACAACCTCATTATTTATTTCGTAAATATAGCCAAATATAGAATACATAACATGTATAAACAAAAAGGTTCCAAAGTAAAAATCTATAAAAAATATTAAATCCATTTAACTCTAAATCTTTTATAAGATTTATAACATTTTTCTGGAAAACCCTTATTATGACTTCAAGTGGTATCTTTAAAGGGAACTAGAAGGAACTCTGAAATAGATTAAATTATAGTATAAAGATATAGTACTATAAATATACGATATATACTGTATAATAGGCAAGGATCCAAATTGTTAAATTACTGCATAGTGGGCACTAAGATCACAAATTATAAAAAAAAGTGAATAACACAAAGCAAATAGGTGTATAACGTCCTTATATGCCGCCAGGATATTGTGTATGAAATCCTTATTAATCTCTATTAACCAGAAAGATTGTTAATACAGCGCAGCTCATTTCTTCAGGTGAAGTTAGACTTGTACAATAGTAAAATTATAAGAATCCTATAATAATCCTATTTCATAGCTTATCTATCTTATCTAATAAGAAGTCTCTTACACGTCGTCATTTTTTGGATTACATACATGCCGATTTCCCGTACTATAACCAACGAGTGTTAAGTGCGAATATAGTAAGTCCATTGATACGGCCGGGGATCGAACCTACAACCTCAGGGATGAGAGTCTCACGCTAAAGCCACGAGTCCAACACTGCTAGTAGGTTAAAGGTTAAATCTTATTATATTTAGATACATTACCTGATGAACACTGTCTGCCTGCTTATCCGAATGCCTGAATATAGTAAAAGGACTATGGTAGAGCGGATTAAGGTCCTTTGTGTATGTAACACCAGCTATTGGGTAGTCGTCCCATTCAAGGAAACAGGCTTCCATAGCAGGGTTGAAGCCGGGAAATACTTCTGTCTCACTTATACCGTTGATGTATGGCGGGTGAGAATGCGCACGCACATGGCGCGGATGCGACGTATTTATGTGATTGTTTCGATTCTTTGCCACCTGTACATTTGGAAAAAAATAATTTCATCTTAGTTTACCTGGCCATAATCATCAAAGTATAGTACTATAAGTACAAAGTATATAGATATTGAAATATATATAGAGGTCGTATCACCCACGAAAGACACAACTATACTTAATGGCAGTATGTCGACTTTTATGGAAACAAACACCGACCACTCCACAGCAAACACAAACCTACATATGAGCCATCCAAAAAACGCACTTTCTTCGCCCAACGCTATTCTCTTTCAGAGGCCCTTTCACCTCTTTCTTAAAAACAAAACTTTCACTCACGATTCAAAACTTTTTAACATTTTTAGCTAACAATTTAAAGCAACATCTTCTAAACCTGTCCTATACTGAAACCGAAAGTATTTTTCTTGTGCAACAGTTAATTTATACTAAGTGTTACGTAGAAGTGATTACTTTAATCATAAGTATGTCAAGAGGAAGAGCCTAGCACAGGGAATTCATGTGTGGAGGCTAGTGCACTTTCTAATTTGACTGTATATTATTAATTATATGTTAAACGGTTTGAACTCATCGGAAAAAATCAGGCCTTATAAATAATTTATTAAATATGTCATCTAACATACCTTGTCCAAAACCTTCACGTGCCATTGAGTGAACTGCTCATGAAGCGTATCTCTTTCGTGTGGTGCGAGTCCAGGGTTCAAAGCCGCGAGACGCCATAACACCACCACCTGATAATCAAAATACATTTAAAACTGAAATGTGCAAACTTTACAAACATGAAAAAACCAGAACATTTTCTGTGGTTTTCCCATGCCTGTAATATCTATGACCGGAATGAAACGCAGTGAAATTTAAATCCAAAAAGAACAGAGACGCCACGTTTAAGGCTACCCTCAGATTACTTTTTTCATGATCATTTGTTTGTTCTAATAGCTTAGTAGGTGCTACACACGCCGTCGACTATAGGTCTAAGGCATTTCCTCACAATATCCTCCATACGAGCAAGTATTAAATGTGCACATACAAAATACCATTAGTGCAAGTTGTGGTTCGAACCTAGGACCTTAGGGATGAGAGTCGCACGCCGACGCCATTAGGCAAACACTGCTCTGAATAATTGATTAAAAAGAACATATATGTAAACACAAATTTTTAATATCCTTTATATTTACCTCGTCACACAGAGAAGAACAAGCGTGCTGAGCGGTGGAGTTTCCGCCGCCTCCGCCATGCTTCCCCCCCGTACCGCCACCCCACGCCACTAAGGCCGCTTTAGTGCTGTACCACCAGACTATTATCTAGCGAATTTAATAACATCCGTTACATATATGTAGATATGATTACGGCTCCATCCGTGTACGTTGATTTTTCTTTCATAAGAAAATAAGTATTAAATCAAGTAAAACTCTATTATATTAAATTTCTCATTAAAAAAAAAAAAAAAATTTTTTAAATAAGTATTAAATCATGTAAAACTCTATAACTCTCGTATGTGTTTCAACACAAAATATTGCTTTGAAAACTTCCGACGGGATTTTTTAAAAGGAAATATAATAAACGGTTCGAAAACCTATTCCGTTTTTTTTAATGTAAGTAAATAAATTATTACCCAACAAAACTTAATACGGCCAATTTTTTTAAAACTTCTTATCTAATTATAATTTTATACCACTTAATGTATAATAACCCACCAATTTTCACCCAAATCGGTTCAGCCGTTCTTGAGTTATAGATAGTGAAACTAATACTACTTTCTTATATATAAAGATTATTGGTTTTATAATTGATATGTAGCTATTTGTTGTTATAACCTGTTTGTCTTAATTTAGTGGTCAAAATAAAATAATAATTTTCTACAAACAAACCTGTTCACAAGCCATGACCTCTTCAGTGATAATCTCGAGTAGAGGTATAGCATTTCGGTCGCTACGTTTGAACATCTCTCGTACAATGGAGAGCAAATTCCACATGCCTTCAGGCTCACGTCCGCGCAAAGGCCGCAACAAGGACGACCACTCAGCCGCGGCCGGCGGAGCGCTTGTACTTAGATAATTTACGTCACTGTATACAATTTGTGGAAATGTAATTAATGTTTTTGTGTAAATTGTATTAAAAACAAAAAGCGATAATAGTAGTCATGAAAAAAATAAAATAAATAAATCAGTAGCGCTATAACCTCTTTAGGTCTGGGCCTCAGATTTCTGAATCTGTTTCATGATCATTTTTCAATCTAATAGGCAAGTAGGTATCAGCCTCCTGTGCCTGACACACGCCGTCGACTTTTTGATGTCAGTTTCCGCACGATGTTTTTTTATAATTAAATATTTAAAAATTTAAATAAAAACTTGGAATATTTGGAATGCACGATATTTCATAGATATTGCGAAAAATACGGATTTTTTTTTGTCAATGAGCATGATTTATAGTTGCAGTTAGCTATTCTTATATAAATATTTGTAATTGAGAGAAAATAAGTAACAACCCATTTATAATAAAATTAAGAAAAAGGTTACTTCACAGCAGCAAATTAGCCCTATTCCTTCTAAATTAAATACTTTTATTAAGAGAGCTAAAATATTCATTGAGAATGAATTCAACTAAGATAGAGACAGTAAATAAACCACAATCGATTTACCTAAACACTATTGGAGTTGGTACACAAAATTTCACCAATATTTTATTAATATTGTTGTGTAATGTTTTCTCATCGAGGAACCATGATGTGTATTCATAGGCCGATGCACCTGCGGTTGGGTCAGGTGCCCCGCAAGTTGTGTTAATTTGGTTCGGTTGCGCTGATAATAACTCGTCCAATATTTTCTGGGCCGTTGGAAGAATTTGTCGTGGTAACTCCGATATGAGGTATTGTGCAAATTTCTGTAATTGATCTCGCTGCAATCTCTGTAGAGACTCAGATACTGGTGCTCTGAGACATACTTGAGTTGGCTAAAATTAAAATAGATATTGTTCAACAGGTGTATAACGCGAATTTCTTACATAACATAACTCAATGTTTTAACTGCTTTTCAGCCATTAAAATTAACATGAATTTGTGTGTAAGTAAAATCTTAAACAAAAAATATTCTAAAACAAAATTTTGACAGGTATTTTTGAGAAGTTATATAATCCCATACTGAAAATTTACCACCTAAATTCTTAATGTACAATTTATTTCATTAATCAAATGCAGTTTTTATCTCTCAGATTTGAATCTCATTTCAGGTTTTTATTATAATATATTTAAGAATATGGCCTATAAAGGCGTTTAGTGACTAAATTAGAAAATAAAAATTGCAACACAACAACTTCCCACAACTCTTAAAAATGTTTGAATGAATTATGTAATTTCCTTATATAATAATAGATTTTGAGAATGAATGGCAGAAACTTACTAAATGTATTCTAAAGAGACACACAGCAACAATATGTGAACACCAATGAGCTGATGAGGAACAAGTACAGTTACATGATGATATCTTTTGCCTGTCAAATGTCACTGCTACATTAAACTGAGTCCTTGCCATGGTAAGTAAAACTGTTGCAGATAAGTGAAAACCTGTAAAACACATATTGTTAACAATCACTAGATACAATTTTCTATGAATGTTTTAAAATGTATTGTTCTGGATTCAATCATAAATATATATAATGAAAAAATATATAGTTGTAGTAGTTGTTGGAATATCTTAAAAACACAAAAACATTTAAACCATACCAATTTGTAAAACATCTTTAACCGCTTTGTCTCTAAACAGGTGTTCTCCTCTCTGAAATTCTTCAGCTGATCCATTTGCAAGGCATGAATAAAGACGTATATCATCTTCACTCTCTGGGAAGCTCCAAAATGCAATTTGTAGTTGTAATTGCTCTGGTACTGGTGGATACACATGTTCAACTAACTCAAATGGAATGTGACTGGCGACACACTTAGCAGCCAACTCACTTAGTGATGATACTGGTTTGTCTGTTGAGAAATATGTATAAAAGATAATTTTTAAAATCAAAATAAAAGTCTAGGGTTACTAGAGTTCTTATAATAAAATTATTTCTTTAGTTTTTAAAATCTGAAGATAGCAGATGCTGCTGGATGTGTTAATATTTAAAAATAAAGTAAAACATTAAAAAACAATATATTAAAAATTTACTCAAATCATATAAATTGCAATCAACATTTTATAACTCTTAATTAATTATAAACATGTAAAATTAACAAGTGGATACAAAATATAATTACTGACCAACAACTTTCACTTTATTATAAAAAAAGCTTTATTGAATTCTAAGGTAAACAGAGAATCAGTGAAAGTTAAGAAAGTTTCTGACATAATTAGATGAAATTATTTTTAAAGTTAACTGAAAGAACAAAGAAATCTCATGTCGAAACAATAAGAGCAAGTTTTCAAAGCTGAGGTATTATTAACTGCTCAGTCCAGTCAAAGGTAAATGACTTTAGACCACCTGTTCTTTATGTCAATAGATGCATACAAAACACACATAACTGACACAAAAGGTTCACCTAATAATAAATAGGTAATGATTCCAGTTTTACGAATGCATCTTTAACAAATAAGTATAGGTCATACCACAATCAAACATAAATTATGTCACGAATAAAAGCCAAAACGGAAACAAAGGATCAGCTGTCACAAAGTACCTTGAGTTGGTTTTTTCGTTGGCCGAGGTCCGAATGAATTGGGAAAATTTGGTCTTCTCCAGCCTCGCCAATTATTACACAGGCTTTCGGGTTCCGAACTCCAGCTACACATAGAATCTTCTTCGAAACGTTCGGAATCTTCAAAACTGAAGTGATCTCCCTCCTCCCAATCAAGTAAGGGCGATCCCACATCCACTGGGACAGCTGATCGTCCCGCTTTCCCATTATTATTTGATGTCCCCGCCACTTTATCGAAAATAATTGAAATTTGTTAGAATAATTTCGCTGGATCACTGCAGCGAATTCAGTAGAGGTATTCAGTAACACTAAATATGCATACTTTTATACGCATAGGTTTTTATGACATTGATTATACTCTCTGTGGTAAGAATTAATTGAACTAAAATGCATCACAAAATTAGGGAACTGAATCACTTCCTATTCAAAAATCAAACGATTCAAATAAATTCCTATTTTCTATGGAGTACAATAACAAATATGGCCGTGCAACGTCTCAGTTCGACACCCCCCTCGGCCCTGTCCCTTTCCGCACTCCTCACCACCTCTCGCAAAGTTCATTGTCTTGCTATAGATTTAACTTTTTAGTAATAGATGGCAGATTTACGCAATAAATATAATTTGAGAAAATACAAGGAAATACAACATGAATAGAGGGCAAAAATAAAAAATCTATTTATTCCTAATAAAATGAGAAACGCTTAAAAATATTTCATTTGCGATAACTTTTTTCGGGAAGTAACTCTGTGCTAAATTTATCTTATAACTGTCATCTGGGCTACCAAGTCTATTATCAAATATGAAATGTCATATGTCAATAAACATCAAACAAGATTGTTCTCGATAAACTGTTACTGAATTCTGGTACGAGTTACCACTTACCACAAGTTACAAACTGTTACTACATATATTTTTATTACTTACAAAATCACAAAAAATGTCTTAGATAAAACGATTGTCTTGATGTGTTTCACCAATATATTTAGGACGAAAAAAACAGTTTAAACAGGGTATTTCTTTAGGTTATAATATAGTTGGAATAATTTTTAGTTTTCAAATTCATATACTGTTTTTTTACTAAAAATGTTTTGTTGGGGGAACGCAACACATCACGAATTATGTATTGAGGGGTCTGACAATCTTGATTTGGTAAGCGTCATTGTTATTATTCACATAATATTATCAATATTTTAATAATTTTGCATAATATATTTTTGTTGTTTATCTAAAGATCTTTCTAGATTTTTATAATCACTCAGAAAACCTTACCTTTACTACTTATTTGAATACTACAGATCATAAAGCCAACAATTTCGAAATGGAAGGAGAGTGGTCATGTACAATCAATAGCAGCTGGAGAGTTCCATTCATTATACTTGACCAACATTGGCCATCTGTATTCATGTGGCAACAATGATGTTGGCCAGTTGGGGCGGCATACAAAGGATGATGATGGAAAATATCCAGGTTGTTGTGTTTTGGATGATTTACCATATCCTCTCATGTTATTCTTGATGATGGTTTTTTTATATTTTTAATAAGGTTGAACATAAAATTTAATCATTGCTTTCTTTTCCAGCTCTTGTAGAAACATTTAAAGGTTGCAATTTATCAGCAATAGCATGTGGACTGCAGCATTCAATGGCAATTGATGAATGGGGTCAACCTTTTAGTTGGGGGTCTGACAGTATGGGCCAATTAGGTAGTAATCTAGGGGCACATGCTCAAGATAAACCTAAAATTATTAAATTACTAGCTACAAAAAATTTAATACAGATAGCTTGTGGTTCTTACCATTCTATAGCATTGACTAATAGTGAGTATTTTATCCTATATTATAGATTACATATATTAAGCATTTATTTATTTAATTACAGTATAGCCAAAATACACTATTTAATAGTGTTAGAGGTAAGCATGCCAAATGTTGTTGGTTGGTAATTGACACAGGCAGGCTATTAAATAGGTGTACTCCCTAAAACATACTACACTTTCAAAATATTAAGTTTCAAACAACTTATTTAAAATTTATTGATACCTTTGATCATATTTTTCCTATATTAGCTATAAATAATCAACAGTCCACCACGCAAAGTTTGTTAAAAAGTATTACGGGTTTTGAAAAATTTTAAGGCACATTTAATGAAATCTGTCAAATTGTTCATAAATTATGCTAAATCGAATTGTAGTTTTTTAGGATGTCCCATTGTAATATTTCATAATATTGACCTAATTGAGCAGGTTTCTATACAGTTGTTTGGATTCTTTAGTTATTTATGTAATGATTAGAACACATTTACATGTGTATTTAAAAACATTGCTTTGTGTATCTTGTACCAAAAGCAATACACTGTAGTACATAGAATTCATAAACATTTCAGATGGTGAATTATATACCTGGGGTGCAAATAGTTTTGGTCAGTGCGGTTTAGGCATGATGTCAAATAAGGAAACAACACCACAACAGATAACATCATTAGTTGGCGTCCCCATTGCATTGGTGACTTGTGGGAGTAACCATACATTCGTCTTATCTAAGTAGGTATACATATATGTATTGACTGGTAAAAATTGTGTATAAATGAAGCAGCAATATATGTACACATACCTTACATAAGACTTTTTGTAAGATATATTTTGCACATACTAAGAAAGCAATATATTATGTTTTTAATGATGTTCTAAAACATATTTATCAGGTGATTCAGCACACTTTTTCTTGAAAATGGTCATTGCAATCTGATTTATAGGATAAACTATACAGAGTATTTTCTTATTTTTTGCTATTATTTACTATCATTACTTTGTGAATCATTATGTGTTGCGGTCTTGAGAAACTTCCATGTCTCCCTATCCCGTGCCACTACCCGCCAGTAACTGCTTTCAGTAGGTCCTCAGCCATTTGTTAATATCAAAAATTTGTACAATAATAGTATTTTTTTATATATAAATCATATACTAGTGCCATTCATAACTAGTAAGTTGAGCCAGTTTTACTTCTAAGATTAGTAAAAATTTAAATATTTGATTAAAATCTTATTTAATTAGATATCTGAGACTTAATTATAGTATTAATAATTTCACTGTCACCATGTCTTAGTGGTTAACACACAGAGTGGACTCTTAGGTTGGATTTCCAGTAAATAACTATTTTGGTTACAAGTGCATATTATAGAGTGGATATTTTAAGCCTACAATATTTTAGGATGCTTCGCGCCACTTTTTCGAAAATATTCTTTAAATATTTAGTGACCAGAGGCAGTACGGGCTCCTGCAACTCTTGCTTTACACTTCCTAATAACATGTTTCACAAGTTTGGTCACCACACGCTGTCAAAAGCACACTATATCTTGCGAGATAATGTTTATATTTCTCTGATTTAATTTATCGCGTAAGTATTGTGTGCATTTTGATTCTCGTTTATCCTTGGAACGAGATACCACTTATTAGCCATCTTTTCCATCAACGGTAGTAGTACGATAGGTCTATAAGATTTCGGGTCTGTATAAGTTCATCCGGGCATTTTCATTACGATAATAGATCTTTCCACATTTTATAAAAATATCCTTATTTGAAGCATTTGTTTCTAATCGCCAGGAGGATTTTCAGGTTTGCATTTATTGCGTTACAGTTATTTCTGCTGTAGAGCCATCTTTATCACGTGATTTTTTGTGGTTGAAAGATTGCAATTTTTAATTCCGCTATGCTAAATGGTGGGTCACAGATTGCATTATGATCCACTGTATTAATAATTTCAGCAAATTCTCTTTATTTCTGGTGCTTCTTGATTCCTTGTCGTCTTTGTATACCTTGCCACATAATTTTCTTATTCTGCTTTTCACAACTGTTTCCAATTTGAGTTTCTTTTGTCATTTTCAACTTGCTGCCCACGGACCAAAACCGCGATTTTTGTTATAATTTATTTTTTCAAGACATTCATCGGACCCCCATGGTATACCAGTTTTGCTTTAGTTTTAAATTATTGGTATTATTATGTCTTATGTTACATGTAGCATTTATGTGTCATTAGTGTTAGTAATCTTGCTTATGGTGTCCCTGTTGATTAATTTTTTTGCTTTTAGTCTATCAATTTCCTTGAATAAAGTCCAACATGTCATTCTTGTATTGAATTTTCTAGTTTTTTTGATGATTATCACTCCTTTTGATTTTTCTAACCTGATTTGAAATGTTATTGAATTATGATCCAAGGTTACTATTTATGCTAGGTCCACTTTCCAGGCGTCAATCTGCAAGCTGTTATGTCGATGAATCTTGTGAGTCGTCTTCCCCTCTTCTACTCTTATTGTTCAGTATATGTATTCCAAAGTGAGAACATCGCTTCTGCGACGAGAAATATCTTTTGTAATGATTTTAATAGTGTTATTTAAAAAAAATGAAGGAAATAAACAATTTTGTTGGTTGTTGGCATTTCACAATTGTATGTGTATTTGAAGATATTTTTAAAATACTGAGATAAGATGTATAATTTTTTCTCAGATCTGGAGCTGTTTATGGGTTCGGTAAAAATGGTCACGGCCAATTAGGACTACAAGATAAGGATAACAGATGTTATCCTACTCATTTGAAATCACTACGTAATGTTAAGGTAATTTATTATCAGCACTACTGACTTTTTGAACTTGCGGCAGAATGTATTCAAGAGATAAGGGACCGTTCAAGTATCACGTAAGCACTATAGGGGGGATCTTATTTGGTGATTACGTCAACAGAAATTATTTACTTTTTTAAACATATTACCCACACATTGTCTGTGCTTGAAAACGAAATGAATTGTCAAGGATTGCTATAAAAAATAAATACGTTTATGTTCTATTATTTTTGAGAGCTTTGCTTACTTTTGCTGACAAGAAGAGGAGGGATAAATTGTAATAAATCTGTTTACGTTACTTGAACGGCTACTAACTCTATATTAAAAAAAAATTGAGCCGTCACGGGACGCCTGGCAGATGTGAAACATCGACATTATTTTGTAAAAGTAATATGCAGAAAAGAACAGATTGTGATAGGAACTAAATATGTCATAATTATAAAATAAAATATTACAATTTTTTTTCCAGATAACGATGACTATTTATTGAATAAACATTTATTTTCATTAAATACAAAAAGTTACTAATTTATTTCAAATCGTGACTACTTAATTCGTTTAATCAGTGACTTCTAATTACACACACCTGCATATAGACTGTACCTATATATATACCATCATATAGCGCGTCGCCACGGCATGCGTCGCCTCGCCAGAAATCGGTTTTACTTACGGTTATAGTTATATATATCAAAAATAATGATATCAATAGCCATAATGTTTTATCATAAAACATGGACTGAATATAGTACCGTTTTTGTTACCATAGTTCCTATTGTATTATGAAACCGAAAAAGTATCATGTATCAGTATTGTGAAAATGTTCTCAAAGTAAGACAATTGTTTAACTTATTATTATATTGTTACAGGTTTGTTACATTTCATGTGGGGAAGACTTCACAGCGTTTTTAACGTTAGATGGTGGAGTGTTTACATGTGGTTCAGGGGAATATGGACAGACGGGGCATGGATCGGTCAAAGATGAATTGGTTCCTAGAAAAGTAAGTACTATGCAGTGCCAATATGTTTTAGAACATCAATAAAAAACGGTGTGTCTATATATTATATTATAAACCGTGGACCTTTTAAGCATGAGAACAAAATACTTACTAAACAAATACTTTAGTAATCTGTAAAAGAAATTCAAAGGGCAGAAGTCCCTATTTGTTTTTACTATGGCATTACATTTCATATATAATTATTTATTAATAGTTAAAATAATCATATCGTAAAAAAGTCTTAACTATTTATGAGTGTTTTTTTTTTGTATAAAATCAGGCTTTCTAACACGGTCTCTGTAGTAAATCTGCTTAACCATAGCAATTACGCCTTGTATATTGTATATAGGTGAGCAGTGTTGGCCTGGTGGCTAGAGCATGCGTGGCTCATCTGTAAGTTTGTGACGTACTAATGAACGACCGTGTCAGGAACATAACGCAATTTTTGTACTTGTCTGTATAAAAAAAATATCAAAGAAACACTGCACATACAAATATTGACGTTTATAAGTGTACATATTTATCTTCATGCATAAATGAATATTTCAGATAATGGAATTAATGGGCAGTACAGTGACGCAAATAGCGTGCGGACGTAGGCACGTACTATGTCGCGTGGGCGATCGCGTACTCGCGTGCGGTTACGGCGCGCGCGGACAACTCGGCTGTCCGCATATGGCCTTCGCACTTGTACCCACGCCCGTGCCATTTACTCCTAATGATGAATCACCGGTATGTATATAATAGTACCTGCAATCACAGCAAACTGATAAGAGTTGTGATTGTTGCCATGGTTATTGCGTTTAAACTGTCATGTTGAAATCTTAAATGTTTTATTGTTCTGTGCTATATATTTGACTATTGGCAACATTTGCATTCTAGTACCGAAAAACCGAGATTAAAATTGTTTAACCAATTTTAGTAGTTTCGTCCACAAATTGTATGGACACATTCACCGTTTAGGGGGTAAAGTCTAGCTGGCTATAAACAAGATACCTCTTTAAATAAATTGTTATTGTTTGAGACTTCTAAATGAACGAACTAATATCTATACAGAGATATTGAGAACTATAATTAAAATTCTTTTAGAATTAAATAAAAAAATTTACTGAAGTATTCCAATTAGTATGTTATATTAAAAATTCTGTTTAATTATATTTTTGCTCTATCATGCAGACAGAGCCGGCTGACTCTAATAAGGTAATGAATAACTTATTTGTAGATTTGAAGCTTGTTTACGAGACTATGCGCTTACGAGTATCATTAAAAAAACAGTTTGATTAAAGAACAGCTAATTTACATACATATTAAACGATTAAAAGTTTGTTATGAAACGTTGAGAATTTGAGGAAAGTACTTCTAATTTGCAACTCGTTTCACTGCTTTAAACCAATTATTAATAGTCCAAAGGTCCAAATTAATAGATCACATTCGACATCAAAACTCAAACAAGTAATTTTGTAAAGTTAAACATTTCTTAAATAAAAATAAATTAAAAATAGTAATTAATAAATACATTTTTCCGATTACATAATTATTGTAATAATGCAACGATTTACTTTCATTACTACACAATTTCGTTTTTTTTTCAATCTTGTCAGTGAAGTCTTTTTCTTTTTACACACAAAATATAGAAAGTATAATCGATTGCAATGATTACTCTTACATTAACATCGATCGATTGTATTTACGTATTTACAGTACAAAAGGTGTTGTTTGGATTAATAACGCTAGCTGAGTTTCAGCGTCGGACGTCGAGGCAAAATATGAATTCGACGCCCGTCGTTCGTCGACAACTGAGCGTTTTTTTAGGCAGTTTCTTCACTATGTGGAACCATCTGCCCTCTGAAGTATTTCCGAATCAGTTCTACTTAAGGTCCTTCAAGAAAAGAGCGTATTACTTCTTAAAGGCACTTGCGAATCCTCTCGCATTGAGGGTGTCCATGGGCGGCAGTATCAAATAACATCAGATGAGCCTCCTACCCGTTTGCACCCTGTTTTATAAAAAAAGCCTGTTTCTCCATAAATAACTACACATAATATTCCTTTTATTAATAATAAAAATACGAAAATTACTAAAAATCAAAATTAAGCAGAAAAAGTAACCGAATTCTTTTTTTTTTTGTTATGTGGTTTTTCATACAAGTCCGTCCATTCATTCAGTTTAATGTCTTAAGCAGATTACTTCACTATGGTGCCAAAACATACAGATGTCAAATGCGATCTATTAAATTTTCCTTACTGTAGTATAAAAATTGAACTTTATTAATTTTAGTTTTATTAATAGCCGAAAAAGAAGTCGAAGCTAGAAAGTCAAGCCAATGAGTGCCCAGGAACTTCAAAAAATTGTGTTGAGTTCCATTTGACAATATTGATAATGCAATAGTAATTCATTTATTAGTTGTAATTTTATATTTAGCCTATAATTAGTAGTGCCACAAATACCTGATGCTTTAGTAAGGACATATAATTTAAGAAGCGTAGCGGCTCACGTGTCGATGTAGTTTGCCCAATGTACGTAGTCGGTCCCTAAGTTCTGTCATAAATGGAAATAATGATAAAAACAAAAGAACTTATCAGTTTTTATTGAGTGATATATTAGTTTATAGTACAGTAATTAAGGAATAGAAACAGCATAAAATTATTCAAAATGACCGCCCTTATTTTTAATACAGGCCCTTAAGCACCGCGGCCAGTCGTCTATCGCAGCACGCACCATATTCATGTCGATTTCAGTGACTGCATTATTTAAAGATGACTTCAGACTCTCCAATTTTTATGTGGTATAGCACAGACCTTCCTCTCTAAGACCTGCCAAATTTTATAGTCCAAAGGATTAAGGTCCGGTCTGGAGGAAGGCCAATCCACATGTCTAATTGATTCGATGTTTTGACGCTCAAACCAGGCTTGAGTGGTCTTGGCTGTGTGTGAAGGCGCAGAGTCCTGCTGGAATACGAAGTGATGTCCCGCAAATAGCGTGCTGGGCAGGTCTTTGACAAGGCGATCCAAAACAGTCTCTTGGTACACTTTTGCACTGGTTTTTACCCGTTTTTCGCAAAAATGAACCTCAGTTGGCCCGTAATAGGACACTTCCAATCAGACCATTACTGATGATGGATGATGTCCATGTTGCACCCTTGGAACTTTATTTCCAGCTTCTTTAGAACTCCTCGCGTACACTCTATCATTCTGTTTATTGTACTTCTCTTCAATATCGAAATTTTTTTTCGTCCGTAAAGAAGATATCACGGTGTCGGTTTTTCGCGTACCGCTTTAACAACACCCGCGATCTCTTAAGCCTTATTGCTTTTAGACGAGCATTAAGTATGTGCCCACTCTTTTTTTTTGTATGCTTGTAGACCAAGATCTTCATTTAAAATCTTTTTTACTATTTTCCTATTGAAACCCATCTGCCAAGCCATCAATTTCTGTTTTCGGAAAGGATTTCTTGCTATCCGCACCTTGATAGCTTTGATCACTGCTGGTGTTCTTGCGGAACGTGGCCGGCCAGTTCTTTTCTTGTCCTCAACACTGGAGACTTCATTGTACCTATCAATAGTACGGTACATACCTAAACTTAAGCGTTATATTCAAACTTTTGAGCAACTTGAAAATGGTACTCGGCGAGTGCCCACAGTGCAGCGGTGCAACGCAATAACAGCTATTTGGTTTTCTTTCAATGTCCACTCCATCGTGAAAAATTACCGGAAGTGGTTGTTTTATGTTTTAAAACAATAGTCAAACATTCAAAAATATAATGTAATATTTTTTTTATAAAATCTTGCATTACGAAATTTAAAAATAATGTGACATTGACAGAACTTTGGGACCAACTACGTAATATAGATGTAGATTATGATTTTTTTCTTTATAAAGTGACCATTATTTAGTGTAAGGAAAACTAACTTACATTCGTTCTATATTGCCTTTATAATTGCCTAAAAATATAATATTTAATCTTAATGTAAGCAACGCTACTGATGAAAAGATTATATATTATAATCTCACAGTGGTCGCCTGGAGTGATCGCTTGAAAGCGATACGGCCGCCAGTTGTCCTGCCTTTTATTTAATTATACCTACTGTATTTCTGTATTACTGAAATAAATAAATAAAATAGCCGTATTATTTTACAAAGTATTCAAACGTTAACGTGAAAAAATTCTAGTTTTCGACGGTCTTCAACGGCCCTATACGCGTATTTGCGGGCGGTGACCACAGTTTCCTCGTAGTGCATAGTGATAAATCGATACAAGCTGACGCACGGATACCAGATGCTAAGAAACAAATACTCACACTAAATATACCTAAACTGGCGGCTTGCGAGGTCTTCAAGGACGACGATGTAGTGAATCAGGTTAGATTTCCTCCTTTTAATAGCATTTAATTTTTATCTATGGTATTTATAGGTGTAGGTAGAATAATATTTTTTTATTATAGGGCTATAAGCCTGTGGAATGGCCATAAAAAGTAAGTCAATTTTTTTATTGTTACTATATTATTCAAATAACTACAATTCTTAAATTTTTTACAAGCATTTACTACTTAAAAATAAAATTTTACGACAGACCGTCGGTCGGTAGGACAAGGTATTATGAGTCGAATACTTTTTATTTACAATATTTAAATAATTTTAAATTTATCCGATTTTCGGGTGCTTTACAGCTGAGTGGTCACGTGACTGAAGACAAAAGGTGTTGGATGTTAAATAGTTTAAATTTTAATAATACATAACATTAATCCGGTTAAAAAGTTTTTCTTTAAATTAAAAAAAATGTTAAATGCTACCTCCTACCCACACTTTTATAGCGTAAATATATTTGTCAAAAATACACACAAAAAAGTTCAAAGTACATAAATTTATTTATAAAAAAAACAAATAAATAACTCGACTCCACTATAGACGCGAGATATTTGAATGAGGCACAATTTAGAATGTTGCGCCATTTTTGGGAGTTTTTGCTTTGTGCATCTGGGTTTTTGTATATCAATGACTACAGCCCAAAATACCCATTTATTAGTGGAAACGTTGCCGTCTTTAAGAATACCCCAATGATTTGAATACTAGCAGTAAATATAGAAGAATTGTTTTTACAGTTTGGAAGTACCTATATGAAGTAAATGATATTTTAATTTGATTTATAATAATGTTGCGTTTCGCAAATACAAAATATATTATCTCTAAAATAAAATTGAAAAAAAAATCAGTGGCGCTACAACCTCTTTAGGACTTGGCCTCTGATTTCTGAATTTGTTTCGTGATCATTTTTAAATCTACTAGGCAAGTAGGTGATCAGCCTCCAGTGCCTGACACATGCCGTCGGCTTTTTGAGTCTAAGACATGTCGGGTTCCTCACGATGTTTTCCTTCACTGTTTGAGCTAATGTTAAATGCGCACATAGAAAGAAATTCCATTGGTGCACAGCCTGGGACCGAACCTACGACCTAAGGTATGTGAGTCGCACGCTGATGCCACTAGGCCAACACTGCTCTTATCTCTAAAATACAATTTTTAAAGAAAAAACTTTTTAACCGGATTAAAGTTATGTATTATTATAAATTTACAATTATTTAGCATAATTTTAAATTTATCCGTGTGCTTTACAGCGTGCCACTCACCATGACCACGCACGCTTTTCTTTAAATGTGTAAAGGTTATGTTAATCAAAGACAATTTTTAATTTTCCAGGATCTAATGGCATACTTAGAGACAGTTTTCGGATCACTATCATGTTTGAATGCGTCATTCCTGTTACAAAATAGCGCGCATTATGGATGTAATACAAAAGTACCTGGAGTGGACATTAAAAAGGCTGAAGAGGCTTTTAGCATCATCAGTCGATTTGAAAATACGTCTATTAAAGAATTGGTAAGGCAACCTACATTGTGGCAGATAAATTTTGTATGTCTGTTTTCCTTATAAACCAGAGATTTTCAGTCAGTTTTTTTATTTGATTTTATTCCTATTTTATTCGCCATTGATTTTAGGTACTAAATTTGCATTTTTTTGTGTTAATTAACTATTTTTTAGCTGCTAATTGTGTGTATCAAATTGGTGCACAGTTGAGCTCGAGTCGAATCACAAAAATAATACTGCTCTCAATTAATTATATTAGGTCCTTACATATGAAATTGGCGTATTTCGTACTGGCCACTTTAATCACGATGTTCTCCTCTTTGGTAAGGAATTCCAAATTCAAATTTGTACAGCTATTTACTCATGTATTTGTGCTTCGATGACCGTTATTCATTTGTTTTATCTTCTGTTTTTTTTCTGTTTGCGTCACTCATTTTACAAAATGGAAAACTTAAAGTATCGCATTATTTACGAGTACGAGTTCCGCCGTGGCACTAGTGCTTGGAAACGACTCGAAGGGTGAATGATTGTATGGCGGTATGTTGCAAAAGAAAAACATTCGTTTTGGTTCCAACTTTTCGTTCTGGAAATTTCGACCTGCAGAACAAGCCCCGTGGACCTAGCCAAGTTGATAATAAGTATTAAAGGCTATTGTGGAAGCGATCCATCGCAAACCAGTCCGAGTTAGCTGCAGGCTGCGGTGTTAGTGATAAAACTGTTTTAATTCACTTGAAGCAAATTGGGAAGATTAAAAAGCTTGAAAGATGGGTACCTCACAATTGCTAAAGTAAACCGGCAAACCGTCGATGCTGCGTTACATTACTGAACGGCACAATAATGAAGGTATTTTAAACAATATTACCTGTGATGATAAATGGATTCTTTACGATAATCAAAGCGCTCACCAATGGTGATCCTGGCAGCACCAAATCCTGCCCAACGAAAATTAACCCCAAAAAAGTTACTTGTAAGCGTTTGGTGGATAGTGCCGGTATTGTTCATTGCAGTTTTCTCAAATCTGGCTAGATTTAGGCTATACTATTGTCACAATTGCAAACATGATGGAAAACTAGGCTAAACAACCTAGGCTGGTCAATCGCTCCACATCTACTTCTGACAACTAACCACACACTGCACAACAACGGCTACAAATTAGAAGAGCTTCAATTTCAATGTCTAAGAATCCTCCTACTCCCCGGACCTTGCTCCAACAGATTACCATTTTTTCGAAATTTGGACAACTTCTTGCAAGGGAAAAATTTAACTCTATGGGGTCAAATCGCCTTCAAGATTTATTGATTCCCGTCGACTTTTTTTTAGTAAAGGGACAATAACTACCTATGAGATGGCAAAAGTGCATAGAAAACAATGGTTCATACTTTGATTAATTAAATATATTATATTTAAAAATATTCGACTTTTTGTTCCTCCCATACAAAACGCCAATTTCATATGTAAGGACCTAATATTAATATATTATATTTTAATATGACATTATATTTAAAGAAAAAACTGTTTAACCGGATTGAAGTTATGTATTATTATAAAGTCACCGTGACCACGCACGCTGTAAAGCACGCGAAACGTCGGATAAATTTAAAATTATGTTAAATAGTTGTAAATTTATAATAGTACATAACTTCAATCCGGTTAAATAGTTTTTTCTTTAAATGTGTAAAGGTTAGGTAAATCAAAGACAATACTATGACATTATATTGTTAAAACATTAGACACTACACGGGAACCAAATGTTATTCATTTCTTCATTCAGTCTAAATTTACTGACTTCCCTTTTCAACAAAGCGTTAACAGAATTTGACAGAAAAAGACAAAAGGATGCAGTGTTTTTTGATGAATAAAGTAAATATAATAAATTATTTTAGATATTCAGTCATCTAACAGAGAACGTAATAAAGGGAGTAAAGAGTTCGCCACCTGATGCTGAAGCTTTGAGAGTTTTTCTCCTCTTGCCTTTGTACCATGAGATGAGGAATCCGAGGCGACATCCAGAATTACAAGTATGTAGTTGGTAACCATAGTAACAAATATAATACTTAGTCCATGTTTTATAATAGCTTATAGCGTCTCTATGAATTGCGAATTTTAATACATATAAATTTATTGATGTAATTTCATTTTACATTTACAATTTTTTTTAAACTTTTTGCGTACTTGTCGCTATTCTTGAAATAAATTTAAATTAAGGATACGTATAAGTACGTGGCATACAGCTGTACTTAGATAATTCTTAAACACAGGTTACATTCCAGTTAAAAACAATTTAATTCCATAAATGTGGAATAAAATTGTTTTACCCCATATTAATATAATGCAACTTTTCATTGTATATTTCTATAGTCTATGTATAAGTCTGACAGACACATTTCAGTGAGTTTATATCACATTTTAAAGCCTAGTCAATATATGCGAACTTGGCGATTAAAAAGAGTGGCGGAGAGTTTATTGCCAGTTCTTCTCTTCCGATCTACGCCCTTGATTTGAGAACTGGCAGTAAATGTAAAATTAGAAGCATTTAATGTATATTTCTTTTTGACGTTTATTAGTGTACATTGTGTTACCTACATGAATAAATGATTTTTGATTGGATTTGAATATATTTTACAATTTTTTAAAAATAATTAATTATATTTGATAGGGTCCATTCGCCGAAGCATTCAACAGGTTATTAGTTCACCCTCAAAAGATCGTTCACTTGTGGTGGGAGGCGCAAACAGCGGAGTACTTTGAGATGCTCGTTGATATTTTTAAGAGTGTCATTGTGTATGAGTTGATGCAGCCTGTGGTTAGGCTTAATAAGGTAAATTATGTTTTTCAAATTTTTTATTACTAGATGACCCCGTGAACTTCCTATCACCCTCATATCGTCGCTGTAGAATGATAACCTCGTATGTCAAAAAAACATTTATTGAAGTGAAACTTCTTAATCGACGTATGGGAGAAATTTTGTAGCAAATCGTCACGTTTTTCGGTTACGCGCCATGTTGCTTTTTTAAGTCAAACTTCTTTATCGGCGTTGGAAAAAAATTTACCGTCACATTTTTCGGTCGCGCACCACGGTTGATCCGAAAATATTCGAAGCCATTAAGAACAAAAATTTATAATAACGATAACAATGATAGTAATAATTCTATTACAATTAATGAAATTCTGTAATAATCTTAGTAGTAAGTAATAAGGTAAAATGAAATAATTGTATTTGTATTCATGTCTATGATAATAAAAGCATTTTGTTAAACTTTATCTAATTTAACTTTATTTAACCAATTTCTGTAAAGTTGTTTCACTTCTTACGTGTGTACACCTAGTACACGCACACATTTTTTTTATACTTAGACTCTTATGTAATTTAACTGTTATAATCATGAAGTAAGGACTTATTTATGTTATTAATAAATATCGAAAACTATGGACAAAAACAATAATATTTTAACGAACATTGACGAAATGAAAAATTTTTTTCGTTTCCTGTAATGTTTGGTTCTCTGGACATACTAGGTTATCATTCTACAGCGATATAGCTATGAAACACACATTCATAAAAGTGTCTCTAATAAATGTGACAATTATTTTTAAAAAGACAAAAGGACTCAAATATATCCCAGCCGGGAACCTGTTTTTATTGGATAATTCAATTGTAATACTTAGTATTTTTCTTTACTTATTAATTATGTTTTCCACTGTTTAAACCTTCCCTGAACTTCCACAAATATATCAAAATCATAATTCCGTCCAGCCATTCTTGAGCTTTAGCGAGACAAACGAACAGCAATTAATTTTTAATTATATATATATTTCCGCTAGAGCGCTTTCTTCGCGAATTTATTTAAACAGATTTTATTATTTTACAATCAAGTGAAGAAACATTACAGAAATTGGCTTTTTAATGTGTTTAAAAACAATAACTTTTAGCCTGGAAATACATGTTTTTTTTTTAAATATCTGAATTACCTAAATTTTTAAATTTAACAATCTTATATAGATAATATTTCACTTAGTAGAGTTTTTAATTACGCTTTAACGAAGAGTTAAGGAACAGCTCTTCAGCATTATTGGTGAATATTTTCTACGAATACCTGATCTTACCTGTTATGCGAAGTTATTTTTTTTTTACAGAAATTAAATTTCACACACAGCATATTACAAATTCTGAATGCTCTATCGACGCTAAATAAAATTAACTTCACGAATCCAAAGAACCCAAAAATACCAGCGGAATGTTTTTATATTGAAGACCTAAGTGGACACGTTAATATCGCTAAAGATTATATAAATTGGCTTTCGGACCAAGATGTAAGTATATTTTCTTAATGACAATTAAAAAATTTGTTGAAATTTTAAAGTTAAATCTCATTGTTAATTAACCACATTAACTATATAACGAAGAACTCTCTATAACGTAAAACGGTAATATTTGTTTGGTTTAACACACAATCCATACATTAATACACTCTTTATAACGCAACAGCTGAGGTCATGAACAGCCGTCTCGTCTTTGTTATTGTTTATTTTATTAACACGTGTGCAACCATTCCAACGACCAAAGTTGAATAACTAAAAATTAACACAATATCTCGATTTTAGCGTCTCCGTAAAAGATCGTACCAATCAGCATTTAATTCGTTACAGTCGAATCAGCTTCACCTCTGCAACTACGCATTTCTATTTGACGTACAATGCAAGTCGTTGCTACTAAAGATCGATCAACAGCTGCAAATGCAAATGGCTATCCACAGAGAGGTTACGCAAATATTCACGAGACTTTTCATGGATCCGACGTACGAATACCATAGAGATCAGTTTTTGCAACTGACCGTGTCGAGAAATCATATTGTGAGAGACACGATGCTGCAAATCAGCAATCATGACAGCTCTCAGCTGAAGAAGCCGCTTAGAGTAAGTATTAATGGGACCATTTGATTCCCTTCAGTAATATTTAAAAGTAAAAAGGAACTTAAAATATTAAATACAGTTAATGTGTGATCTTCAAAATCCAAATTGCTTGTTTCTTTCGAGATGTAGAAAGTCGAGACTATTATATAGATTTAGGGTCTGTTTCACAATGTATGGATAAAGTACCAGTCCCATATTTTGGAAGTAAATTGTGCTATTTGACACTTCATTGGACCTCATTACTTATATGACTTTATGTGACGATTTAGCGCTGTCTAACAGCCGTGAAACACACCAATATGTTTTCCTACAATAAGTAATTAATAGCTAATTTGGACTTATGTAAACTTATGTACAATATTATGTTGAGCATAGTTTCTACCAAAAAGCGGGATTAAAACAAGCTCAATATGACACGTTCTATAATCGTATCGTTTATATAATATTAGTAAAGATATACAAAAAAATAATAATAAAAGGTTTTAAGATGGTGTATGTTGTTTGTCTATGTATCAGAGTTGTGTTAGTGATGATGAATCTCTTATAGCTGAGGTCAAATCACGTTTGTGCACCAATTTCTGTGTCCAATTAACACTTCATTTATTTATGTATTAGTAATCTTACAGCTAACATATTATAAAACAAAACACTTAGACAATATAGAAAGCCAAAACAGATTACATAGATAAACAATATATATATATATATGAAACAGAAAACATAAGTAAGTACAATATACAAACAAAAAGGGTGCGTGTACTTTAGTACGCGCGTAAGAAGTTATACTTCTTTGGCATTATTAAGAATAGTTTTTGATTGCATGCAAATAATTAATTACAATTAAATAATAAAAGACTGGAAAAGGAGTCATTATAGTCAATAAAGAAATAAATAAATATTTATTATTATTATCTTACAGTAAGTGTAACATAAATTCTATTATTATTCGAATGTTGTTTTTAAATTATGTCTGAAGAAGAAGATGCCGTATCTTCCGTGGGCAACTTAATTCTGTTAATTTTGTGTCACGGTGCGCGCGCATCGTAAAATTTCACTCTCATCAATTTTTCATAACACGCCTAAAGAAGTATAACTTCAAAAAAAACAAATTAAAGAAAACTGAAATTTAACATTAAGCAAACGATAAACGATTAAAGGAAAAACTATAGTGTTACTGCTTAAACAAAATCAAAGCCTTCCCGCCTCTTCAAATGTTTCCTCACATCCTCTTTGGTGAGGTGGAAAATATAAATCTCCTCATAATTAGTGTCATAGTTAGATAAAACCCGAAACATTGGCGAATTATGCAAGTAATTCGAGTTCGTACGAAGCACATGGAACAATTGTGTATCGCATACGGTGGGGGGATTCTAAGAGAAATTAACGACAGGAAATAGGGGCTATATATCCGCCCATTGAGAAAAGCGTGCAAAATATAAATAAATCTTGCTGTCTCCGCCGACATTCCATGACTTCATTGTGAAGGTAACCGGGCATGCCTAATACTTTTGGGTATGGCCCACGGCATCTGAGGATTGAGCACCTATTATAGGATTGTAACGGATTTTTTTAATAGATATAGTCAACATCAATGTGCTAATCAAACGCAATGCAAAATCTTTTCGTTTTACAATTTAACCTAGTTCAAGTATGGACAAAGTATGTGTTGTCAATTAATTCAAACAAATTTTCTAGAAATTTGACGGTCACACGCGATAAATAAGATTTTTCTAAATAATTTGATTGTTTGTTTTTTGGGTTCACGGAATACTTTAAATATTAAAGGATATATTTTCACTTTAATCACTGACGTACCACAAAGAATGCAATGCTTATAAAATACTCTGGGAGTACCTGCGTCTGGGCTTAACTACGCCGATTTATGAAATCGCCGCGCTTATAAGTGAAGCTGAGTAAGCAACATGTCTTGGCTCGTGCAATATTCGCGTGAAATAAAGAAATATTCTATATTACGCGCTTAATCGCTTAAAATGCTATATTTATATATATTCAGTACAATGTTTCAGGTAGAATTCGTAGGTGAAGAAGCGGAGGACGCTGGAGGGGTTAAGAAAGAGTTCTTCCTATTATTGCTGAAGGAAATATTTGATCCTGTCTATGGAATGTTTAAGCAGTCCGAGGAGACAAACATGATATGGTTCTCTAACAACCCATTCGAAGATGATGTCATGTATTATTTAATAGGTAATTTAATTGCGATTAACTTCAAAGTACAGGGTTCAATTTGGTATAATTAAAGTTCAAAAAATATTTAAATGAAATAAATATTATATGTATTATTAAAAAGGGAAAAAATCACTCAACCAAGACAACCTTAGGATGTCCAATTGTGAAGGTTTCTAGTGACACAACATCAATCGATTTTCACAGATTGATGAACATAGAAATATTTATTTATATTAAGTTTAAAAAGTCTTTAATTTAATTTAAGTTCAAAAAGTCAACGTTAACTACATATTAATAAGCTAATGCCAATACAAAGCTTGCATGAACAACCATTTAGGTTATATGAAAGGAAGAAATAAAATAATTTATTTAATAGCGGTATTTTTTAATGTATGAACTAAAATACAAACACAATTACTTTAATCAAAAATGGGCCCAACTCAGCTTTAAGTTGCTCAACACTAATTTTCAGTGGGCCCATACTATCTGAACATACACACCAAACACAACACAAAAATGTTAACAAACAAAAATGAAATATCAAACATAAACAGAACATTGATCTCTACACCACAACATTGAACAATTGATATTCCAAAACATATCTTACATCTTCTTGCAGCCCCTCGTAGCTTTCATATTTCATAGCCCATTTCACGAAATCTAAAAGTAAGGCCAGTTTCAAGTGATCAATACGATTTCTATCATGGTGCAGTAGTTACAGTTCCTTACAATTTCCTTGTGCAGAAACTTTTTTTGATTGATAAAAGCTGGCCAACCCTCGGCACACTGATAGATTGGTAAAAGAACCACAATATGGGTACAATTTTTAATGTGACAAGCACTTATATGCAAACATGATATACACGAAGAGATCATACAAATATTAAACAAAACAATTATTAAACAAAACAAATATTAAACAAAACAATTATTAAACAAAACAAATATTAAACAAAACAATTATTAAACAAAACAAATATTAAACAAAACAAATATTAAACAAAACAATTATTAAACAAAACAAATATTAAACAAAACAATTACTAATCAAAACTATTAAAATTACAAAAATAACTAAACTAAAATCGATTCTAAAGTGTGAGAAACTTGGTGATTAAAAACAATAGCGAAGTATTTCTTGCCAGTTCTTCCCGCTCTACGCCCTTCATTTGAGAACTGGTAGTGGATGAAAAGTTTGACCTTTTTTTTATATAGAATTTGCATTATAGGTGCAATATACGGACTAGCGATTTACAACTCGATAATCATCTACGTGCCATTCCCACTTGTACTATACAAAAAATTGTTAGACGAATCTGTGATATTGGACGATTTATCTGACCTCTACCCAACACTGGCGAACAGTTTGAAACATTTGCTTGAATATCCTGACGAAGACGTTGAAGAGGTATGTTTAATTTTAAAAATGACGTTTTAAAAAACCGTATTCTCACTTTGTACATATATTTTGTTATACATGCAATTTTAGAGATCGATTAATTCAACTATTAATCTCCATTAATGTTGTGGCAGAAGGAAGGTGTCCTCCTTCCCTCAACTTAAAGGGAGGATCCTCGACCAGTCTAATCTTTAATTGAAAATTGTATTTTTTTTTCCTTTGATAATAAAATTTTGACAAACCCAAATATTGAAGGCAATTTGACTTAATCTAGACTATTATGTAGCGTAGATAAAATTCCTAAAAGGATATTATAGTATCTCTTTACTGAACGATTAAACAAAACAAAAAAACGTTCCTAACGAGAGCAATGCTACTGCTTAATTTAAGAATAAGTTAAAACAACTATTATTGTCCTAATCCTTGAATCTTTCTTCTTTATTATAGCTACAAGTTGTTTGTCGTTGTCTTGATTTATAAATTTTGTTTTGTATTGTCTACTTAGTTAACTGCTGTATCTTATTTTTTATCAGTGAAACTCTTTGTGGATATATCCAATGTGTTAGTTTATGTTCTATTTTTTACTTTTTATTTTATAAAGATGCATCTGTTTTGTTTCCTAAATAAATAGATGCGCATTGCCAGAGATTCGGATCATTTTAGACATAAACAATGTTGTTACAAATATAATTTAACAAAGTAAAGTTGTATAACAAATCTTTCTGACTCGTGTGTCAATTATAAAAAAATTTTGTACCAAAAGACGAGTTTAAAACGAATATCGAAAACATTACGTATTTAAACGTTCTTATATTAAGTCGTCAATCATGAACTAATTGATTTCTATATAAACATTTAGCCTATTTTTGTAAGTATTTAAAAGTTTAATTATATATAACTTAGACTTAGGGTCTCTTTCACAATATATGGATAAAGTAACAAATAGCTATGCAACACATAAATTATTTGGAAGATAAATTGTTCTATTTGACATTCATCGGACTCATAACTTATGATGGACTTTATGTGACGAATAGCGCTATCTGACAGTCGTGAAACGCAACAATAGTGTTTATCCTACCAATAAGAAATAAATAGATAATTTGGAACTTATGTAGAACTTATCCGTACATTGTGAAACAGACCCATAATGAGATATAAAATATATATGAACTTGAAACAAAATGGTGAAATTTCGAACTGAAAGTTTTTGTTATATAAGATTTTAAATGTGGATTTAATTGTCTTCGATTATATAGTTTATGCTATATTATGAATGTGTTTATCCAAAAATATGATGTCCATATCACTCTCGTGCGTTTTTTGAGTAGATAAAGGCGACATAAAGACCCATTTAGATGGAGAGAGTTTCTCGTCTCGAAGGTACGATTATCGAAAGAATATAAAAAAGTTTCTTCGTCTAAACATTCACACCTCTCGCTCTTCCACTTTGGCGACAATTGCCTCGCAATGGAAAATTTATTGTAAGGACACAAAAGCGTAAACAGAATTCCAAAAGCAATAATCGTATTTCGAGGTTTTGTGGCAGTTGCTACCATGAGTGTAGTGCGTTAAAACACAATCAGTGTTTTAATCATTAATACAATAATTAATTAAACGGAAACGGAAAAAAAGATTTTGGGTTAAAAAATGGATTTGTTCCACAAACACTCATAACTTCTAAAAAGTTCAATTTACTTAATTTTATCGGCAGCGCCAAAATTAATAGGAATTTTGTGTCATTTTTGAGAACAATACCCTAGTAATCACTAAACTCGAATGAAACATCTCACATTAAAAACGGTTCAAACCGATTTGTACGAAACTCGTATGCACATAAAAAAATGTTATACGAGATCGTGTTTATACTATACGTAGTCGAGATTCTCGTAAGTACATAATAATCATCTTACTAAAATGTCGATGTGTAAACAGACCCAGGAAATTATCGCCTAGCGATAAATCATTGGCGATTCTCGTATGACATAATCGTAGGTAAGAATTTAGTTCATGCCTGTATGTAAACATTTTGATACGATAATGCTGTGGCGATTATTGCTAGTGATAGTCGCGTACTATGGACGACGAAACTTTCTCCATCTAAATCGTACGCGTACGTCTAAATCGTACGCGTACATCTAAATGGGCCTTTACATTCTTATAAAGCTGGTGCTGGTAATATTAAATATATGTTTTAGGTATTCTGTCTATGTTTCGCCGTAAACACAGTAGTGTTTGATCAAGTTCAAGTACACCCACTGAAGGAGAATGGAGAGAATGTGCCCGTCACACATGAGAATAAGGCGGAGTATGTTGATTTGTATGTCGACTTTCTTCTGAACAAGTCTGTTGAAAACCAGTTTAAGGCTTTTAATCAAGGTTTTCAGAAGGTGAGTAATTATATTCTAACCACCTTTCGTACTATTTTGACATGATTAACGGTGATAACGTATAAAAACGATTAAACTTGAAGTTTTAATCGACAGTTTGTTTCATTCTTTGTATAGATATTTTGATATAACTTATATTTAAGCTCTTTTGCCATATAAGGATATGATATTTAAAGGAACGCAGAACTTTCTAGTAATAAAAATATTGAAGTGGTGTTTGGTTCTTGTTAATCGAGATAAAATATCGTGTTTCTTACCAAGTTTACGATATTTCAAAAAGAACATAACTAACTTTACTCTACATTAATTTATAACTTTACCATATTGTTGGCCTGTAGCTTGAGCGAGCCCTTAACCCGGTCGTTTCACAACTCCAATAAATTTTCCTAAAAGAAATCGGCATGCTTAGACCCGAAAAAAAATTGTAGCGCCAGTGTTTTTTTGTATATATCAACTTCAAGCCTTTATAGTTTATTAAGTGAATCATAATTATTTTCAGGTGTGTGGTGGCAGAATAATTAAACTATTTAGATCTCACGAATTAATGTCTGTAGTTATCGGGAATGAGGAGTATGATTGGGAGGTCTTTGAGAGCAACGCGGAGTATAAGAATGGATACTGCGCTACGGACCAGCAAATCAGGTAAAATTAATACCTGTGTTCTATATTAATATCCAGTCGTAATTGTTACGAGTCGTTGATATTAGGATAAAGTTTATAGTAACTGTATTAAAAAATAATCTAATTTAGATATCCAGAACGTAAACTTGTTATAAGATATGAGTTTAATAAAGGAAAAGCCTAAACTTTAAACCGCAAAATTATACCATTTTCAGTTATTATAATAAGGATTACCCTATATTTGTTAGTTTATCACTTGATGGAGTTTTTATTAATGAGTTATTATTATTACAATAAAAAATCATACGTTTCTAATTTTGAACCATTTTAGTTTTAAGTCAGTTAAAAATAATAAGTGGTTGACGATCCAGAACTGCCTTGCGATTCTGTATCTCACTTTTCGAACTCACACAGCGGTTTTCGAATCGGCGGTCGCTCTCAAAACAGTCGTGAAGCAGTCATTTTATGATTTGGCATTCTGATAAACAATAGACTACAAGCTCCCACCTTTCCAGAATGCCAAATCATAAAATGACTGCTTCACGACTGATTTGAGAGCGACCGCCGATTCGAAAACCGCTGTGTGAGTTCGAAAAGTGAGTTACAGAATCGCAGGGCTGGTATTTCATTAAAACTTCGAGTTATGGAACCAAACATTAGTCAAGTTACACATATGTATATATTTAAGTTAATAATTAGAAGCTCAAACCAAATGTTAGCAATTATCGCACACTTGAAGCCAAAATGAAGCCTTTAGTTTTTCACACTTATAAATTGTAATACAACATTCTTGTTTCCGATAATCTCCAAAAGGTCGACTACTTCCATATAATGGAAGTGTCACTTAGATTTAAGAACCCTTAAGTATGCCAAGTTACTTTTTATTAGCGTCGCAACCCCACTACCCCTAATTGTATGTTTCTTTTAAGCTCATGTTTTAAATGATTAAAGCCAGTTGTTACCCAGCTTCAAACAAAGTGTTTCATCTAACACTTTTCTCTTCACCTATCGGCTTCCCTTAAATCTAATATATGAAATTCTCGTGTCACAATGTTCGTTCCCATACTCCTCCGAAATGGCTCGACCGATTCTTATGAAATTTTTTATGCATATTCAGTAAGTCTGAGAATCGGCTACTATCTATCTTTCAAACCCCTAAGTGATAAGGGGTGTCCACCCCAAAAAAAATGTTTTATTTTTAGACAAAAAAATTGTTTTAATTTTTTTATGATACAGCATACAAAAATACATACAGCCCTAATTTTCACCCCTCTACGATCAACCCCTATTTTTTTATAGTAGATAGTTATTTTTATTAAACTAAAAAAATGTTTCCTAGAAATAATATACATGGCAAAACAACGTTTGCCGGGTCATCTAGTTATTTATATTATTTTGATGTTGACAGATGGTTTTGGGAGATTTTCCATGAGCTATCGTTGGAGGATAAGAAAAAGTTCCTACTGTTCCTTACTGGAAGTGACCGAGTGCCCATACAAGGCATGAAAGATATCAAGGTAACCTGTTGAATTATTACTGTGTGTTTCTTGAATAAAATTATGTTTTCGAGTTGTTCCCACAGTAATGTAAGTGCATGCTCCTTCTTCAGCTCTCACTTATTTATTCATTATTAATTAAAATAATTGACTACATTAATTTGACGAAGAACATGATGCAATAGTTATAGGTGCAGACAAACATTTTGTAAAAAAACTTTTAAAAGATTGACGGCGAGTTAGTTCTTCATATTCGTCCGTAAAAAAATTTTAACTGAAATATTTAAAAAAATTGTTTTTTACTGACGTTGAAACCTGTACATTAATCTATTAATATATGTTATTTTACTTCTCACTTATAATCATGTTTTAAGGAAATTAACAGAAGTAATTATATGCATAACTTGGTTCTAATGTACTTTCATAGTATCATTGGTAAATGATTATATATATTAATCTTAGGTGTGTTATATTAAACTCCCTAAACAGCTGGACCGATTATGACAAGATTTTCTGTGTGGATTCGAAATTTACAATTAGATGACTTGAATGTCTGTGGGGTCCTCTATTAAGTTGTTAATTTGTGGGACTGGTTATGGTCAGGAAAACTGTGTATAATTTGTGTGCTCATTCTATTAACATAGACATAAAATTTATAACTAACAAAAACACACACATATAATCACATAATATAACAATAATCAAAGAAAAAGTAAAATGCGAAATATAAAAAAAAGAACCCTTTTCCCATTCGGTTCGTTTCAAGTGTGTATGGTTGTAATTGGCCCTGGCTCAGCATTATGCTGAGGAGCAGAATGTTCCACAGCGCTAGTCATTCTGCCAGAGACCACAGCAGCTAGTTTGCGCCTCAGTCGCAAAAAAAGAAAGAAACGGAATGTAATAAATCTTAATATATATAAATTACGTGTCACGTTGTTTGTCCGCTATGGACTCATAAACTACCGAACCGATATCAATCAAATTTGCACACCGTGTGTAGTTTGATCCAACTTAAAAGATAGGATAGCTTACATCTCAATTTATACACGCAATATTATTTTATTGCAAAATATTTGTTTTTATTTGATAGTCACAATTCTAACAGATGGCGCTGTGTTGAAAGTCACATAAGCTACAATTTAATGGCATAACTACCAAAAAAGCATGGTGGTCCCCATGACTGGTGTTCTCCTACCGTTTCCTTTGAATAGTTTGCTACTATGTAATATAACAAAAACCTTAGCCACGCAACGCTTGGCCGGTCTGCTAGTACTATATATATTCTTCTATGAATAATTTATATATTAATTAATTTCAGATTGTAATTCAAGCTGTTGCAGACGATCGTTATTTCCCAGTAGCCCATACTTGCTTTAACCTGTTGGACCTACCTCGGTACAAAACGAAGGAACGCCTCAAATACTACCTCGTTCAAGCCATTCAGCAGACGCAGGGGTTCTCGCTCGTTTAAACGCAAAACGCCCGTTTAGTGAAGCAAGTGGTGGTTTAGTAGTTAGCTATGGTAAATTATCACGAACGCATTTAATACTTAAATTTGGGCCCGTATTCAAATTTATCGCAAGTCTTGATCTAGTTAGAACAAATACATTTGGAATATCCTGGCTTGAAATTAACTAGATTTTGGTTTAAGATGAATTTGTTAATATGGGCCATAGTGAATATACAATTATTATGAAAATTGAATTATGAATTATAAATAAAAACATTTTAATTTACTAAAACGTTATTTAGAATAAAAATAAAATATTTTTTAAATTGGATTGCGATTCGGGATTTGCTAAGTTCAATATGTTCGTAACAACTTTATTATTATTACTTAATTTGAGTCACAAGTTCTGTGTATATGCATAATACCACTTTTGTTACTACAAAAAGCGTAAAATAAGTTTACTATATAACTTACGGCGTAATTACGGTTCGTACTTTGGTTTTTGAACTCTAACGTTAAAAATAAATACACATTAAGAAGCCGAGCCATGATTAAATAATTAATCACGTAGACAATTCGGTGTAACAGAACAAAACAGGTGTGATTATTATAATAATATCTTAAAATATATCATTGCTATTTGGTGTCTATTTATATGCAAAGTAATAATAATGCCAATAATTTTATGTGTAATAATTTTAAATAAAGTTCATATTAATTATTACCACAAACATTACTATTGTTTTGTTAATTATACGTCATTGAGGCGTCCTTCCGTTAAAGCAGAGAGCTCTTTTAAACTTTCAAAACTAAATTTTATGCTTACCTTTGTACGATTCGAACTCAAAAATGCTAAAGAAATCGTTTGAAAAACAGATTTTTACGTACCGTCGCTCGTAACGTATTTCTAGAGCGCCTCAGGGTCCATAAAAATTATATATAGACAATTCGAAGTAATTAATATTCTAATTAAAAAAAGCTCAAGTCAAACATCAAAAAATCACCAAAATTCGCAAGATTATGAATTGTAAAGCCTATTGCTTTGTGTTAAGGTATTTTACAAAGCACCACAGGTAAAAGTTGTATTTATTTTAACTAAATCTACCAAAGCGTCCACATAGGTATTTGTGAGGATGCCCTACGTTATAACGCTAGTTATCGCTCGATATGTTAATCTTGGGGATGTTATTGTTACTACATGTTGCTCATTTTATTTCGTTGACCGCTTCAGTGGAGACAATGTAAAAGTGTGGTGCGTTTCGTATGATTGTGATTGGACGAACGGGGCGATGTATCCGTCTGTGACAATTAACCAACAATCACACGAAAAGCGCCATTTTCTATCTTTTTATTTTAAAGCGTTGAACGGCATATTTTTAATGTTGAATTGGTATCATGTTATGTATAAGCTATCCGGACAGTAAGTTGTTTTATCACTTATTCTGAACAATTCTTCTGAAAATCACTGTTCTTATTATCTGTGGAAATTCAGTATTTGTCACAGTAGTGAAAACAGCGTAACACTTATATGAAACCTCTTATTGGACGAATAGCTTGGCGAAAATTTGAACAGGTAGATAATACTGGTTAGCCTGTGATATAGTTTTATCTGACAATATAACTTGCTATGTCATGTTTATTTTGTATGAATGTACATCATGTGCAAAGTAGACGACATTGACCGGTTATTGCTGAATATAATTTCGAAGCATTTATTTATGCATCTATTGTAGCTCATTCTATGGTGTGGTTTGAGAGGAATATATTATTTTCTTATTATTTGTCGTTTTATTTCCAACCGAGAGTTTTAAATATTTTAATATACGAGCAATGAAAGTATTGTTTCATCTATTATAGTAATTTTGAAAATCTATTTAAATTTCTGAGCAGTGATGGCTTAGTGGCGTCAGCAACCTGAAATCCGAGATCGTAGGTCCGATCCTCGACTGCACAAATGATTTTTTCTATTGTGCGCATTTAAAATTCGCTCGAACGGTGAAGTAAAACATCGTTAGGAAACCGGCTTGCTTAAAAAGCCGACGGCGTGCGTCAGGCACCGGAGGCCGATCACCTACTTGCCTATTAGATTAACAAATGATGGTGAAACAGATTCATAAATGTGAAGCCCAGAACTAAAAAGGTAGTGCCTCTGATTTAATTTTAGAAATTTATTCTAAGACTAATAACTAATAGGAAGGCAATAACAAAAATTGGACTTTTAAATTTTTATTTCATTATAATAAAGTAACAATGAAATATAAAATAGTAACATTTTATATACAAAAGATTCTAACGTGACTAGCTTAGCCAATTACATATTTGGTTTCTTTTAGCTGTTTAAAATAATTGGAATTGTTAAAATGTTTACAAAAAGCATTACTAAGCAGTATCGAAAAAAATATCTTTTAGCCCGCACATTGACACAATTAATTCGTAAACATGTGACATGATTATATGAATTAAATCTTAAACTAAACGATTAAATAAAAAAATATGCTTATAAGCATAATATTATAATATTCGGTATCGGTACATGCTCGAGGACTTTATACTGTAAAGCCAACACAAGTACTTTAGAATTAATCAATTTAAAACAAATAGAAATGACATGATTTGGTATCGAACAGATACATACGTGATTTATGCTTTGACAGTTCTTTATGGACTCTTAATATTAATAGGATGATCGACCCGAGTGATCCTCGTAGTGCTGCGTGCCGGGAGGAACTCTGTAGCTAGTATAGCTGTGATTGAGTGCATGCTGCGAGAAGAATGGCGTATAATCCCTCTTAACCTGAAAAATTTAATACATTTATTTAAAAAGTTTTCGGTGTTTGAACTTGAAGGCCACTTGAAGACAGCAGGACTAATTCTACGATGTTACTGAGACACTAACTACGTACGAAAACCTTAGTGGGTGGGAGTATAGTATATATATACCCGGAAGGTAACACTTTTAGCGATAGTACTGGTTATATCTTTAAGTAAAATCTACCATCTAGTTGTTCAGAAGCGCTATGATATTTAGCTAAGTCGGTTACATGGTTTGTGTGAATTATGTGGGTGCGTTAGGTGAACTACTCTGCCTACAGTTAATATGATCTTCGCTACCCACAGGATCACTTACTAATGGATATAAAGTCCTGAATGTACCGAATGTGGTCGCTCAGACCTCGTTCAACGCAAGCAATTCGGCAAGGGAATATTGACGAAGCTAAAACAGATAACAGGTAAGGCAACAATCAGACATGCACGTGGATGAGAACAGCATTTTTTTGTTAGTCAAATGTAGATAATGGAGGGGGGGTTTATTTCAAAGTAGTTCGAATTTCAAATAAAATACTTGGTTCAAAAGTACAATATTTGAATTTTAAATACTACTTACTTCAAATTTCAAATATGATACTCGCTAACGGAATTGTTAAATGCAAGTCGAGGTAAACAACATGCATTTGTATGAAATGAACTCCTAGTAAAAGAAGACATACCTTGCGTGGTCTGCAGGCCGGGCCTTTGGCCAACTCCCTTCTTGCCACGTTTTCTGCGGCTACAGCTTCTTTCACGGACTGTGGCGGCCATTTCATGTCACCTCTCATGTTGATTCCTCCTTTAAATTAATTTGTTTAAATGATAAATATATCATTACATTTCTATAGAGAATTGTAGAATATTGAATCATGGCTAAACGCTGTGTTAAAGTCAATATCGTAAGTCCTGTAGTCTCTAAAAATTGTGTCTCTGGCTATGTATCAATTAAAATAAGTACGATATATCCACGCCAATTATCTTCTAATTTAACTTTTTCCTTAGATCCAATAATAATGGGTGTCAACCGTTGAACCTCATGCAGCTGTTTTCTGTGCCTGTGAGCGAAACATGATTCGTCGGAAATAGAAACTGAGTTAGAATAACAATTATTTTTCAAACAAAATCATCTCCGTTTGACACCGAGGAGTCAGTGGCGTAGCTAGGTGACCAAGGGCCCTGGGGCAAATTAAAAAAAGGGGCCCCCTTCTTTTTAAAATTTTTAAACATGATCTTAAAAATGCAAAGAGCTAAATGCTGTAGAACCCAGGTAAAAAAAATAAACAGTAACAACATAAATTACAATTAATACTTGGTGTAGGTTTGGCGAATGTAAAAACTAGAAAGATTCAAGGGTGTGTTTATTCATCGATATGAATAAAAGCACATATCATATCCGTCAAATTGACAACACCTGCCAACCTCACAGAAAAATTTCCAAAATGGGAATTCCCTCCAGGAACTGATTTCTCTCAACTGATTGTCATAATTAAAGTGATTGCTGTTTTTTTTGAAAATAGGGAAATTTCAAAAGTTCGAACGATCGAGTTTTCTTTTAAGGATTCGGGGGCCCCCCCCCCGGGGGGCCCCCCCCCCCCCCCCCCCCCCCCCCCCCTTTTTTTTCCCCCATGGAGTTCATGAAAATAGTATTCTTACGTAATTCAACTAGTAAGTACTAAACTTTAAAACACTTACTAATACATCAGTGCATTAAGAAAGCTCTTAGGTGTAATAACCTAGTGTCTCAAACACAAAGACGCGTAATTCCAAAAACAATAACTCCAACAATGCACTCTGCGAGCGTGTCTAGATTTTATCATCTCAATATTGTTTAATGTTACTACTTACACTGAATATAAAGCGGTGGGAACTGAAAGAAATTGTTTTCCTATAATTTTGATTGCGACTGGCGCCAAGCGATATTTTTACTCGAAACTTAAGTATTTTTAGAATTTTCATGGCCACACTCAGGTATGCGGAATTATAAAGGTAGATTTTCAGATTATTTTGAAAAGAAAACCTTGCATTTTTACTAATCTAAAGATGTCGTACCTTGGAAAGACGCTGCGGCAGGTTGACTAGGAAAGACAGGTGATGGCGACTGATGAATTGGTTGTTGCGGACGAAGAGTGATAGTTGTTGGTGGCGGCTCAAACTGTTTTTGAGGAAGCTGATACTGTGGCTCTGTGTAATGTGGCTGAGGAGAGTACTGTGGCTGTGGGGAGTACTGCGACTGTGGCTGTGAATAAAAAGGCTTTTACGAATGCGACAAAATGTTAAGTACGAGTATGTACCTATTATTAGTAATTCGTTCCCGTTATTGATACATTAACGTATTCCAGTTAACAAGGGTTTTATAACACCGAACACATAAAATACGGTACTACATGTAGTATCTGTGAATATAACTTGTTATAAATATTATTGTAAGAACAGCTTTATACAGCAGTTACATTTTTATTAGAAAAATACAAAGCATTATAATGTGTGAGTAGTACAGGTACTACCTACTTTACACAATTGCACCATTACCTATCTTGGGTACGTGTTTATATACTGCATTAATTATGTATATATGTTATTAGTAGGTATAGTACTAGTGTTACAGGAGATACACAGCATGAATATAAGAACATTCCACGTGCATCTAACACTACCTGGGGTGAGGTAGGAGCTGGTACAGGTGCCCAACGGCTTTGCTGCTGACGGTAGGGCTGTGCAGAGGGGGATAATGGGCCTGTAGGAGCCTGGCGGAAAGGAGGAGAAACAGGGGCCGCTGTTACACCGGGCCCAACTGGGAGTAGTTTACTTAGCCCTGTGACTTCCTGACGTCGGCCTTCACAGTGGCCTTGGTTTTGATTAGGTGTTTGGTTCTGTTGAGGGGAGTAGGTTGGTTGGTATTGAGGCTGAGTAGGTTGAGACTGTGGTTGAGGGGAGTATTGAGGTTGAGACGGCGAATGTTGCGCGTTGTTGTAGTACCCTGGGCTCTGCTGCTGAAGATAAAAATATGATTCTTCTATCTTTCACCCAAGCTTGAAAAACCCGAATATTCAGATTTTGCCTTACAATATCGGTCGTATATTGTCATTTTTGTAGCCAAGAATTCGGGCTGTCATATCTGACATAGCGAAAAATAAAAATATATTATGTACTATAAATATAGTGTAAAATGTTGGTAGTCTCATATTAATGTGTTGCCATTAGACATATTTAATTCAAATTCAAAATGATTTATTTATTTAGGTAACACAATGTACACTTATGAACGTCAATAAATAAATACATATTAAATGCTTCTAATTTTACATTTACTGCCAGTTATCAAATCAAGCGCGTAGAAATTGTGATAGATAGACTTTTATATTGCTCCTGTACTAGGTATCTGGAAACATGATAATTTTAACGGCGTGTATGTTTCAATTAAGCTACGTAAGTATGTATATGTACAGCGTAAAATAAATGTTATATAACATGCTTAAGTCATGTACCAAGCGTGTGCATCTTACATATGTACATATTATTTATATAGTTACCTCTTGTGGATTATGATACCCGTTGGTTTCTGGCGTTGGGGGCCAAACCACTTTCTTCTGGCCTGGAAGAGAACAGAAGTGTTATTTAGAATAGAAACTCCTTTCAACCGACTTCAAAAAACCCGAAGAGAGAGAGTACATATTACTATTTATTTTTCTCCTTTTACCCAGAAGGGTAGGCAGAGACCACAGTTCACTACTTGTTACGGTCCTGACATAACCTCTCTCGTTTTATCTACTTTCACCATGCATGTTCGTCAAGTCATTTTTGACCTGTTACTTCTGTAGTACGTAGATTTGGTCCAGGTATTTAGTACTACTACTGTGATATTAATTTGAAATATATTTTTTAAATTTAGTTCCAATACTTTAAGGAAAACCCTTTTCAGCAAAATACACGACACCGAAACATACTGAGCTATGACACAGTTATTTATATTTTTTAAGTTTCATAAAATAAGAAATATCGATTTGTGATTGTGTCATTTGCTCTCACAACAATAAGGGAGACAGCATAGACTTGGCATCTTTATGTAATTATTATTATTGATTGGGTAATTGTGCGTCAACATTATACCAAAATTTATATTTTAATACATAAAGACGTGTGATTGTATTATTTTATACATTTTGACTTGGCACTATTCTTATTATATTAGACCTTTACAAAAATATCTTCAAAGGCACGTTCTATCTAATCAGACGATCATAGCGCGTGGTCCTATATTCAACACTTTGAGACAATTATTATGACACATTCCGCTTTAAATAAGCCTGGCCATCACGATGTTGGCCAGTTTCCAGATAAAAACTCTCTCTGAATTAATAATTATTGAAAGTAACATTAAAATTAGGACGATGGAAACTTATATCTGAAGTAAAAATATCTAGTAAGCTTTTGACGGATAATAAAACTTATTTAATGGACAAAATTGCGAGTGATATTTAACAATCTTATCTACACTTGCGTATACTGAAATCATGAGTTAAGAAGAAATTTTAGAAACTTTATACAATACAAACGAATATGGGTTTTGAAAATAGAGTTTCAACAAATGTAAAAAAAAATATTGTTTATAGATCCAGTTAAAATGAGATGAAACATTATACTTAATTTTTTTTTATTTGATACTTCACTTATGCCGTAAAATCCTTAAGTAATTATAACGTAATAATAATGAATTTATTGTATTTAAATTATGTGTTATATCATACATAACAACAGTATATTTTGTGTAGTGTAACTATCACGTTTTATAAAATTTTAAACCAACGTAAATTTTAAGAAAGCTTTATTGCAATTATTAAAGCTTAAGAAGAAACGATTCGTTAAATTAAATGATAATGACAAAATGTGTAGTAAATAAAGTGTGAAACTCACTAATACTAGGGAAGGGCACTAGTGCTTCCTAACACAAACTGCCGAGGACTATTCAACCACTTGGCGCGCTCGCCAGGTGTGTAGGTGCTCAACGACTATTATATTTTCAGATTTTAAGATACCCATAGACCACATGTTTATTGATAGGACATAACTGTTTGCACTCGAATTTACGTCAAAAGACGAAACATTTTGATGAAATTTAAAAAAAAGCTTGCGCAGCTAACGATTTCTGAAGCTGGTTGTATCACACAACATTCAGAACTACAACCTTGGAATAATAGCTTAGAACTATTTTGTTTCTTAAAGTACTTATTCTGTATTGTTATTACGTCCTTTAATTTTAATGTAATTTACATGTTAATCGAATTATCAGGAAGCAATAAATATACATTAATGATTCATTATTTCCAGCATTAAGTTCTTATACTAATAATTATATGGGCTATTTGTATGAGATTTTTGTCGAAGCTTAAGAGATTAATTAAAGTGATATATAACTGCCATCGGTGCTATAATCTTCAATTAACTATTGCTGTGATATCGGCTTGCTATCGGATAATAGCTCGTATGAAATTGTGCTATTATTTTTGGAATTATTTATTATGTAGTTATATGGGTAAATCAAATTTCGGTCTTAGAATCTTACATGAAATTAAGTCATTTCTGAACTTTCTGATTGTGTCAAATAGACTGATAGTTTATACTTTAAAACGATTAGTCAGTGAAAGATGGAAAGACTATAAATTTACATTAATTTTAAAGTAATTTATTGAGTTACATTATGTGAAAGATGGAAAGAAAATACGTATTATATTAGATATATTGTTGATAAATTACTGGTGTTAAACATCGAGGTCTTTTTTAGTTATTTATTTATATTAGTTCAAATAATTTATTTCATTACAATTTAAATAAATTTTCCCGATAGTCACACTGTCTCCCCCGAATCATTGGCATGCAATCAACGCTGAATCATCGAACATTAGGTCATTGATGAATCGAACATTTTGTCATCGCTTATCTGTAATTAATTGTTAGTTATTTTCAGAATGCAAACAAAGACATGAGTTCCCACGCGTGCTTCTAGAAAGTACAGGTGTTTCAATGACTTTAATTAGTACAAAAGTAGTAAATCATCGCTATGTCTTGTTGTTATTCACTTTCAACATAGGTACGGAATGAAATGCATTTATGATGTACAGTTTTTTTAGGTTATATTATAATGCAAAATGTTTACCAAGTAGTGTGCCTGAATCGAATAACTGAACGACAATCTCTACGTCTACAGATACAGAAAACATTTTAGATATCTAGGTGATAGCGAAGTGGAGTCATACAGCACTGCATCGTGTATTATTAGATGTTGATTCATGAACTCGCGAATACACCGGCTCACCAGAAATAGTTACGCGTTGCGTCAAAAACTTTTTTATAAAGGATCGTGCGATCACGGTCAAGAACCAAAATAAAATGAAGAAACTTGTAAATGTTATATTCTCAATATTCACTCTGTAATTTTTAAGTGGAACACTCTTTGAGTATGCTTTTATTTTTATATTTGTCCTTGAGTTCTATTGTAGATATTAAATATACAATAAATCAGAATTGTTTAGTTTTTAGGCTTTCCGTAAAAGTAAATTAGGTACTGGCGTTCTATTTAGCAAAGAAAAGAAATTACTATTAAAACAAACCGAACAATTAAACTTTTAAAGGTAAACTAAACATCTTTAGGGCATTGGCGAAAGAATGTAGAATCAAGCTTACATAACAGTAAATTGAGATTTAAATATATGTATTAACAAAATTAGCAAGATTACTAAAATTTAAATTAATACGTTACCAAAAAATATCGTTTCAGGCATTTCGGTCGTTGTTCGTTCGTTGCTGTTTAAAAACTGATCTTTTGTGAGATATTTTTTGTCAATCTGTCCGCTAATGACCTGTCCTCGTCGCTTTCGTCATCGGACAGTAGGAGGTGTGACAAATAAGCCGTATTTATATATATAATTAATCAACAAGCAAGGATATTTGTTTGTATTTAGACGACTTAATTGTTATGATAATTTATTATTTTATAATCTTATTTCATTTCTATGTCTTTACACTAAAACCGTTTATCATAATATATATTTCATAGCGCCTTTACAGAATTTTTTTTTTAGAAAATATTTATGTAATTAATAAATTAGTTTCTAGTCTTCGTTAGGGTTAGACAAATACATTATAATTATACTATTAACTATACTATTAAATTAATGAATATTGATTGTCCGTAACTTAAATTTTCTATATTTTTGCTCTTGTAGACTTTCTTGTTCAAATAAATATTTATTATTTGTTTACATAAGTTGAGATATGATAAATTACCTAAAATGAAAATCAGACCACACATCATCAAAAGCGCGAATTTATTAGCATGCGTATTTAATCCCAATGGAATTAATTTTCAATGTCGGGCTTCATATCTATTCTATTCAAATATTGTTATTGATTTTGTTTATCGACGCACAGCTAATGCCTGTTAAATATTGGAATTCAAATAAGTGTGACCGAAATTAATTATTTTAATATGGTCGGATGATTCAATGGATTCTATGGCCAAGGATACCTTTGGTAGCCTTCAATAACTGAGGGTAAAGATAGGAAGTGGAGTTGATTTGTCCATTCCAGGTACGTGCTGGTCTCTTACTTCCTGGGGGCCAAAAGTCGTCAAATCGGCGTTTCGTATGTTCCAAGTTTTCCAAGATCGCCTGGACTTGGGTTGGGTCTAACTCTGGTAAGGCATTGTTAGGTAAAAGCGTTAATAGGCGTAAAAAAAGTTTTACTATACTTTTAAGGAAAAAACAACATCTAAAAGAGTTACTCACTTGGGTATCCTTTCCTGTTTCTTTCTTCTTCTTCTAGCATTCGGAGAACTGCTGAGTTGGCAAGGTTTCCTGGTTTGTCTGTGGTTGGATTGTTGAAGTCGATTCTGAAACAAATTGTGGTTCATTTATCTTATATAAACCTTAGTAAAAAGCTGATTTTTTAAAATTACAAATTAAAAATAAAAGCATCTTACATTCATCGCTCATTCTCCCTAAACATGTCGCAAATATCTATCTAGTTCAGGTGCACAAGGGTATAAGGAAACGGTTAAGTAGCGAAATTATACACGAAACTGGTGGAGGTAATATCGTGAGCTTCACTCAAACAGAAGTGCTTCCGGGATTTGAAACACTTTTCAGGTACACACAGCGTAATGAACTCTGGAGCAGACCCATACAGTCTGTAATACCCCTTAAAATATTTACTGCAGAGTAGATTGCCGATTGCTCTTACGGTAGTTCAAGTGCAACCGCATTGATACCCCAACATTTCCAGTAAAAACGCAGATGAATACAATGGCCTCACAAGTACTGTTGATTCTTATATAGTTGTGCAATCCTAAATCCCCCATTGACATTTTGAAAATAGCAAACTACGTTTGAATGCTCAATTAAAAGTAATAAGCTTAGAAATTCAATTACCGCAAAACTCCGTAAACTTTCTCGGTTTACCCAATGAATCAATTTCCATCGTTGCTCGGAAAGTCAATCACAAAAACGGTAACTTTATTTAAGTGATATAGGAAACTCGTCGTGAGAAAATGGCGCAAGAACTTGTGACAAAGCGTTCGTGAGTTCACTTTCAATTGTGTCAATCTGCGTAGCTTCTGAACCTTTTGTAGTCATTGGTGAAATTAAACAAATGTTTGTATGGACTTGTTTCGTTTAATGGAATTTAAAAGTGATTGGATTCTTTTCATAGAAACGAAACAATGGAAGTGAAAATAAGACGTCTCTCAATTGTCATAGAGAATGGACCGATTACAATTTAATATAATCTAAAGTTATAAAAGTTTAAACTATTTCTTTGCGATATCAAACCTCAGAAATGTATTTTATAATGAATAAAAATGGTTCTGTTTACGCACAATCAAGTAGATTTTCTGGACGAACTTGCGGATCAGCGTGTCACGAAAAAAAAGTGCGTGCGTGTAAAGTACGTACATGTCAGAAGTGAAACTTCTTTGGCGAACTAATTTTTAACTCTTGTTCATATTTATACAAATCTTAATCTTTAGATTTCCGCGACTTAGAGGGAAGGAAAAGGGAAGATATGTTAGGAATTTAATGAATTTATTTGTCATTAAAATATTTAATACAAATTTATATAATTATTTTTTCGATGGTAAAATCACGTGGCATTTTAATTTGAGATTTCAATAAATTATTTTCATAAAATATAAAATACTAATATTTCATAAATTCTCTTTACGAAATTTGAATTTTAAAAATAGAATTTCTATAAGGTAATTCAGTCTTCTCACTCTCTCTTAATCGGTCTCAATCGCTCTCTGCCTTTTCTTCGAAAAACACGCTGCACATCTTCGTGACGTTCCGTAAAAAATTCCCCTCATAAAAGAAGAGATTTTTTTTTAAAGAAGTTTCACTTCAAAATTATTTATTTTAAAACTGTTTTCATCTCTATAATACATTGCTAATATGTTTATTGTTTGTCAACGTTCGCGTTTCATTTTCGTGACTAAAACAATAGCACTTGATGACAATAATGACACATGACTATTTTTGGCGCCAAAATGGACCTTGTTTATAAATAGTCGAAGAACCACTATTCTTAGAGAGTGAATGTTCGTGTGACACATTAAAATATTAAACCAATAGTTAATTTTTTGTCCTAAGACAAAAGAAGTTGTTTGAAACGGGCCCATAATAAAAAATGATGATATTATAATATGAACTTAAATATTATCGCTAAAGCTGACCGCCTGAGCGGCGAAGATGCGACGACCTGGTAATTTGTAAGGTAAATATTATATTTATTTTGTTTTTTTAATTACTTCGTTATGATTCGTCAGCTTCGAGAAAATATTATATATCAACTGTCTCTTAAACAGTTTCATACATCGCTCAAACGGCATGGTAACATAAATAAAATTGTGAAATATCTTTGCAATCAAGAATATACCATAGACGCACTTTATACAAGCCAATCACATGTTACGAAACTTTTTATATGAATTGCAACTTTATCTCCCGTTTACCTCGATAACCTTATTAGGTAGCATGTAGTGTCAATTGTATGATGCTGCTTACATTAAGCCATAGACAGCTGTTCCTGCTTGTGAGTAATAATTCAAAATCTTAATAAAACTTCGAATTTTTCGTTGAATGAAAAATCTTCAATAATTAAATTACGAATAAACATTAATTGGAAGATGTTAAACTCAATAAGCTTTTTTGTTTCGATCGTAGAATGTCGATTTTTTTTAAATAAATTTAAGACAGGACTACGTAGAAAAAATTGTTTCCCCTAACTTTACAATACTGGACGCAGTTGTAATAATCATAGGGTGTAGAGCACATCTAACTACATAATTGTTAAAGACATTTAGAGCTTTAATAAAATGTTGCATACAAGTAGGTACACGTTTATTCGATTCTATTTTTTTATTAATCCTACTATACTCGTTGACATGGAGACATGCTATGTCAGACTGTGAAAGTGTATTCAACAGCTATATTAAAAGTAAAAAAATCTTTAGGTGTTGAAATGTAGACAAAAAAAACCCTTCTTGTTTATAAAGTATTTAAGTAGTATCATTAAATGCTTTTTAGTTACTTAAATCGACTTTGGAGCCAACGATGTTATGCTGTGTAATGAATGTCAGTTTTATATCAAACAGCAACCATGTTTTAACCTGTTACAAAAGTGTAAAGCTTTAAATAGATTTTAATATAAAATAAGGGATGATTAAAACTTACTCATCACAATCGATGATCAAAGCCATCCTGCTTCACCCAATTACGTTATAAAATATATATATAGGCCACAGATTTTATGCCAAATTGGGTGACGCGAAAATGTTTACAACAAACAATTATCACTATAAATAAGGACAATATACCGAAAATAAACTGTGAATAATGCGCACGAGCTGCGCGCTTGTCCCGACGCGACTGTTCACATCGCATCGAACAAATTCCGCGTCTTATACTTTTCCTTCCATGTATTCATAGAAAGAAGTTTGAGATAAACATCTTAATTACGTGCATGCATAGATCAAATAATTGTATACTAACGTAGATAAGCGCTTGGTTAATGGCGAGTAACAATAACTTTTTTTAAATACAGTGTAAACTTTTTATAACGAATTTCAAGGAGGTTTTTTTCGTTATTCGGTTTAGTCAGGAGGGGAAGAGAAAAAAACAATTTTAGCAACTGAGACCAAAATTTCCTACAGGCAATGTAATCTAAGAATAATGGCACACGTCTTAATGCAGTTAACAATAACAAGTTATGACCTAAGGTATATTTCGTTTTGTAAGCTGATTATAAAAACAATTACACTTAAGTATGTTGTTGAATCATTACAAAGAGTGAATTAATGAATGGGTTTTGTGTTAAACCAAATAAATTATCTCATTTTTACGTTATAGAGAGATTTTCGTTATAATGAAAGACGTTATAAAAATTCCAGATTCCATGATCGACGATCGTAGTTATACGCTTGAATTGTAAATAATATTTTTCACTGATGATATTTTTAATAGGGATATGTCTTTAATACGATTCCTGGCTTGTTGGATTAACACTTAGAGTGAAGTGCTTGACTGCCCATGTACACCTGCAATGACAGTTAGCTTGCTAGTGCGTTGCCGGCCTTTAAAGTTGTTCTCTCTTTTCATGTTCAATCTTTGTCTTTAACGACATAATGATTTCATCAGAGTAATATATTTAATACTGAATTCATTATAGTACCGTTTCTGTGGTAGGTGAAACAAATGGCGTATACCTAAGGGCTTTTGGCTTCGACTCCCAGCGAAAATATGTTTTATTTTAGCTGGTAAGTTGGCGCTTGCCAGCCTGCTGTAGGACTTGCCTACGGCAAAGTAGTTACCAAATTTATATGACAATTCCAAAACAAAAAACTTGAAGTCTCAAAAAATTAAACACCATTCAATTAATTCCAACAACACTTTGAATAAAATTCCCTTAAATCACTTAGAGCGGCCTAGTTAATCACGTCACAATGAGAAGTTTATAAAAGAAAAAAATACAATTATTATTTACGTGCCGCATTACTGAGATACGTGATAGGAATTTAAATTTTCTAAAACATTTATCCAGTATGTAACCTCAATGAATCTCGTTGGAGACCGAACGATTTATTTTAGTATACTTTAATATAAAATGGAATGGGGGCAAGATTGGCGTTCTGCTAAATAACTGCGAAAGGTCAGTGTTTGGTAGGTGTTTCTTATCATACATAAGAATCAACCTGTTTCATTGGAAAATATAATATATATTTTGATTTAGTTGTCGGTATTTGAAAGTTATATAAGGTTTATTTTAATTTATAAATTATTAAACGAATGGTGAATTTGAGTTCGGCTGCAGGAATAATAATTTTTATAAAAAAGAGCAGAGAAGCTTTAATAAAAACGACAATCAATCAACACCAAAATGCCAAAACGATAAGTAACAACTAATACGATTAGTAATGTTATAATTATAACCTTCACACTTAAATTCCATTCTACAACTATTTTCGCTTTTATAGTGTTTTTTTATCAACAGTTCATCGAAAACGGACTGGAAGGTCATCTGGGATTTGAGTCAAGATGCCCTAACAGTAGTGTACGTAGAAAGTCGAATTTGTAGGAAAATTTGTCGACACGAACTGTAATTTTCACACAAATTCGACTTCCTACATAAGTTTAGGCATCTTGTCTAAGCCCCCCGATGTTAAGTGATAGAAGAGCCCATAGATACACTCAATTTTTTGTGCAAAAAATGCAAGGGTTATGGATACTAGACCAATTATAAACGGTGAGGAATTGAATCTGGATGATACAACTGTATTTCTCGGAATCACCATGGATTCAAAACTTCAGTGGTCCCCTCATATTAACGGATTGGCGAAGAGACTTAGTTCTGCAGCCTACGCGGTTAAAAATATTCGCTCACTAACTGATGTCGGTACAGCTAGACTTGTTTATTTTCGTTACTTTCATAGCTTAATGACTTATGGCTTATTATTATGGGGTCATGATGTCGAAACTATTTTCATCCTGCAATCTATAATTTAAATTGTAGGGAATCTCTTAGAGATAAATTCAAGGAAATTAATATATTTACCTTTCCCTCGCAATATATTTATGAAAATATTATGTATGTATACAAAAATAGTGATAAGTTTACTAGAATGTGAATACACGGAACAAACGCAGGCTGCAATTTCCCCGTACTAGACTATCTAAAGTTAGTAATTCTTTTTTGGGATAAGGGATACTCTTCTTTAATAAAATCCCAGAGGCTCTTTTATCTCTGCCTTTTAATAAATTTAAGAAATGTATTAAAGAAAAACTGTGTAAAAACGCTTACTATAAAGTCAACGATTATTATCTAGTTGATAAAAGGGCCTGGGACTAGTGCTAGACAGGCTACTTCTAATTAATTTGCGATATTTGTTTTAAAATAAGTGTTGTTTGATGATTTGCTATTTTAAAAGAGTACCGAGAGTTTTTTACGCCGGCTTTTTCTCTCGGCCTACACCCTCTGTCTTCTTTGCCGATGAGTAGGGATGCCTACAAATTCAAATTTAATGACGTGGAATAAGTGATGCATGTATCTTATGTTCCATAATAAACATAATTTTTTTTTATTTCAATTCCAGAGGGCTCGCGAGTGCGTCGCCGGCCTTTTAAGAATTGGTACGCTCTTTTCCTGAAGAGCCCTAAGTCGAATTGGTTCGGAAATACTTCAGAGGGCAGCTGGTTCTACATAGAGGTGGTGCAAAAACGGCCTTAAAAACGCTCAGTTGTGGAACGAATTTAGCCGGCCTGTTTCACGTGTACTATGCACGGTTATAAACAACTTTAAACCTATAAATGTATTAGTATATTCTATATATATATATTACAATTGTAAAATTTGTAATTGTATAAATGTACCATCACTTGCATAAGTGCTGCACTCATCACAATTTCAAGTATTATATCGGCGCGTGAACGTGTGATTCGGCTGTGATTCATCCGTATTGGCAACGTCTATCTTGTTGATGGATTGTTCAATGAACGATACTGATATCGAACTCTATCAATAACATATGTAATGTCACTTTCCTTAACTTGCAATTCCGGGTGATTCCGTGACGCGATAAGGGTATGCCTGTATGAAATTCTTATAATGCCTTTGCGACATTATATTATTTTATTTATTTGTTATAATAGTTTTAATAAAGGACTTTAAAGTAGTGTGGTAGAAAAAATAAATAAAGTTTTTCTGTCCACCACGATGTCGAAGAAATTTACAATTTATTTAGTAATGATAATCTGTTGTTTATGGGAAATAGAGAAGACCAGAACCATTACAAAAGTATACTCTTATAAAACGAAAAAATACAAACTAAAATCTGAATTGTTTTGAAATTTCTAACATACAAGAATAAAAAAGTAACTTTAGAATGTTGTTTTATTAAGTGATTCTAAGTGTGAAGGCTATGAAATATTTAGTACGTTATTGGCCTAAATCAAACTGAATTCAATTCAAACAGAATTAATAATATCTTTGTTTTTGCAATTACTTCCTTACTCCATGTACATATTTAATAGCGGAAGCAATTGTTCTAACAGGTAAATAATATCCAAAAATATCCTTTGCTGTATAAACATGCCCATTATTTAATATGGATAGTGAAAATCCTGAACAAAGTCAATGACTTTAACTCGAGACTATAACTACGTAGGTATGTTATTAATTAATCTTATATGTAAAATATCATGTACCAATAAATATAGTTTAACAGAAATATTGCTAGGAATATAGAATTATAAATATGGCGTACCCAACAGTTCCATTGTCAAGGTTATGCAGGTGCTTGTTCAGAGTCTCCTGGATGTTCTGCTTCGAGTACAACCCCATAGGTGAGTTGAACTGCTTATGGACTATCTTCGGTCCCGTGGACATTTTGAAGTCGTTCGTTGCGCTGGAAATATGCATAGATTGGTTTTGTATAGAAAGTACAGGTTTGAAATTAGATGCGCTAATCTTTTAATTTGCGCAACACCTTTGAAATATCCCTCCTGAAAATCTAAGGAGGCACTTCTTCTGTGACTCTAAAATATGTGAATAATACAGAGGACTCTGTGCATTTCTTTGAAATATGATCTGGCTATATTTTAAATTGCTTAGTTGTATTTTCTAACGAAATTCATTACGACTAATTATTGTAATTAGTAATTCTATTTTCAAAAATGTATTAAAAACGAAAAGCCTCAAACTAGACATAAGGTGATTCCGAAAATAAATCGTCCATTTAAGAACAAAGAGTATGATTATAGCTGTCAGTTCGATGATTTATTTATATAGAAATAAAAGCGTAATTATTTTTTAATTATTGTATTAAGTAGACGAGTATTTGACGTCATTGTATTTTAAGAATAACAGTATTCCGTAGAAACTTACGTGATTTTTAATCTATTTCAAAATCTGTGAGAATTATGACCAATAAATTTCGCAAACTACTTAATATTTTAATAAACTCAATTCTTGAGAAGCTTAACATTAATTAGAACACAACCATATCGACGTAGGAAAGCACATTTGCTGTAAGTAGACATATTGCAATTGTTCACCAGAGCCAAAAAACTTTATTAATTTCGGAAAAAAATTAATAGTGTCTGACCTATCCATGATATTGCTACCATTTTTGAAACATATATTTATTTAACTGCCAGTCACCATTTGCAATGTAAACGTTTTATCCAAAGTTACTATAAGTACGTGTTTGGCTAGTTACAGCAAACAGTTTTTTAAATCACAAACCTTTAAAACGCTGTAACTAAGGAAGAAAAATGTACGCGCGGAAATATTATCAATTTACAGGCGGTAAATATGCTGTATGCAGGAAATTTATGTATTTGGGTACTTTTAATTGCAATTCAAGATGTAAGATTAGTTTATAATTATGATTAGATCTAGAAATGCAGTGGGTCATTTGGTAATGTAATGTTTGGTTGAAATAAAATGTCGTAAATGGTAAAAAAAACCAAAACTGTAGGTTCCCTAAACTTGCTGTAAGTAAACGAATGTAAAAATCACACGCCGCTGAAATGCTGTAAGTAGCGTTAAGTTTTTAAATGGGAAGAAGTAAGTATTTGTAAAGAAAAAATGCAGATTTTCTTTTGCTGTAAGTGCAAAATGTCTGAAATGACTAGATTTTGGTCTACATACAGCATTTAATCTTGCTAAAAATAATATAAGTACGGGCGTTTTCAACGGCGTATGTAATTTTTTTTTCATCGTAGAGACACAGGACCCAGGTCATTCGATGCGGCTTTTTTTTCTGATTCTAATGGCAGGAAAAAGTCACTTTAGGTATTTTGTCTACTTACAGCAAATATGCTTTCCTACGTCGATATGTAATTGAAGTCTACGTTTCTTGAGTATAACAATATTACATCAACGCAAAATTCACGCGCCGGGTTACGGCCAAAAGTCGTCTTATTGCGATTTTATTATACCTGCCAGCTAACGCGACGGCCATAATATATTTCTCGTAATGTTTGGGAGGTGTACAAATAAGTTATCTAAAAGGCTAAGCATGTTATTGAAAATCTTGGAAATAAATGATACAACTACGATATTTTCCGAGGTGAGATATATTAAATTTACGACTGTGATATAAAAATGTATTTGGAGGAATTATTTTATGTCAGTTTTGAAATCAGTTCGTTATATGATGGTTTTCTGTCAGTTCAAAAGAGTAGGGTAACGTCTGTATACAACATTTTTAACTTTATAAAAGTATATAATTATATAGTCTGTTAAGTAAAAAAAAAGTGATCGAATCATACAACCCATGTATGGCACTTTGTGATATATTCTAAAGAATATTGATTTGTGTTTCGTTCTTCAATATTTATTCTGCGGGAATCAATATTGAATGTCAGTTCTACGGTCCATCCAACGGACGCTTGTTACCTATAGAACGACCGGAATCGCGACATTTTCGTTTAGTTAATCCTTATATACTGTGTATACATTGTAGTAAACGGCTGATAGCCGCCTAACATAAATATAGTAACGTGTTTTAGTGTCCCATTATAAAACTCATTAGTTGGTTAGTTTGTAGGGAACATTACGCTAAAAACGACATGAGCAGATCTACTCGATAGTACTTATCACGCAATAACAAAAAGCGGAGTATTTATGATAAATGTTGCATAAACGAGAAAAAATCACCTTATTGCGAGCTTCTACGAGCACTTGCGAGCATTACACGTGAAATTTACGCACAAATAATTTGTGACGGAATTGTTGCTCTTTAAAAGTAACTACTAAAATGAGTCCACAACAGCATATGTATATCTTTTCAAGTTATATTTCAGACTCACTATACATTGACGCTGAAGCTGATTTTATAAACACACCTGTACCTAAATGCGTCACAAGTATTTAATTTTGAAAACATTGCCCTTGTTATAATTTAATCTAAGATAATCTCAGTCTCCTACTCAAAAATTTAAGTGGAGACTCGTATGGCTCGACTTAATTGTAAAAGAAATCCGGAAGACATTTACATAAACAATTAATGAAGTGAATAATTCCGTATACACTTCATAAGAACATAGTTTGTTGATTAATTATTCAAGTAATTTTGATGATACAACGCAAATATACGAAATATATTTGAAATATTAAATCCTCTAATAACCTGTAACACGGGTCGAGTTCTATATTTATTTATAGGATATTTTTCAAATGCATATAAAAAGGGACGAGAAGATATATATACACTATTAATTAAAAAGCTGAGTAAAGGCGAAAACAAATTTGTTTGGTCCTCCAGTAATAGGGACAATTTTTGTTTGTTTGATAGTGTTTGTTTTTGTATTGTATATTAATATGTAAATAAATATATAACTTTCGTTTCCTATATGTATAATGGTAATATAAATAACCTATATTTATATGATGTCTTTTTGGCCATTCGGTATAGTTCTTTTAAAAAAGTTATGAAAATTCCATTTTCAGGCTATCTTAGTTATTAACCGAAACAAAGATAAAACTATAATAATAGAAAAAAAATACAGTGAAGTAGATTTGTGTTTGGTATGAAAGATATACGAGGATAATAAATACAAAAAAAGCGTGGGAGTAGCAAAAATTGTGTTTAGTATCCGGGTTATTTTGAATTGTATCCGCAGTGCGATATATACATTCGAGAAATTTTTTGACTCAAACGCAAACGCACACAATTTTGAGTTGTGTTTTCTATTAGATAAAAATTCAAGATCACATACAATAAAAGCGTATTTTTTTTCGAAATTACGAAAATATATACGTATCTACAACATTAAAATTAAACAGCAACCAACTTTTGTTTTTAACTTTAATTTCCAGCAAAATGAAGTTATCGGAAATATGAAAATTTTGCCGATGGCATGTCACAGACCGATGGTTATAAGTAGATTTGTCTGACAAGGTCGCTACCGCCGCCATCAAGGTTAAAATTCCGTGTAATTCAAACGGTGATGAACCAAAATAGTTTACTTTTATTTTTAAAACACATCTAACTAATATGATTAGATTAACTAATGAGAAATGATGTCACCCTGAGGTTTATGTTGACAATAAGCCGTAATTTCGTGCTTCATTGACGTTGAATTGCATGTATTTTCGATTAAGACGATTTATCGTGTTTTTCTTTAATTGAATGAGTGTGAATAGAATGTATAAATTTCCCTAAACATGACACTGAGGTATTTTTGAGCCAGACCGCCGCAGTGAAAACGAGACGGACTATTTCAGTATCATGAAGTAATAGCGATCTATTATTGTGGCGGAATACTACATGAAGTTAGTCATTGGTGACGTCTAATAAAAAACATTTACATACGTTTTAAGCGTTTATTAGTGCAATGTTACGAAGCGTGAGCATTTTAATTATGTACCTTGTGCGGCGGTGCGATTCGTGCGAGCGGCGTCGATGCCTGTCTTCTACTGTAGCAATAGCGCGGGCGGGCGGTACGCGCCCACGCAACCTCACCTGTTTCATGATCATGAAAATTGTTGAATCACGTTACACTGCACTTGAAAGTTTTCACGGCTTTTCAATACGTCTTTACATTTGAAATGCATTATTAAATTACTGTTATCTGCTGTTTCTACTCTTTATTGTCCAGTTTATTTTTTTTTATGGAACGCCTTATTAAAATTGAATGTAAAAAATACGTATGCTTTCAATAGATTTTTTTATAAAAATTCAAAACATACGGTAAAATAACCCCATACAAACTTACCTGAAAATAACAAACAATTTAGGAAGCGATCCTTGAACTTAAACTGTCGTGCACTAATGACTGTAATGAGCTGCGACAGACAATCTCTTGAAGCAGCGGCCTCCAGCCTCCGAATGAACTAGCGCTATCTACTGCGGGATAAATGAGAAATTTATTAAACCAGTCCCTCTATATTTAGCTCAGTGGAAAGCATAAATAAAAAAGTCTCGCATCTAGAAAACCCCATCAGTGTAAGGTTATTGATCTCCGGTCGCTCCTCGATTTCCGTAGCAATACTGAAAAATCGTTCATTTTCAAACCTTTCGAAAGGCTTGCATAAGTTAGTTACTCGTTGAAAACTTTAAAATTGAAACCGTTTATTACAACGGCAAATCTAATTGTAATCAAGGTTGCGGCGGAATTATTGACTTTGTGATATTAAAGTTTGAATCTGCAACGTTGGTTTTTTCCATTTATTTTTCTATATTCAACAATATTGATTTATTTGCATTGAAAGTATAAGTTTTCAATATAAATATCAGATTATTTTTATTATAATCTGATGTTAAATTTACGATTTGTCGATTTTTTAATAATTTATATTTTTGGATGATTCTTATACTCGCTATATTTTAGTAATTGTTAACTTATGTTAAGGTAGAATATGTGCAGAGAGGAGACAAAAGGAATGTTGTTTACAGTAAAAGAATAGCGAATATGAAACATGAAGCTATTTTTAGTGCACAAACACACGCGAGCAGGTGCGCGTTCGCTGTCCCTGTAACAGATTTTCATCTAAAGAACCTATACACTGTAATTTTTGATAATAGTTTAACTAGTTTCATTCCTGAAACAAAAGTTGGCTGTTTATAGAAGGGCTATTTGATAGATTTTATAATGACACTGATTATTATACTAACAGAATAAAAAAATGCCTGTTATTATTATTTCATTATAGTTTTTGAAGACAATAGAATTTCAACAGATGTTACAAAATAATACAGGAATTGTAATTTAATATTTCTTTCAATGTAATATTTGTTATGCTTGAATCATATGATGTAACTTCAACGTAAGGTCACAATGCATTTTACGAAGCGAATCACCGTGTGACGTATTCAGGGTTATGATTCTCCTCTAAACAGATATATGTTTACGACTATTTTACTAAACATTTCCTTCAGAATAGGATTAGCCATCTGCGCAAAACTTCTGCAAAAATTTCTGACAAATGAAAAATGAAAATTGAAAGACACATTTTTACTTCTATCTAAATCATTGTGTAGGAGGTTTAAGTATCCTCAATCTGCAATAATTTCACCTAGAATCAAACCTGCAAGCTATACGCTCATGTGGTTTAGGTACAGTCGTGAAATGTGTAAAACTAATCAAAAAAGTCTGTATAGTAGTAGAACTTCATTACCATTTCCAATAAACTGTTGAAAAATAAAGGTAATTTAAAATAATATGAACAGTCCACGTTTTGAATTTATCCAATTGGAAAAATTTTATAAACCTTTTTTCTATTTAACTGTACGACGAGTTTGCATCGCTTTGTGCCGGTGAATACGTATAATGAAACAAAAAGAATACAAAATGGGTCCTAAATTTTTATTTCGTTCTCTTTATCGATGCTCGCTACTTCGTGGTTATTATAGAGTGAATGAGCATGTCGATTATGTATATATGGGTAGATTTTAACCTTTATTTTTGGCCTAGCAGATTCTTAAAGCAGAGTGGGTATAAGATAAGCCGTAATATTGTATAACTAAATATACCTCGACATACCTTTTACGAACACGAAAACCAGAGCCAGTTTATTTTAATTTACATAAAAGTAATAGAATATATCTAATTTGTTTCTAGATATAAGTTGCAACGCAGTCAAATTTATAACTTAAATTAAAAAATCCCATTTATAAAAATATTTACAATCTTCCCGAGTGGTCTAGTTGGTGTCCCTACAGCGTTTTATATCAATATAATAAAAAAATTTGGCCTCCGATTTCTGAATTTGTTTCATAATCATTTTTAAATCTAATAAGCAAGTAGGTGATCAGCCTCCAGTGCCTGACACACCCCATCGACTTTTTGGGTCTAAGACATGTCGGTTTCCTCGCGATGTTTTCCTTCACCGTTTGAGCAAATGTTAAATGCGCACATAGAAAGAATTAGTCCATTGGTTCACAGCCGGGGATCGAACCTACGACCTCAGGTATGAGAGTCGCACGCTGAAGCCACTAGGCCAACACTGCTCTTAATATCGATATACACAATCTATAAAAAATATTGGAAATATTCAATATAAGGTTCCTTTTCAAGCACGAGTACATCATAACATTTGAAGTTAACTTAATTATAAACAAGTTGGTAGCGCTAAACTTGCTCGAGTTCCATAAATAGCATTATACGGAGAGGTCCTCGACGTCATCACTATTACGTAAACAGTGCATGTGACATATTGACAAGAAGGCTCTAGACTTAGCTGTCTTAAGCTTCGCTTATAACTTTATTGACGTTAATGCAGCTGAAAACAATTGGTTCGGAGAGTAAATTATGCTTAGTTTTTGTGTAATTGTGGCAGTCTTATAAAATAGCTCGCGTCTCAAATGCGTTTTTAGTAGCCTAAAATTTGTATATTGTCTTTCTCCGAGACTCAATTTATTTCTAAAAAATAATACAAGCATGTGTTTTGTTAGATGAAACAATTATATACATTTTATATGAACACTCATAATATGCATATTAAGCAGCATTCGATATTTCCATAATTCAATTTTAAATATTATATTACTTATGATCAATAAATTTATGCTCGTCAAGCGTAATTAGTTTTATAACATCGAAAAATTCGAAAATTTCACCATTTTGTGAGCGTAGTTTTGGAACCCTAAGATACGTTCGAACTCTGGCAGTGAACTTTGTGGGTTAATTATTATATTAGTCTGTTCCACGACTAGAGGATACGGGATACCAGAGTGTCTTTGAGCCAAAAATCGCCTACATGTGTCAGCGGAGAAAGCTATATGTACTACTGTACCTACTAATAAAACTTAACAAAGAAGTATTTTCTGATGAAACCTATATAAGGTTGTAGCGACAATAGACTATTATGACTTATTTATTTGTATGCGTTGATAAATGCACTTTAATGAAGAGGTACTCTTAGCTGTAGATAAGTACTAATAAATTTCAACACAATAATTTGAATCGTTCTATTACCCGTAAAAATAAAGTTTGTTTTTTTAATAAAATCACTAAACTTCGTACTCTCTACTATTTTAATACATTACGATCTAGCGTAACTTAAGACTAATAAGTAATTTAAGTCTAACCCAATTTACTAAGAAGCATATTTTTTTACATTAGAAAGTGTCCAATAACACTACTTACAGTCTCTATTAAGGACGCACTCTCTGTTCTTGTGTTATATTTATTTATCGAGAGAGAAAATAAAGCAAGCTAAAGTTTATGGTTTAAACATTACTCTGGCGTGAGTAATGTTCGTGCTAATTAGAGTGATTTGTTCGTTGCAGTGCGAGGATAGCTGGCAACTCTTATTGCATTAGTGATCGATTCTGTCCTTCCACCTTTGTCTTTGCGAAGTAGAACAACCGATATTGAAACTTCGCTTGCTATGAAACTTCTATCCCTTATAATTGAATTCGGATCTTCTCTGTATTTAACGTCAACCGACATTTTACTGAGAAATGTAATTAAATCATTTAAATCAATACTGTCTCATACAATTCCTCTTACATACGTTAATGTAGAACTTGTGTCTCAAAAAGCTAGTATTCAGTATATATGTAATATGTATGTATGTATGTTAAAAAGGTCGTGAGATATTTTTTTATACTTGACGAGGTTTATTCAAAATGATAAATAGGATAGAAATCACTTGAAATTCTATTAATATTTGAATGAGGTGAAATAAATATGTTACTTCTGATTTTGACGACTCAAACTGAAACACACAAACTACTACATCACACAGTTACTAAATTATGTCCTACAGATAATGTTGTTCCATTATGCATCATTTCATTACTGCGTTGAACAAACTTTATTAAACATAATTATTGGGGAATGCGATTAAAACAACTTTGAATCTTTGGTTTTATATTTCAACTTATACATTTACTAAACTATACAAAAGTTTGAGTTTAAAAAGCTAGAAGGTAAAAAGTAAAGTGAGGAATTTTTACATTACCCAGCTCTTTAAATGTAAAAATCGTCACTTTTTACAAACTAAAAGACAGTCTTTGAAAAAATTAGTTTACCCGTGTTATTGCGTAGAAAAGCAATTAAATTAAAATTTGCTCTACAAGTAACATTATTAACAATATCTATACGATTATGTACACAAAGCTTAAGATTAATGAAATAACATCTAAATTGATTAAAGAGACACTTAAATTTGTAGATCAATAGATCATTACTTGCTTATATTAAGAGATTGACAAATTTATTTGGAGCGGAGATATGGTTATTTCTCTTTCGGTTTAATTCTGTTGCCTGTCGTCTTCAACTGAGCTGCTTGCTTTCACTTCTTTGGGTATGGCCGACTAAAAGAAAATGAATAAATTAGCTATGAACTCCATTGACCTATTGTAATGTATTGAAAAAATAGAACTAAGTGTCTAAGTCAATAAAGGCATTATTAAGACAGGACTAAATTATTAAGAAATTCCATACCATAACGAATCTACATATCTATAAAAAAAAAGTGCTAAAAACACTCTCTTAGATTAAGATATCAATTCTTATCAAATCCCTAACGTGTAAATGTAATACCCAAAACCGATATATCAAAAATACCTCATATGGAAGTAAGAACATGTTGTTATCCGATCGTCGGCCGAAGCGAAGCCTCATGGAGGGTGCTCTCACGGCGCGGTCTTGCTCCTAAACAGGAAAACTAGTCAACAACGCTAATAAAATGAACAATAGCGATAACAAGAAACAAACTACACTTGTCACGTTTCAACTATAATACAAATCCCTCGTACCCATTAAGTGTTGAAATGAAACTTTCAGAAAAATAACCACTTTAAGCTTTGTTTAACTAAAGACTTAACTTTAAGTTAAAACTTATTATAACTTCCGAACTCGTATGGTTTTATTGCTTGATATATCATTAAATATCTTTTGCGATTAAATTGCTAGCTTTTAAAATATCAATTCATTCGAATAATAATAATTTTATACTGCTTAGGAAGATTCAATTGTAATGAACGAGTCGAAGCTTCAGAATACCTCAAATAACTCATAAACTCAGGTGTATCCAATAATAGAGGGTTGTTAAGGTCAATAAGTTCGTTTCTGGTTTTTACAAGATACCTCGGAGTTTATGGGCTATGGAATGGATCAATAAGGCGGATAAGTCTCTACAGAGCCGTCTTTCAATGTTGAAGAGTATATTTTCAGCGGGATTTCTAGATTTATTGGGAAACTCATTCAATGGAATTGTATCTTTTGCAATACTTTCATTGTAAAATAGGTAGTCTAACTATTTTACATCATAATAGCATTAAAACTAAACGAACAAAGTTTTTACAGTTTAAATTACACATACATTTAAAAGTTTTATATAAAAATAATTTATACGTCTATTGCACTAATATTTCTACAAGTCATGTCTAAGGCAAACAACTGTTTTGCTGAGAATCGAAATTATGACATCTCATTTAAACGTGTAACGTATAACGTTAACAGTTTGAACTATTTAGCTCCGTTCGGCTTTATGTTGCAAGTATTGGGGTTAATAAATCCATATAATATACCTCTTGGGGAAAGATGTGTGGAACAACACGTTCATCAGATCGTCGGCCAAAACGTAGACGCACAGGGGTGCGAACTTCACGCAGGGAAAGAAGCTCATCCATTTCATCTAACTATAAAAATAAAAGCACTGTTATGCATCCGGATATAATATAGGTATTATTTTTTTGTTCAAACTTGTTTGTTTTGTTGTTGTTGTTGTGTTTTTGTTTGGAAATCAGTGACAAGTCGACTTATCATTAAACAAGTTTTTATTTAAAAGACCACAATTATAAGAATGTCAAAAAATCAGTGCCGCTACAACCTCTTTGGTCTGGGCCTCAGATTTCTGAATCTGTTTCATGATCATTTTTCAATCTAATGGCCTCGTGTGCCTGACACCCGCTGTCGACTTTTTGGGTCTAAGACATGTCGGTTTCCTCACGATGTTTTCCTTCACTGTTCGAGCGAATGTTAAATGCGCTCAGAAATAAAGTCCATTGGTGCACAGCCGGGGATTGAACTTACAACCTCAGAGATGAGAGTCGCACGTTGAATCCACTTGGCCAACAATGCACTATAAGAATTTCATACCTCTTTAAAATATGTGTACGCAATAATACCGTTATTCATAGGAGAATTACGCAACAAATTCCTAGGCTGTATAGAAAATTCATACAATAAAATCTTTTGTACTACGTGTTATTCTGTCGTGATCCGGATTACATCCACGTCGATATCGCTTTTAAACACTTGGAATAAAGACGGAATAAGATATGTATAGGAATTTTATTTTAAAGTGAGTTACTTTGTGAACTTTTAGTCTAAAGAGAAAACTTATAGAGCGCACTTAGATTATACTTAAAATTGTCTTTCAAATTAAGCCTGAGAGCTTAGCATGTACTCACTAAATTCTTAGCCCAGAAATATATTCGAATTTTGAAAAAAAAACATTACTCTTTAAATATCAGTCGCAGTGATATATTATAAGTAATAATGTGCACTTATAAGGTTTCGATTTTATATGCAACACTTGTTATACCGAAAATATTTAGACATTCCTTTGTTTAGTTTCTCTCGCTGGCTTACTTAAAATTCAGCAATATATCTGCATGTCACTACGTTTACGGGTAGTACGTTTCCTAATATATCAGCTTTAATTAATTTAATTTTGTTATCATTTATTGTATAAATTGTCTTACATAATTATGTTTTAAAGACGTTATCGCTTTCCACTAAACAAAAACGTATGCACACAAATAGGTCAATTTATCGCTGTAACAGTACAGTTACCTGTGATACGGGATGTGTTTGCTATGATCCCATTAACGTGTGAATTCAGTGAAACATTTTCCGCCGCCGGACAAGCCTTGAATTATAGTGTTCACTGGCTCATATGATTTATTATATTTAGAAATATTTCCTGTTATAGGAATCTATACTAATATTATAAAGAGGAAATATTTGTATGGAAGTATGTTTGTCACGAATTGGCTTAAAAAGTACTTAACGGTTTTAAAAATTCTTTCACCATTTGATTGCTACATTATTTTAATTGCAAGAAAAAAACAAGGATCCCAACTAAAACTCCAATAATGTTACCCAAGGTGTAAAAAAATGCCTAAAAATATCTTGATATTGATGATAGAACAAAAAAAATGTTCCTCAATATTAAAGAACATATCAATATCTACAAAAAATTTCACACACAATGACATGCATGTGTCTAACTCTTGTAAGAAATATTACTTTGGCATTTAAATATGTAATATAATAAAAATCTGAATTAAGTTCACATACAATATCAACATAAACAATCTTGGTGTGTAACCGAGTATTTGTTGTAACAGGTAGCAGGGGTATATTAGATGATTTAACTCCCTTATTTACAAGCGATATAATCAGACAACCTGTTGACCTAACTCTCGTTTGACTTCAGGAAAGGATAAGCTTGACAAGATTAGTAGCTTTAGCGAGCAACTATCATCTGGTCGTAGATTCGATCCCCTGCTTTGCGCCGATGTACTTTCTGCCTGTGTACTTATTAAACACTCACCCATACGGTGTAGAAAAACAGCATGCTTTAGATCCAAACAATCGACGGTGATGACCTAATTGTCTATTAGAAAAAAAAGTCTAAACAGATACAAAAATCTGAGGCATAATTACTTGAAAAAATGTATTTTGTAGTCAAAATGTTTGAGTTGGAAAAGTTTAATTTAAATAACTTTCTTAATATCACTATTCAATACTTTAATAATTGTAAGCCATCTAGCAGTATTACAAAATTATGGCAATTAATGATCTGATGTAGGAGTTATACAAAATAATAATAAATACATGATTTTCAATTAAGATCCGTATTAGGATCTTATTTCGTATCAACAGTAATTTTCTACAAATAAATTAATATTGAAGGTATCGTTATCCTATCATAATTGAACATATACCATGTAATCCAATACCTTACACGTTCCGATAGGATAAATAAAGTCGGAGTAGTAATAAAAATGTTGGCAGGAGACTATTTAGAAGATATATTTTGACTAGAGCTTTGTCTTTATAAAGTAAATTTCCGGATTCTAATATTATACATTATTTATATTTTATTATATTAGGTATATTACAATTTAACTACATCCAGCAGTCAGTCAGACTAAGAAGTGTAGTTTTTACAGTAGCTAAAAATTACTGAACGTAAATTAAAATAAGCAGCGTTTACTGTGGTCCTTTCTTATATTTTAGTCTTTGAATAACAATAAATATCTATAAATTTAATATTTTGCACGTCGCTTTAAGAACAGGACAAGTTTCTATAGCTTAAGGTACGAATCAGCGAATTCACCGCTTCGTGCCTTTTGTCCACAATATGATTAGAATATTTTATATATGTTATTGATGTGTCTTATGAAGGTTTGAGAATGACTAACTGATGCCTCTTAATGTAATTAAAGTGTTTAAAGTACGTGTCTTTGTACAACGTGCTTATCATAAAATCTAAATTTACCATATATTTGGTTTTATCTTAATTCTATACTCGTCGTTGTAGGCAAGGCAATTTATAATTTATAGTTTTTAACTTACTGGTGCTTGAGGTGGCATGTCAGGGTCAGATCGGCGGCCGAAGCGCAGGCGTCTTGAAGGCGATCTAACGGATTTGCGAGCAAGAGCATGCCCGCCCAAAGCATCGTGTTGTGCTAACAGAGCATAGAGGCCCCCCAGCGCATCCCAATTGCTTTGGCTTTCCGATAGCGAAGGTGAAACTGCAATAAAACATCATTATGAGCAATTCCTTGGACGAAACAAATGAAAGTAGTAATATATATTAAAAGCACCTTTTTATCAATCAACAATCCATTCGATGTTTCCCACAATTTAAAGTTGATTTGTGAAATGTTTATAATTAAAAAAACTCATACAATGTTAAGGAATTGCAATAATTTGATATATCCTCAAATAGTTTTTAGTTTTAAACAACATGTTATAACTGTATTATGAATTTCATCCTCAACGACTGGCGGCATCTTGCGACACGAATGGCTTTTTCAATTTATTCTATTTTATTGTGCACAATTGATAGAGACTGAAAGAAAACATTAAACAAATATCGATCTGCCAATACAATTTCATAAAAACGTTGAACGACACAGCAATGTATCTGCCTCATTTCCATTGGGGGTTTATATGAATAATTTACAACTTCACTAACTTGTATCTCGTAAGCCTAATTAGAAATGCATTGCTACTGTATTGTTGCTTGTTATACTTTGAACTATCTAACTCAGATCGAACTGCTATCAAACCTAACTTTGTCGACATACTTTAGAAACTATAAACTTGGAAACATATTGTCTAAGTATGATCTTCTTACATCTTATAAACTTTGGTTGTATGTGAAAATCAAACAAAATATCTTATTCAATAGGTAACAAGTAACTTTTAATCGTCAAGTTAAATAATCTAAATTTCATTTACTACCAGTTCCAAGCAAGGGCGTAAGCGGGTAAGAAGAACTGGCAAAAACTTTCCGCCACTCTTTTTAATCGCCAAGTATTGTCATACAAATTGTTTGAACTGAAATTCAATCCCAAGGATTAGGATCATTTAAGTAGTCCTCAAATTTATAAAAAGCTTTGTTGATTAATTTTCGTTTAACGAGGGCTTTGAATTTATTTATGATAATTCTCTAATTTCCTAGGAGCTTGTTGTAAAAAAAAATTCCATATAAGGAGTGGTTATCTTTTGGAGCTGTTGGTCGTACACTCAAATTAGTTCTATTTCCGTATTATACTGGTGAAAGTCACATTGTTTTAAAATCGTTTATATTTGGACATACAACAAGGTTCAAAATATTTGACCAGATAGTGTCATAATATTTAATTCCTTAAACTTATTCCGTACCGACTCCCTCGGAGAAACACAACATACAATTGCTGTATAAACAATATCTTAACGCTTTAAAAAGTTCTTTTTCAGAATCAATTTGTTATTAAATTTAAATTATGATTATGTGGAATAACATGGGGCGTGAAAATGTATAACATAAGATGAAATGATGGTGCGAAACGATCACTCTTTTCAAATCGCCCCATCCGCTATATTGAACTGAGGGAGGTCGGCACCAGTGTTTGCAGAGCATTAGCCGCATGTTTCCATGCTTTTTCCGCTTGGGTGTCTTTGAGCCTAGAAATTACAAAGCTCGCCGTCGTGGCAGTGTGTTTCGGCAGCAATTCGGATGGACTGTTTCTTCCTTCCTATCCATGACTGTTTCTTAAAAGTTTTCAAAAATCTTCCACCAGCTTCGCCTTACACGATCTCCTGACACCAATCAAAATCGAACCCGACAAACATTCGTCTTTTGTTCCACATTTCAACAACAACAAAGTACGTAAGTAAAAAATAATTGAAGTATTTAGTTCCTTATTCATATTTTTTGCAACAAATTGTATATAAATATAAAAATCACGTCATCTTATAGTCTCGTTCTTAATTGTTTATATTTATTGTACCGGTGACAATATAAGCCGATTTCGACGCTTCGTCACGTCTTTCACTGAAAAAGCGAAAGCTTATTGCTTATTGAATGAAAAATAAATCTTTCCTCGATTTTATTTTATCATTTGAGATATTTGAACATGTATTATTAGTATATACTTAATGTTCTTTTGTTTTTATAAATACATATTAAAGTAATACTTATCAATAACCTAAGTAATCTAATATAAAATACTTATTAATACAGCAATCTGAGTTGCAGTGTTCGCCACACGATTAGGGTTGCCCTATCAGTTTAAACGTGCGACTGAGGTCGTAGGTTCGAGCTCTGAACTTTTTGTGCTTCTTTAACACTCGCTCTTACGGCGAAGGTAAACATCGTGAGGAGCCAGCATGCCATGCAAAATGTTTGTCGGCGTGTGTTGGGCACAGAACACCTTTTCAGAAGACCTTTTAGGACGGCCTCATTTAACTGTATCTGTTTTGTGAGTTTTTTTTCTCATAGGCAAGTAGGTGATCAGCCTCCGGTGCCTGACACACACCGTCGACTTTTTAGGTCTAAAGCAGCCGGTTTCCTTACAATCCTTTCCTTCACCGTTTAAGTGTTTAATGGGTAGATAGAAAGTCCATTGGTGCACAGCCAGGGATCGAACCTATGACCTCAGGGATGAGAGTCGCACGCTGAAGCCACTAGGCCTACACTGCTTAGAAAATAAATTATGTTTAATAAGATTTATAATAATTTAATTAACATTGTTTTAAATTGTAAGCTTATTCTGTTTGAAATTTTCACACGGCTTCTATTGACAGAGTATTAAATATGTAAATGCTGAGACCGTGAAATTTAATTTATTAATGGTATCTGTTTCTTCTAAAGGATCTAAATTTATAATTACAGTTTTCTCCACTCCACAATTACGGGTATACTAATGGATGAAAATATTTAACACTTTTCAAAAGATTCCTTCACAACATGCCTACACTAAAATTATATATATATAATGATAGCCATTTATTAAATTTCGTTTGATATTAGAATGGCAACTTTATTTTTAAAAACTTATGGATATTAGCCATTAGAGATTAGACTAACTAATTATAATTTTATTGTAACTGTTAGGGCCCTATTAGGCCAAAATATTTTTTATGTATCTGTATGGAACCGAGATGCTTTTCGGACATTGTTGCTACGTATAGATAACTGCAATGTATTACAATCTGAAATCGACATATTATAGACATTCATTTGTTTATTATCAATGTCAATTGATTTAGAACTGCAACCACAGAATTTGTTTCTCATAAATCCATTTTACTGGTGACCTTTAATAATCCTATACAAGATTGTTTCTATGTCGTGGTTTCTACTTTTAAATACAAAGCACTTTTGTTTTAAGACGGCTGGCTTATAGACAAGACGCAATGCAACAGAATAACGGCTAATCCTCCAGCTCCTAGGAACTGGATTTCCTCTTATCTCTTCGTTACAATACAGAAATACAGCCTTTAACAGCACCGTAACAAACATTTACTATTGCAATAATTTCGAGTTAAATGTAATTTCAATAAAAAATATAGTATTCCAATATTGTTCTACGACTATTTTTTTTTATTATTCATCGAAGAAAGGAAGGTACAGGCTCTATTCCCGAAACAATGTTTTTTTCTAGTAAAAAACCTTTCAAATTATCAATGAACTACTTTTAAATGTACCTACCGTAAGAGAGGGCTATAAGTTATTTTAAAATGATAACAACATACTATTGACTATTCTACAACTTGAAACCTGTCACAGACTGTTAAATTTTAGTACAGTGAAATTAAGGATAACGCGGCATTTTTTTACAATGTAATTGTTTTTGTGAATATCATCTTTATCTTATCGAAACAAATTTTGAAAATATATATATTGTCACCAATATGAATGGATGAATAAATGGTACATGGTACAGTAAATTGTTTATCACAATTAATATTGAAGAAATGGCGAAAAATCTTGTCACGATACACGAAATCCGCGCTCGAAGCTGCGAGCGAAGTTAGTTGTTAATATTACAGACCTTGGTATGTTTCATACAAATTTCATTTCACTTTGACTTGTTCCGGTATTACAATTGCGAAGTTTAATAAAAATTAATCAAACAGTGGAGTAATTGTTTGATGTTTATAGCCTTAATGTATCAAGATAATCGCTATTACAGTTTTATTGAGACATTTACTTAGGCCTCTTATATTATAGCCATTAAATAACATGTCATTTAATTCGACAGTTAATGGGAAACGTGACGTGAGCACGTAGTTTAGATTTACGAGTCAAGCGATGTTTTGTTTGCGTTATTATGATGCGTGACAAATATGACGCACAATGTTGGCATGACTAAAGTAATTACACATCTTCGATACGTTGGTTTTTACATTCATTAAAGTTCTACATTTGAAAAAATATTTAAAAATGCACTATGCATTACACTCGCATTGCGACTCTTATCCCTGGGGTCGTAGTTTCGATCACCAACTGTAACACTCGCTTGTACGGCGAAGGAAAATAACATGAGGAAACCGGCATGCCTTAGCCTTAGTGTGTTCAGGCACAAAAAGCTGATCACCTACCTACCTTTTATAAATAATCACTTAACAGATACAGAAATCTGAGGCCCAGACCTAAAAGGTTGTAGCGCTATTGCTTAATACTGCATTGTACCATAAAGTTTTTCTTTGGATTTCCAATAATGCATCTTTCCTGCTGCCCATATTATTTCTTTATTGACTAACGGGCCTTTAATATCTATTTTGTGGTAAATAAAATGGTTTCGCAGGTAAATAAAACGAAAAAGGTTTCGCAGGATCGTAGCCTTACACGTGGTTATGTACTCTTTGAAAGTTCTGCGTGTTTTTTGTAGAATCATATAAGGTAAATGATAATAGTTATTAAAAGTATAACAGCGCAAAATAATTTATTATGTGACTAAGAGATACCATTAATAATAATTGTAAGCCCTAAATTTAATGCTACTTAACGAATTAAAACTTTGAAATCCGTCTTGAGTTTTGATAAATGACCTTCTGTTACGATTAAATTATTCCTTTCAATCAGGAATGTATTTAAATATTTTAATACATTTATAATTTAATGGTAGTAAGTGTTTATTAATGTTATTTTCTTAAAAGTTTTACCGATTTATGTAAAACAGAAATCTTTTTGATATTTTCATAATAAAACTTCTGAGTTTCATGTTATTTTGATAAATCTAAATCATTGTTTAAGTTATTGTTGATTTTTATTTAACTTCAACAGTAAATGCGAGGGACACTTTCGATGTATTAAAAAGACTAAAATTAGCGATAATTTATGTAAGTAACTTAGGTAAAATTTTGCAAGTAAATTACTACTAATATTCGATTTCACACGGATTTGTTTTATTGTTTGTTTTAATTAAAATATCATACATATATTATTCATGGTTAAATACATTATCGAAGACACGTTTCATTTATAATATAACTTATCATCACTATTCTTTTTGATCAGTAGTTGATACTCTTAAGTAAAATTTGGGGTGGAGAATTTGCACTGAGCTTCTGTATGTCAAAATCATTTTGAATTCATGATTTAAGATGTGATGTGTGTGAAGTTGTCATATTAAAGCGCTAATGCCGCTCAAACTTGACGCTTTTTAATAATACCAAATCTTAAAACTTTGCTGCACCCAAATCAAGATCAAAATGAATTTAATCATGGTGACTATGCACAACCGTGCGTATGTATTTGTTGGAATTATCACCCTACCAAAGCTCAAGAAAGTAAAAATATAAAGGAAAATATGAACTAGGAAATGTAAATCTACCATAAATATGTGTTACAATACACACAAGCTACCATGTGCACTTGAGATTAATCTCGCATATACATCAAATAACCTCAATTGCGGAGAAACATAGAATTTATGTGCAAGCGAATGTGATAACTCACCGTCATACTGCGAGATTGCTTGCGCAGTTACAGACGAAGTGAGCCCAACTGCACACAGCGCCACGATAAGAACCAAATTGACGGACATAGCTGAAACAAATGAAATGCATATGAATGTTGGATGGAAATGCGATTGTTTTGTTAATCATTTACCCTTCTCATGTGTTTGATCCGGCGAAGGCAATGTATTTGCATAGATACAATACCAAGACCTTTATATAAGACAGATAAAGGTTTCTTTATAGCTTAATTATATGTTTATTTTTCATAGACTTTATAAAATAAATTATATAAATTAATTAAAACGTATGCTATATATAAAAATGTTTACCTAACACATTTTATACATATTAGCGATAATTACCAGCCTAAACTTGAACTACGTGAATTTTTTTAAATTTGACTAATTGCCAAGAAATTGTACCTAAATGTTAAACATAATTTTGGGTGTGAGGTAAAAGGTTTAAGTAAAACGTAAAAAAGTAATAATGTCTATGCTAACGGTTACTTTCATCCATGTTGTTATCTGTAGACAGTACTAATTAAAATATTTGATGTTTTATGTATGTCTATAATAGCCATGAACCCCGAACGAGTAAGTATGATGATAACTATATATTCCAAATAAAATGTTTTAAGTTTGGGGATACTTTTCAACTTCTCACGGAACTATCATATTTTACAACTTTTCTTTTAACTTTCTAAATTGAAGTCGTTACTTATAGCTTGGGGGCGAGTAGACCAAAACTTTTGAAAGATCTCTAGTTTTGTTTCATTAAAAAAATCAAATCAAAGTCGAACTAAGAATCAAAAGAAATGACCGTGACATCAGCTTAAAAAATAAAAAAAATAAATTTTCAATGAATTCGCGTTTGTATCGAAAATTTTATTCAAATGTGTACTCGCGTAAAATACAATATTCCTAAGCAACATGTTTCCAACATTCAACAGGCTAATACTAACGATGCGATGTCACGCGAATGGCCGTGCTGAAATCGTGACGTCATTAATCACGGTTATCACTCGGCCTGTCTCGCCCTAAGCTAACACGCATACGTTTTGCGACCTTTCGCTTCAGAGTCAGCAATTCGTTGATAGATCGCTGAATTTCGTCGGTGTAGTAGTTTTTTAACGATCGTGTTAAACAAATGAATGATTTGTCATTGAGTTCTATGCTGATATACCTAGTTATGAAAAAATTGTTAATTATAAATATGTGTAACTAAAAATATATATTTTTTTACTAACAAAAAATAAATCAGTGGCGCTACAACCTCTTTAGGTCTTGGCCTCAGATTTCTGAATCTGTTTCATGATCATTTTTAAATCTAATAGGCAAATAGGTGATCAGCTTCCAGTGCGTGACTCACGCCGTCGACTTTTTGGATCTAGGACATATCGGTTTCCTCACGATATTTTCCTTCACCGTTAGAGCAAATGTTAAATGCGCACATAGAAAGAAAGTTCATTGGTGCACAGCCGGGGATCGAACCTACGACCTCAGGTATGAGAGTCGCACGCTGAAGCCACTAGGCCAACACTGCTCTCTCTTTCTTTACTAACACCAAAGTAAAATCATAGACTTTACCCAAAATTCAGTCCGCTAAACACCCAACTTCATAGACTAATTCATCAACTTTTTACATTAACATTATGCTTAATATTCCAATGAGTAATTGTTTATTATTTATAGCTTATGCGTAACAGATTCCAAACTCACTCCTTTGGAAGAACTTCTCTCTCCCTCTTTCGTATATGATACGGGATAAAGTCAGTTGAAAAGGCTAAATTCAAAAAGGACCAATTCATATAATAGGCAATATCTTGACTCGGAAAATTAATGATCTTAGTTCACAAAAGAATGTTGGACAGCATAAGATACAAATTGTTCAGCCTAGTATTTTTTCTTCAACAAAGTTTCATATAAAATCCTGTTCCATGTGAAATCATTATTTTTATGTCATACCGCAATATTGTAAGGCCTCAGACTTTTATAGCCACAAACGTTTCTGTTATGTTATAAGTGATGGCTATTTACCATTTTAATAAAAGTGTAATATGCGAAGTCCTTGGAAATTACGGATTCTTGAGTGTTATCGACAGGATATATTCATATCGCATCGTTTCTTGGAAGACAAGGTTTATTTAGTGTTTTTATGTTAGTGTTTAGTGTTTATTTAGTGTGTTTAACAATCCATGTCATTTCTTAGATATAATATTATGCATGAGTCTCTTAATATTGAGTTAACGAAATTAAAATAAATTAATGTTTGAATTTCCCCTTATATTTTGATTGTTCTATCGAATTATTATCATATACATTATGATTGAAATAAATTCTTTTTTTTATTTTATTTTTTTATTTATTCATTCGCTTTATTTTTTTTTATTAAAATAATTTTAAGCTCACAGAATGACACACATTCTCATACTACTCGTACACCTATAGATAGTGTCTAGTTAATACGAGAATTAAATATTCATCGGGTTTTACGCGACATTTCTACATCTAATATATAAAATTCTCGTGTCGCGGTGTTTGTGGTTAAACTCCTGCGAAACGGCTTGACCGATTCTCATGAAATTTTGTGTACATATTGGGTATGTCTGAGAATCGGACACCATCTATTTTTCATCCCCCTAAATGTTAAGGGTAGTCCACCCCTAATTTTTATTTTTAGATAAATTTTTATTTTTGTAATTTTTTTTGATACAACATTAAAAAATACATACAACCCCTAATTTTCACCCCTCTACGATAAACCCCTATTTTTTATTATAAATGATATACATGGCAAAACGACGTTTGCCGGATCAGGTAGTAATATATAAAAGTAATCATATATGAAATAAAATTACGATACAGTGTTATATATATCACAGTGTATAAACAGAACGAAAACGTCAATAAGGAAATTTTAAAATCAATATATTTGAAAGGCATATTAGATCTTCATTTATATTCTCTTATCAGCTTTATAAAAAGCAACACTTGCTACAAAAGACTGATTGATCGTTTACACGATCGTTCATCATATTTGGATTTGGGTTTAGGACATATTAATAATAAATACAAGCATTTTATGAAGTCTTAATATGACACATAGTTTCATTTAACGGCTTTGCTCGGAGTATATTTTTAAAGGCTAAAAAACACCGAAATTCAAACAGATAATCTATCTGAAAATTGTCTATACTTTCTTGAAATATCTTTTAATTTATATAACTTTATGTGAGTCGAGTATAGTTAAGTATAAATCTAAATACATACCTATGTTTTCATTTCTGGTGGGTTTTATTAATTTGTTCGACTCAGCTTATGAGGAAAGTAAGGAAGAAATATAGATATTCAGAAGTATTCAGAATAATTCAAAACCATCTTAGTCATTGCTTGGTATTTTAGATAGCAGAAGCATTTAATGCAGTCATATTCGCATTCAACGTGGATATACCTCCGTCTCTAGCCGTACAGGCAAAGCAGAACAATATAGAAGTGAAAAGACACAACGTTATTTACAAATTGGTGGATGAGGTGAAGCAGCCAATCAATGGGAAGAGTCCCACAACACAGCATGAGGAGCTTATTGGTAGATAGGTATTGAATCATAAAAAATATCACGCTAGTACTATCAACTACTTATATGTAATGTTACCTAGTAAGCCGAATTTATTTCTCAAAATCAAACATATTTTTGTACATCGATTCAGATGAGCAAAAACAATATGAAATAAGACAAAAACCACATGAGTTTTGAAATGAGAGTTCCTGAAATTTAATTTCGGGTCGTGGTTAGATTGCTCTAATTTAGCATAAACGTTTTCAGTGTGTCACATTTTACATCCACTTGAAATTCGTGCTCACATCCAAATGAGAGTAATTAATACTTTCATTTAACTGGACCAAGTATTTAAAAAGGAATGAAGGTTCTTTGAATGTTAAACAGGTCTTACAGCATTGAAAGCTTTTCAAAAATCAAAATATCGATTAGACGTTGCCCTGCATTTCATATGTAGTTACTTTAATAAGTCGCTACTTCCCTTATTTTAGTATTAACAATAAATAGATAATTTACACGAGAATTTAATTTAAAAAAACATAATTGTATCAATAAAAGTTTATACAGAAAAAGCTACTATGGGAGATATATTTGGATTTTAGACATTATATTTTGAGGTTACAGCAATCATACTATATTATCTATAATTTTTAGCTTGTAGTTCGTGTTCATAAAACAGTTTATTAGTTATGCATAGAAGTTAATCCCCGATAAATCGGAAATAAATATGGATGTACAAGCATAGTAATGCCTACATTAGGGGATAGCGATGGTTCACGGCACGTCTTTGATCCATGAACCGGCAAATTGGTTGTCGAAGCGACCTCCATCTGTGCACTATGTAGACACTATGTTGCCCTTCACGTTACTTTACCGTCTAAAAACTTTTGGCTTATATTTTGAGAGAATTCATAAAATAATTTTTTATAAAATAATTATAAATAACTAACTTGTAACGATTTTTATAACATACTAGCTGACCCGGCAAACGGCGTTTTGCCATGTATATTATTTCTAGGAAACTTTTTTTTAGTTCAATAAAAATAACTATCTACTATAATAAAAATAGGGGTTGAACGTAGAAGAGTGATAATATAGGGTTGTATGTATTTTTGTATCATAAAAAAAAATAAAAACAAAATAATTTATCTCAAAAATAAAAATTTTGGGGTGGACAACCCTTATCACTTAGGGGTATGAAAAATAGATAGAAGCTGATTCTAAGACCTACTGAATATGCATATAAAATTTGATAAAAATCACGCCGTTTCGGAGGAGTATGGTAACTAACATTATGACACGAGAATTTTATAAGATTAAAATGAAATAACCAAACCCACTTTTTAATTTTACGAATCGGATATACGGCTTAATTCACAGCTATTAGGTTTTTGCCAATGACATAGGCAATAATGCCTTCATTACATTTCGCTAAAGTTTAATTAGTTTTGAAGGTATCAAATCGACGGATTCGATAGAAGTTGGTGCTAGTTCCATTTGACTAATTCTCGAGGGTGTTGAGAGGTCACTAAGTCTTAACATTTATGATATTTGCAGTTGACATTGGCTGCAAGTATGAAATTGCAATTCTAAACTTTATTTTTTAGTTATAACAGTAAAATTTATACTTAATTATGACCCCGGGTCTGCTGGCGTTGTGACTTTTGGCTTTGATTCCCCCTATCTACTCGATTAATACATACTTAAACGGAACGACTTTATGGAAATAACTGTAGCTTAAAAGCTAAAATCCATTTATTAAATTATTTAGGGTAAAATAAACATTGATATAAAAGTAAAAAGTCTAATAAAAGTATTTATTTAAGTTAATATATATATTTTAAGTTTATTTTAAAGAGAATAAATTTCCAGTGGAGAACAAAAATGCTGCATTATCAGTGTGGCATTTAAACATAATAATAATTCATCAATGTTTTTAACACATTTAGCGTTTTCCAGTCAAACATAGCAAAAGCAAAGTAATTTTAAGTTTTATTTAAGTATTAATTTATAAAAAAATAGGATTGTTGTTTTTACTATATTAAACTTAAATCTTTAAATTCAATAGGAAACACTATAAAACGTAGATACTATTAACATGTTTTTCAAGTGGAGGATGGTAAAAATCGATTTTGTGACGATTCTGATAACGGGATCACTCAAAGTGTTCGGTGAAATTGAATCCTGGATCCTTGTCCGTAGAGGCTTATCCCTTTGATAATCATATGGGGCAAAAGTGAAGGATCGGCATGCCGCGGCAATCCTCAACAGTATAACACTAACGAAGTGATTTTGTTTATTTCTGCAAACGATGTAACTAAATAGTTACGTTATATATTCGATAAAATTAAAGTATACAATGCACTAATAAAAAAAAACACATAAAAAGTACCCAAATCTTTCGTTACACACATTTTCACACTGGCAGAAAATTGTATCTCATAATAGCCCTACTAGCTATATTATGTGAATAGCCACATAAGGTTACACATACCTAAAAACAGAAACATTTTTGGTAGTTATTTATTTAATTAAATTATTATAAAATTAAATATCATGTTCTAAAACTGGGTCAATCATGTTATTTGGGGTGCAAAACTCGTAGCTCCGTAGCACCGTAGACAACGTAAAACATTGATACAGAAGCGCGCTTATAATTGACTATTAAGAGCACATATCCATAGACTATTAATTATTTAGATCTAAAGAAAACACTTTTTAACCGGATTAAAGTTATGTATTATTATAAATTTACAATTATTTTACATAATTTTAAATTTAACCGACGTTTCGCGTGCTTTACAGTGTGTGTGGTCACGGTGACTGAAGACAAAAGGTGTTGAATGTCAAAAAGTATCACAGCTGTAGAAAAAGTTGCATTATCTGTATTTATTTCCCCGGAGTTGGTATCGACTAAAAGATGTATGGTTTTGGCAGAAATGGCTCAAGGTGTCCTCTATTTTCGCGGATTGTTTATTTTGAGATTTTAATTTGGATATTATTGGATCCCAGGTGTTTGACAATTTTAGGCCGTCTTCTCTATTGAAATTGGGGTGTTTTTTGATTTCAATGGCTTAATAATGTAATATTTATAACAATACATAACTTTAATCCGGTTAAAAAGTGTTTTATTTAAATGTGTAAAGGTTATGTTAATAAAAGACAATACTATATTTAGATCTAGTTAGAATATTAGTTATTTAGATCTCATCAAAAATTATTATTGTTTTATGAATTATGTTGTTTATAAATATCTAAAGCGAAACTTTGTATGTACGAATTATCTCTAATTTTAAAAAATAGTACGTCTTCTCAATTGACAGCTAAACGTGCGATACAGCAATTCGCGAATACAGGGTCATATTTGTCGTATTTAATCAGTTAAATCTACATGAGTGAATAATTTACTCCGTATTCAAGTTTGAAACGTTCAATAAAAAGCAGCTTAATTATGACCGAATAAAATAATTTACTTACAAGGCAGGTTATCACTACCGCCAAAAAATTAACGCCCATTTCCCGAGATTAAATTTCCTAACAAAATTAGACAAGCTTCGCTGACGTGTTTATTACGTTTCTAAGAAAGGAATACAGGAATTGAAAATAGAGATGTTTTATTTGAAATTTACAATTTTTTAAAGCTTTTTGAATATTTATAACACCTTTGTGCTCATTTATCCTTTTTTATAAGTTTTTTCTTTGTGATTTCATAGTAATTAATTAAAATAAATTTATTTAAAATTTATTTCTTTAACATTCAATTTATAAATGCACAACATAGAAGTTAAAATAAAAACCTGTGGCGCTACAATCTTTTAGGTCTGGCCCTTAGATTTGGGTCTTTGTTTCATGCTCATTTGATTTTTCTAATAGGCAAGTTGGTGTTCAGCTTTTTGTGACTGACACACGCCGTCGATTTTTAGCTATAAGGCATTCCGGTTTCCCCACAATGTTTTTCTTCATCGTACGCCTCAATGTTAAAATCGCACATGTGTCAGTGAATTATTATTAATATTTTCTTTTGAAAGTCCACAGCTGGCGTTTGAACCTACAACCTCAGGGATGAGTGTCGCAGCTGAAGCCTAAGGCTACAGCTGCTGTGTGAATAGAAGACAGCTATAAAATACTCGATAAGCCGTATATCTGTTTCAAAAATAATTTATACATTTTGCAAACAGAGATTGTAACGCGCAACTATTATAGTAAAATGTATATGTAGACTATTTTATTTTAAATAATTGGTAAAATCACAGAGAATATCCATACATTTCTCTCCATCGCACTGCAATGTATTCGGTTCTACCAAGTACTCTGATTTAGGCTAGTGATTCGCATGGAATGAGGGTTGCGTTAATGTAATTTTTAAGCTCGTTCAAGACAAATTTATATAATGGATTTGACGTAGCAACACCTTGAGATAACTCTTAATATACGCTTTGTATTAAACATTTAAATAAGTAAATATGGTATATACAGTATTGAGGATATATGGATAGGTAAATGCGCTCAGTTATTGCTCCAGCTTCACCAAAGGCAATGTTGGGGCGCCGTCTTATAGTACTCCTCCTAGACACAACGTTAAGATAATCAGTTATACAATTAGAGTAAAAAGAGAAAAAGTGATAGCGCTAAGAATAGAATCACATTACCGAACTCACATTACCAGGATTGAATCATTTCAAAGGCGGTTTTATCAACTTTGTGTGCCCGTCTTTACTTAAAAGACGCCACAAACCTACGACTCTCGCCGTAAAAGATTTGACCTTGTTTCACTTGAATTGCGACGTGCCGTCATGGATGTGGTGAATCTTTACAAGATAATGCATATGGAATTTCATTGCTAAAATCCCTATCCACAGCAGTACACGGCTGACTAGAAACATATATCCTTTTTATACGCATGTATAACGTTTGTCCTCATCGTTTGATGGTCCAGTTAACAGATTGTGTCGGATTTGTAATTAAAATGTGATGAAAAATTACTCGGCGAAAATTTTCAGCGACTCCATGGAGACTTTTCGCCGAATTGTTTTAGAAA